AGTGAAAAATGCAATAAAATTTTACCGTCTTTCAACCTTCCATTAGATTGCAATCCACATATTTAGGCTAAAAGGGTTTTTGTGTTGACTGTATTTGCACTTACTTTGCATTACAATCTAATGGAAGGTTGAAAGACGGTAAAAATGTTTTTGCATTTTTCACTTTCCCCTTCGTTAAATGAGGTTTAAGCCAACCATGATGGTCTTCGTCACGCAACGTCATTCATCGAGTCACCATAATTAGCCTTTCAGAAATCAAGTAGATGAAAGAAATCCTTGCTCGCCTGTATTTTGATCACGATCCAAATTCTAAGGACCACTCCGATTTTTGACAAGGAAGAAAAAGTTCATCTTGATACCTAATGCGCTATGAAGTAAATATCCACACGATTATGACCTAAATAATTGTCAACGGAGAATCCAGATGTCACTTCGTCATGACTTTTAAACAAAGCTAAATTTCGTATGATTTTCCCCTTGATGATTTTCACTCATTATTTTTTATGTATTACACAATTTAATATAATGAGATAGAAATTAAACCTGCCGAATATTCAAGGCAATATATAGGACCTATTAAAATGTTATCATACTACCTTGAATGTAAGAATGAACGTGATATCAATAAAGCTTAGATTGGAGATCATAGATTCCTTAAAAGTTTAGATATCAAGTTTTTACATCTTTCTTGGTTCGCAATTACATATTGTCTATTTCTTTATTAATTAATAATAACACAGTTAATATTCATGAAGGACTATTTGCCAAATCACTGTTGGAAAATGTATTCACTATACTCTGGGATAATATATACACCCCTTTTTTTTCTGTAATCTCCATTCCATTCTATTCAATATAAATTATATATTCCACTTTGATATATGAATAACTCATATCCTGCCATAAGGCTACATGCACGCTACCGTTAAAGTGCTTTGTACATGCGAGTGAGCCATTGCTTCGCTGCCTTGTGCATGATTGCACTCATTCGTAATAACAGTTATTTTTCATGCTCATTGTACTGTGCTGCGTGTTTCGCACGCGCTATTCATAGTACCATCGTATTAATCATATTATCTCAAAATAACTTGACACGGGGGGATTTATAGCTTGGCACAATGGGGATTAGCCTTGTGGCATGATAAGAGATAATGCACACGCGCGCGTCCGCCCTTCCACACTCCCACACACGCACATAAACCCCGTCCTACTCACTCTTTTTAGTTTTTGTAATTTTGTTTTATTCTTCCAATTGTAATACAAACAAGAACAACATATACAATTGAATAAAATAATGAAATTTTCGATATCAATTGTTTATACATGAACATAAGCAAACAAAAACTAATTTGCAGTATTTAACTGAGCAACAAAGTTAACTTAAAGTACATAAGCATAATTTACAAGTCAATTGTACATGTTATTCACTCCATATAAAAAAATCCAAAAAAAATCTGGAGGTTATTTTACTGGTAGGAACAAAGCTCCTCCTTGCTCCCGCCCTCCCGCACACAAACCCACCCACACACACACACTCACTCATCTAAAATAGAAAGAGACTAACAACTAGCTATTCGACTAGTAATGTACTCAAAATGTCATTGTCATTATTCATTTACTTATATATTTTTTTTTGAATGAGTATTACAATTTTGCTAGTACAATTTTATATTTGCATTAATTCATAAAGGAGCAATGTTTTTCGGATGAAAAGATCGGCACTTTCACAGTTTATTTTGTTGTTATCATCTTCGTGCTAGCTTGTATTCTTTAATATGCTACCAGTGTTGATACTGAAATATTTGCATACTGCTATCTTCCCGCTTATTACAATAATCGAACCACGCAAATACTGTATGCCTATACATTTATATAAGCCAGCAGGCGTGTACACAAGGGGGGGGGGGGGGGGGGGGGGGGGGGGGTTGGGGGTTAAACCCCCCTATGGGTATTTTTCTGTGTTAAACCCCCCCCCCCTCATAATCCCCTAAAACCCCCTCTCCCCTCCCCCCCCCCCCCCCCCCCTGGATTTTATTTTTTATTATTATTTTTATTTATTAAAAAAAAAATATATATATATTATATATATATTCCCATGGCTGACCTAAAAAAGCTTACCCTACCCCCCGCCCCCCAACGGAGCAAAATGTCAAATTTTCAAATTTCGAGACCGAAAAAAAAAGGGTCCTCTTACCTCCTACCCCTCCCCCCCCCCCCCACCCCCCCCCCCCCCCCCCCCCCCCCCCCCCTCCCCTTGAAAAAATCCTGCGTACGCGCCTGTAAGCTAGACAACTTCCACATTGCACTACCACATCCACATCAGCGAATGGAAATGGGAAAACAGGAAATTGCGAAATATTCTGGTATGGAATACTGTATTCCTGAATCCTAACACTTCGTCTCTCCTAGCAATAGTGTATAACCCTTTAGGAATTTTGAAAATATGTTCATGGGGGTGTAGCTCAGTGGCAGAGCAACTGACTTAAAATCAGAACTGGTCCGGGTTCGATCCTCGGTACCTCCAAGTGGATATTTTTCTTCATGTAAATCCTCTTCAATATCTCGTCCATTATCCTTTCTCCTGATATCTTTCTCTTTTCATTTATTTCACTACAATAGAGAGAGAGAGAAGGTGAAAAGTGATTACCGTTGACTCAATGGAGATGTAAGGATAAGCTGCATGTATGTAGGCAGTGGCGTGGCGTGAGTGGCACTTTGATGGGTCACTTAAACGATCAGGGACACCAGTATATCTCGAAAAATGAAATGCAAGTCTCCCTTTCCAAATATCCATCTCTCTCCATGACGTACCTCATAACCCCTTACCACCATTCCTTCCCTACCTTCCATACCATCCACTCGACCACGACACCTCTACACTCCCCCTCACTCATATCTCACTCCCCCTCTCTCTCTTCTCCTTCTTCATCCTTTCTCTCCTCTCTTTCTCTCTCTCTCCGCTCTCTCTCTCTCTGTCTATTATCAATCCACACGTCATAAATATTTCCCTTTTCTCATATCGCCACACTCCAGTGTCCTCACCCTAATGCTATGGTCACATTACCCACAAGTACCTGCTCGGCGGCCGAGCGGCGAGTTTTTAGCCAATTTTGCTCGGCCGCCGCCCGGTCGCCGCTCGGTCGCCGCTGGGAGATCAGTCGGTCACTGGGCGGCGAGTCCAAAATCGGTCGGCAGCCTTTGACCAGTAGCGGCTTCAATTTTAGACCTAAATCGCTCGGCGGCGAACGCTCGATTAGTTCGGTGCCCGGGCGGCAAACGACCAGGCACCGAGCGTATTTTGGAGCCCCGCCGATCACTGGCCGGCCGCTGTACAATATCTTTAAAATCAGCCGGCGGCCGGTGGAAGACTGCTCGGGAATCGGTGGGTCACCGGTCGGTCACTGCGGGGACACCGCGCGGAAAAGGTCCGCGATTTCGCCCAGTTTTGACCTAAAATCGACCGGCGACCGACGGGAAACCGACGGGAAACCGACAGGGGACCGCCCAGGCATCGCTGGGGCTCTACAGCCTGCTCGACTTCTCCAAAAATCGCTGGGCGATGCCTAAATTCTCGCTACCCCAAATAGCGATTGTGCCGAGATTTTCGTACCTATTTAGGGTAGCGAGAATTTCAGCGGTGACCGAGCAGGCTACTAATCGGTCGGTCGCCGCTTTGATTTGTGACCATAGCTTTAACGATTTAGTCATCTTTGTAAACCTCATCCCCTAAACTGAGAAAACATAGGATATTGCGAAATGGTCTCGTTTGAAATACCCTCGACCCTCCTCGGAATATTATTGATAAACTTCATGATTATATCGAGGGGGTATAGCTCAGTTGGTAGAGCGTTCGACTTAAAATCGAAAGGTCTTGGGTTTCAAATCCCAATACCTCCAATAGAGGATTTTTCTTTTTCAAGGAATAATCACCGGTGTATAATAATGGCACAATATAATGTCTTCCGTGTCCATTTGGACATATTATCTTTCCCCTTGTCCTTATTTCATCTATTATGCTCGCCCTCTCTCTCTCTCCCTCTCTCTCTCTCTCTCTGTCACCGTCAGTCTGTCTTCCCGTCTCTCTAAATTTTCAAATGTTGCTCTTCTAAATTAGTTTAGTTAATAAATTTGGAGGTGTAACCAGTGGCGAACCAGCCGGCGGGAAGAGGGGGGGGGGGCCAATCCGTAAAAAAATATTAGTTGCGACTCAGCCACCGGTGAATAAGCGGGGGGGAGGGGGGTAGGAGGCACTTTTTTTTTTTGGTCCAATTTTTCAGGAAATATTTTGCGCCGATTCAGTCAGCCGGTGAATAAGCGGGGGGGGGGGGGGTGAGACCACTATTTTTTTTTCTTTTTTCACCTAATTCGTGAGAATTTTTTTTTTAATTCTTGTTTTGTATGACCCGTCAGCCACCCCCCCCCCCCCCCCCCCGTGGATCCGCGCCTGCAGGGGATCCAGACGGCGTCAAGGGGGGAGGGGTAGCCAAATCTTAATATAAAATTTAGTGCCGACTCAGCCGGCCGGCGAATAAGCGGGGGGGGGGGGCTTTTGTTTTTTGTTTTATAAAGGTTAACTTTACGTTATTATCCTATTTTTTTTTATCGTTTTGGAGGGCTGGGGGCCGGGCAGGAATAATCGCCACGTGGATCCGCCCCTGGGTGTAACTCAGTTGACTGATCGACCGACAGAAGATTGGATCGTCTTAGATTCGATCCCTTACGCCTCAATCGGATAATTTCAATGAAGTATAGCCACTGCCCCCTCCCCAATCTTTCCCTCCTATCTCTATGTTTGAGTTCCAAATTTAATTTCACCATTTAATCTTATTAATGGTAAGAGAATAGCAAATTTAGTATGACCTCATGTCTCTCTTCTATTAAGCATGCGCCATTTCCCTTATCTTTTCTTTTTGCTTTTTTAATTGCAGTAAAATAAAAAATTCCCTACACATTGTTCTCCCCCGAATGTTATTCTTCAGGAACATTTGGTTAATACATTTGGGGGTTTAGCTCAGTAGGCAGAGCGTTCGACTTAAGATCGGAAGGTCTCGGGTTCGATTCCCGCTGCCTCCATGAGATGATTTTCGAGAATGATTTAGCCCACTCCCAACTTTTTCATCCTTTTCCCTGACCTCTTTCTCTTTCTATTCATTTTTCATTTAAATCCCAAATTTTATTTCATGGATGGTAAGAGAAGGACATGACTTCACGTCACTGGCCATCTCTTCAATTGGTTCGTTGCTCTTTGCAGTAAAATGAAATATCCTCTCCAAACGTGTACTTGTCTTTAATATTATTGTTTAGAGACAACCAAAAGTTATTTACGCATGCGTCCCTGATTCTTCCAGCATATCTTTTTGGTTGCAATAATAATCAGAAATTCCCCCATCAGATAGTATTTTTTTTAAATGTATCCTTAAAGGATTTTTGAGAACATGATTATGGGGGTATAGCTCAGTGGCAGAGCAAACGACTTATAATCGGAAGGTCTCGGTTCGACCCCCGGTGCCTCCATGGGAATTTTTTCATGTCAGCCCTCTTCAATCCCGTCCACTTTAATTTTTCTGATTACAAGGATCTTTCTTTCTCTTTCTTTCATCAGGTTTCTAGCTCTTTCTATTTCATGGAGAACAATCGAAAAATTGAAATGCAAATCCCCCTTTCTAAACATCCCTCTTTCTCCATCCACACCACCCTTCCCTACCCCCCCCACCCCTCTCTCTCTCTCTCTCTCTCTCTCTCTCTCCATCTCTCTCTCTCTCTCTCTTTCCCCCCTCTTTCTCTCTCCTCTTCATTCCCCTTTCTCTGAATCTCCTCTATCTCCCTCCCCTCGCTCTTCTTCTTCTTTTTGTTCTCTTTATCTGTCCTCTTCTCTCTCTCTCTCTCTCTCTCTCCCTCTCTCCCTCTCTCTCTCCGCCCTCTCTCTATCATAAATCCACACGTCATAAATATTTCCCTTTTCTCATATCGCTACACTCCGGTGTCCTCACCCTAACCGATCTAGCCATCTTTGTAAACCTCAACCCCCAAACTGAGAATTGTTACTAAACTTTCTATCGCATAACCATAGAAACACAGGATATTGCGAAATGGTCTCGTTTCAAATACCCTCCGACCCTCCTCGGAATATTATTGATTCATAAACCTCATGATTATGTCGAGGGGGTATAGCTCAGTTGGTAGAGCGTTCGACTTAAAATCGAAAGGTCTTGGGTTTCGAATCCCAATACCTCCAATAGAGGATTTTTCTTTTTCAAGGTATAATCACCGGTGGATAATAATGGCACAATATTATGTCTCCCATGTCCATTTGGACGTCTCTTTTCCCTTTATTGTATCTATTATGCTCTCTCTCTCTCTCTCTCTCTCTCTCTCTTTCTCTCTCTCTCTCTCTGTTAACAAGTGTGGGTGAGGGTGCGGAGTAGGGAGGGAGAGACTGACTTTCACTGTCAGTCTGTCTTTCCGTCTCTTTAAATGTTCAAATGTAGCTCTTCTGAATTATTTTGGTTAATACATTTGGGCGTATAACTCAGTTGGCTGATCGACCGACTGAAGATTGGATGGTCTCGGGTTCGATCCCCTACGCCTCCACCGGATAATTTCAATGAAGTATAGCCGCTGCCCCCTCCCCAATCTTTGCCCTCTATCTTTTTATTTAAGTTCTAACTTTAATTTCACCATTTAATCTTATTAATAGTTAGAGAATAGCAAATTTAGTATGACCAGGGGGCGTTTCATGTAACAATTAGTCGGTGGTTTTCACCGACTAATATCATGTTCATCGACAATTCTTTTGTCACCGACTATTTTCCAGGCCTGTGATTGGTCAAATTTAGTCAGCGCTGACTAAATTGTCGGTGAACATGATATTAGTCGGTAAAAACCACCGACTAATTGTTTCATGAAACGCCCCCCCCCCCCCCCCCCCCGATGTCTCTCTTCTACTGTGCATCCGTCACTTCCCTTTTCTTTTTCTTTTCTTTTTTAAATAAAAAATTCCCTACACATTGTTCTCCCCGAATGTTATTCTTCATGAAAATTTGGTTAATACATGTGGGGGTATAGCTCAGTAGGCAGAGCGTTCGACTTAAGATCGGAAGGTCTCGGGTTCGATTCCCGCTGCCTCCATGAGACGATTTTCAAGAATGATTTAGCCCCCTCCCAACCTTCTCATCCTTTACCCTGACCTCTTTCTCTTTCTATTCCTTTTTCATTTAAATCCCAAATTTAAAAAACTTCATTTCATAAATGGTAAGAGAAGGACATGACTTCACGTCACTGGCCATCTCTTCTACTGCTCATGTGTAAATAATATATTTCCTCGCTCTTTGCAGTAAAAAGAAAAATCCCCTCCAATCTACTTTTGATTAATATTATTGTGCGGAAACATTAGGATAATGATATTGGGGGTATAGCTCAGTGGGCAGAGCGTCCGACTCAAGATCGGATGGTCTCGGGTTCGATCCCCGATGCCTCCAAGTTGAAGGTTTTCGATGATTATTAAGCCGATCTCCACTCCATTATTCTTTGTCTATTAATCATGTTAAGCAATAACAATAATAATAATGGCGAGAAAATATTTGTTTTTAATTGCAAAATATATAGAATTCCCAGCTCAATCAGCCTAAATCCTTTTCGTAATCCTGTTTTTTTTTTTTCTGCTACTTTATTCGCTTTAGATAATTTGGCAAACAAAATACATTTAGGCTATATCCAGAGGGGGGGGGGGTTGAGGGCCGTAGGGGCCACAGGCCATGACACCATTTAGTAAACAAAATAATTATTGTTGGAACAGAAAGAAGAAAAATGATCGGTCTGGCGATAAAATGTTTATTTCATATCTGGTGAAAATCATGAAATGATGAATCGTTAATCTTTTAAACCCTATCCCCCTCTACCCCCTGGATCTCCTGTACATCCGCATGATCCGCTGAAATTTGGCGGGGTATCCACATTTCTCCTTCTCTCTCTCTCTCTTCTATGCAGTCCATTATGTTCCTTTGCTTTTAACCTTCGTTCTATTGGTTTATCACTTTGAACTTCCCGTCACCTTTGTTATGATTAATTATCGTATTTCAGGCCAATGGCCAACTAACTCAAACATTAACTAACTCAAACATCATTCACAAGTCCAAACATCTCATCAAAAAAAACATGGAGAAGACTATTATATTCGGCATAAGATAAATGTTTAAATGGAAACAGAAACAGGAACCATTTTCGTTTCCATCTTTGTGTAATTTCATTACAAATATTGTGCTCATTAGTTTTTTGTTTGAGCTATAGACAGGCACAACCATGAAAATCTTGAAAAATTACGTTACCGCCCAACCAAAAGTTATTGACGCATGCGTACCCGATTTTCCCATATTTTTGTTCACTTTTTTTCCTTTCAGAAATTCCCCTACCAGATAGTAATTTTTGTAACATGTATTTCTTTAGATATTTTGATAACATGCTTACGGGGGCATAGCTCAGTGGCAGAGCAGCCGACTTATAATCGTAAGGTCCCGGGTTCGATCCCCGGTGCCTCCATGGGGATTTTTTCATGTCAGCTCTCTTCAATCTCTTCCATTTTACTTTCTCCGGAAAAAAGGATATTTCTTTCTCTTTTCATTATCAGTTTTCTAGCTCTCACTACAATATGGAGAGAGAGAGAGAGAGTAAAAAGTTATTACCGTTGACTCAATGGAGATGATTGTAAGGATAAGTTGCGTGTATGTGGGTGGCGAGGTCGTGTCTTGGTCGAGTGGTTTAAGGCGCTTGACTGGAGATGCGAAGGTCGAGGGTTCGAATCCCAACACGGCACTAATATTCTTTCGCAAGATATTAAACTGGACTTGCTACTCTCCACCCAGGTGTCAAATGGGTACCCGGTAGGATGCGACCGTCATTGTTGGTCAAACAGCTTGTGAGCGTCAAGTAACGCCCGGCTGGAATGCTCTCCAGGGAGTGGAGATTGTGCACATAGTGTGTGCGGGCAAGCACTGAATCCAATGACTGGGGTAATAGTATATTTGTAAAGCGCTTAGAGACATTAATTAAGCGCTATATAAAAATTAAATATTATTATTATTGTTGTGGCTTGAGTTTACCTGTGAGGGGGCACTGAAATGATGAGGGGGACATCAGTATTTATCGAAAAAATGAAATGCAACCCCTTCTCCTCCCTCACTCTCTTCTTCCTTCTCATTTCTCTCATTCCCCTCTATCTCCCTCCTCTCTCTTCTTTTTTTCTTCTTCCCTCTCTCCCTTCTCTCTTTCTCTCCCTCTCTCTCTATCACAAATGCACACGTCATAAGTATCTTCCTTTTCTCATATCGAGCGTCCTCGAATTCTCAGCCTAACCAATCTAGCCATCTTTGACTCACAACCTGAAAATTGTTACTAACTTTCTATCGCATTACCATAGAAACAGAGGATATTGCGAAATGTTCCTGTTTGAAATACATTGCACCCTCCGACCCTCTTTGGTATATCATGGATTTATAAATCTAGTGATATTGTCAAGAGGGTATAGCTCAGTTGGCAGAGCGTTCGACCAAAGTTCGCATGGTCTCGGGTTCGATCCCCGATGCCTCCATGAGAGATGATTTTCGGGGGTGATATAGCCCCCTCCCACGCGTATATATTCTTATCTTTTCACCTGCCTCCTTCTGTAATTCTCTTTCTATTTATTGTCATTTAAGCCCCACATCTCATCTCATGTCATGAATGGTAAAAGAAATTAGAGAATAGAATTTTTAAAAAAACTTATGACTTAACGTCACTTACCATTTTTTAAGCTGCTATATACTTGTCAAATTTAGAATATGACGGCGTTTGAATTAGAGCCATTCTTTTCAGGGAACATTTTTTTCTCTGATGTTCGTCCACACTTGCATAACGCTCACAAATTATTTCTCACCTCTCCCCAGAACTCAACCTTCTGTTTTAAAAGCCAAACACCATCTCGTCCCTAAACAAAACACCCCCCCCCCCCCCCTCCCTGCACGAGCGCCCCAATACCTTGGTTCCCAGGTTATATTCATATCATATCATGATGCAACCATATGCAGTGATTGCGATTGCATAATCCCGAACGTGACCGCTCTTGGATTTCGTCAGTGAACAACACCGTAACAGATACAAAGCTGATTAATTCGAGACTCTCCACCTCAGCTCAGAACTGTGGTGCTTATGACTTTTAAGATCCAGCTGCCCGATTCTGATTTGCTTTGTCTACACTGTACCTGTGACTTTTACTTTAGGTATGTTTTTACTTCGATAATTAATACATTTTATGGTGGTCTGTCCCATGTGTTGATTTTTGTGTCACGTTTTGTACAATCACAATGCTCAATCTCAATAATTAAAAACAAGTCAGAACTTTAATTTTTCAACTACAAGATCGAGCATATGATATATATTAACTGGTGCGAGCCAAAATTTTCTTACAAATTTAAATTACTTTCAGTACACACCTACCATCTTCTGTTTTGGCACAATGTTGATTTAGTCGGTTGTACTAGTAGTCTACTACTACTAGATCTAGTACTAGTTGTGGGCACTCCAGCAAAGCATAGAGAGTCATACTAGACAGAAATAACCGTCTGATATGGGTCATTTCTTTAATAAAACTGACATTTGTTGACATTCCCCATATACAGACGGTACAACAGAGATCTCGTACCGTGGGGGTAGCTAGAGCCAGCGATGTACATCTTTCGTCCACGACATTTTCTCCCCGATTTTCTTTATTTAGATCTTATTTTCTGATTTCTAATTCAGATGTAAAATAGGTTCGAGTAGTGTTCTCCTATTTACACTACATATTTTTAAATGACCTCTTCTCCAAATATGAAATTAATGGACTTACTTATACGAATTGTCCCATTTTCGTCAAGCTGTACCTTTCGCCGTACTTGAACTGTGATCTATGATCCGCAAGATATATTTCTGGGTCAATGGACTAGCTGTATTATTAACGCACACAACGATCAGGGGTCTTTATTATCTTACAGGATCTCTATGGGCTCACTTACGCGCTCGTGCACGTACATGTATATCTGTGATAGGTCATTGGGGGTGGAGTCTATCGACCTTTCGCAAACTTTATAATGAATATTCATTATACTCAATTCAAGATGGCTGACTGACGAGAAGTCTTTTTCGAATGCAAAAAAATCTATTTTGGAGCTGAATAAGCAAGCTATCGTAAGTCAAAGTATATATTTAAGTTTTCGTTATTGAATAGATAACGGGGGCTGTAGTATTGCAGCAAAATTAGATATGATGAAGACGTAAAAAGTGACAAAAACCTCGGAGCATTTCGTTCATCTCTGTTCGGTCACTCTACCCTCACAGTCCCGATAGGCCATACTTCAGTCTCTATAATCGGAGGTCTAGTGGAGCAAGGCGTAGTCTCGGTGGAACAACCGACGATTAGAGAGACTGAAGCTTTCGGTCTAAGAGAGTCATAGACAGAAATAACCGTCTGATATGGGTCATTTCTTCAATAAAACTGACATTTGTTGACATTCCCCATATACAGACGGTACTACAGAGATCTCATACCGTGGGGGTAATCTGGCCAATCCAGCTGCCACTTATGGTGATAGAGCTTTCTCCCCTGATTTTCACTATTTAGATCTAATTTTCTGATTTATAAATCAGATATAAATTAAGTATAGACCTATGTATTGTACTCCTATTTACACTAAATAATAATAATTGACCTATCATACAAATGCGAAATTTTTGGACTTACTTATATGATTTATCCATTTTTTTTCTCCGAACCGTGAAACGTACCGTTCATCCATTCAAATTAGTAATCTATGACATCACCCGGCCGATATATTTCCGGGTCAACCTACCAAAACATAGCGAATGGCCAATCAAAGCACTCGTTTCATATTGGGTTTATGAATAATCATATATCACTGGGTTGACTCGTACGTAGCTATTGGACGTTCGAAAAGAGAAAATGAATATTCATTAATTAAAACCAAGATGGATGACAACGAATCATGTCGACTATGAGACTTTCTCGGATTAATCATTAATGTAGGATATAAATGAGCTAGCCATATTTGTTTGTTATTTTTTATATTTTTATTAGCCTATTGTAATATTGCAACAAAAGTGCATTTATGAGGATGTAAAGAGTGAAAATCTTGTTGCATATCTCATTCATCGCGGTCCTGCCGAACCGAACCATTTGTTCCACTAGTACGGCATAGGCCGTACTTCAGTCTTTGTATAGAGGCAGTCAGTGGAGCCAGATGGGCAATTCCACGGTAACGGAAGGACACTCAGACAAGATTTTTGAACTTCAGGTTCATACTAAAAGAAATGTTTTATTAGTATGTATTAAACTATGGGGAACAAAATGTGTTTCAGTCAAGTGGAAAGCTTCATCAACTTCACAAAGTTTGGATAAACACTAATTAACTGGAAAAACCATGTCCATTTTTATGTCCTTCCGTTACCGAGATAATTAATATGCACATTCTTAAACTAATTAACTATAATGACAATTTTTTTGGGGAGAATTAAAGGCACTTATATAGGTATTATATCTGTACTGTTTCACATCTTATACTAATAAAACAGTTCTTTTAGTATGAACCTGAAGTTCAAAAATCTTGTCTGAGTGTCCTTCCGTTACCGTGGAATTGCCCAGATGCAATCTCAGCGGAACCACCGTCGATATCAGGGACTGAAGCTTTCGGTCTAAGAGGGTCAATGCTAATGCGTATTGACATCTAGCACTGCATGCTTGCTGTGAGGCGGGTATTATTAGACCCATACACAAATATACACCCCACACAATATCGCATTGACTCTACTCAATCATGTCGATGCAGCTGTAGATCTAAGCAAAGTTTGACACTAGACTTACAATTTGAATTTTTAAATTATTCTTTTTAACATCAGTAAGTTAAAAAAAATGTATTTTACTGCTATTTAGGTGTCATCAATTGTCACTGAAGTACCGATTTTGAGTGAAATCAGTTGAGTTTTGTACAGTGGTGTTTGAAATGTTGAGAATCAAAAGCACAGCTTTTATTACACAGCCAGGATAGTGATGCTCCTATGGTTGTGGGTGTGGTCGACTAGATCTATATAAATTAGAATTGACTTTTTGTTGTCAAAATGCTTTACGTCACATGTATCTCTTGTTAGTATATCCGATATGTAATTTTGTGGCACTCAAAGCTTTAAGAAAAGTATGATATTGTAAGGTTTTAATTTCCCTAATATGATTATGAATGGATGCTATTTTTTTTTTAAAGAAATAGCATCCATTCATAATCATATTAGGGAAAATTAAACTGTTTAAAATGAAAGGTCACATACATATAGCAAATACAAAATAATGGTATGCTTTCATCAATGAACATCTTTCAAACAACGTCCTAACTTCAATGGGTTCTATCCTTTTTCACCCTGAGAATTCCAGTCGGATGATTTGTAGACATAAACATTAAATAATTTCCTTTTTTTCCTGTTTCTGTCACAAATGACAAAATATCAAATAAACCACAAACCTCTTTTGGCTCTCAGGAAGTTCCCAATTCAAGACGATGCAACTGGGAAGAGAACACGATGGATATTGGAACTCAATTCCTACACGTTCAGCCTTATTCACAAGAAAGGACAATCACACAGAAATGCAGATGCATTATCTAGACGCCCGAGTCAAGAAAGCCAAGTCACTCCAAGATTGACAGATCAGCTACTCAAGCACATGGTGACCAATTCACTGTGTAATGCAGTCGAGACTCGTTCATCAACAAACACATCTACTCCCAATGATGCAACGAGGCAGTCTGCACCAAACGTCCTTCATCCTTATCGTGGTGTAATCCTTGACAGTGATGTAGATGTTCAACATGAACAGCAACTAGATCAAGACATCAGTACAGTCATCGAATGCGTTAACAATGGTGAGCGGCCAACCATTCGACAGATCCGTAGACACAACCCCCGGGTTAGACGTCTCTTGTGGCAGTATCCCAAATTCATCCTCCAAGACGGTATACTCTACAGGAAGAAGAAAGACAAGCTTGGTAATCTCTCATTCCAACTTGTCGTACCAAACTCCCTCATTCCAAGGGTACTTCAAGAGTTACACGGTGACCCATCATCCGGACATTTCGGCGCTCATCGCACAATGCAGAGAGCAGAGTCAATGTGCTATTGGCCCTTCATGAACAAGGAAATCACTGATTTCTGCAACACATGCACAGCTTGCGAGTCCTTCCGGTTACCAACCCCTAAGCATCAAGCACCCTTACGTCCCATTACCACTACTCGCCCTTTGGAGATGGTTTTTGCCGACATTGCTGAGCTTCCAAGTTCAAGACGAGGATTTCGCTATATACTCGTTGTGACTGATCATTTCAGCAAATATGTCAATATCTTCCCAATGAAAGATCAGACTGCTCCAACCATCGCCAAACATTTGTTCGAAGAATATGTGAAAGAGCATGGTATTCCAGAGACTTTGCACACAGACCAAGGTCGACAGTTCGAGTCCAGATTAGTGCAAGAACTATGCAGCAAATTGGGCATCAAAAAGTCTAGATCGACACCCTATCATCCCCAAGGAGCTGGCATAGTCGAACGTTGTAATCGCACCATCAAAGATCAAATTGCGAAGTACATTTCTCATCAAGGAGGAGAATGGGACACTCACATCAATCAAGTCCAGTTAGCGTACAACACAAGTACTCATGCCTCAACAGGTTTGACGCCATACTACATCATGCATGGCAGGGAAGCCCGTACACCTGCGAACATCACCTGTTCAACTCCCCCTCCATCGTCATCTGGCAAGACACTCCTCGAATACACAACCAACCTGTCTGAGCGATTGAGAAAAGCATGGGAGTACACCATACAAAATACACGACAGCAACAGGAACAACAGAAACGACAGTATGATGTGAAGAAACGCATTTCAAAGTATGACACAGGTGACTTTGTTTGGTTACATGACCCTACCAACATCAGGAACAAACTCGAACCAAACTGGAAAGGTCCTTTCAGAGTATCTTCCTCATCAGATGATGGACTAAATTATGACATAGTTCATGTCCATGATGAAAAGTTCAAGCGACGGGTCCATCATAATCGTTTGAAACCGCATCGAGCTAGAGCCCCACAAGTGATGTCAACTCCACCATCCCCACCAACCCCACAGCCTACGTCAATACATGGGACTGAGAGGACAACGACACAGTACCCACCAGGTCCCCCAGCAGAAGACGAGACTAGGAGAAAGGTGCAGTCAAATCAACCTACTAGCCATGGACCAGCCTATATCACGTGGTCATCTCGACCACCAGAACGCATCCTCCATCACGAGCAGTCGAACCATGACCAACCATCACGGTCAAGTTTGTCTGTTCGGCAACAAGCCTCAAACCAGCCAACTAGTTCAACAGAACGCATCCTTCATCACCGACAGTCAGACCATGACCAACCATCACGGTCAAGTTTGTCTGTTCAGCAACAAGCATCACACCAGCCAACCAATTATAGCCACCACTCCAGGCTAATTGACTCAGCCCCACTTCAGCAACAACCTAGGCCATCACGGCCGACTACCCAAACCCAACATCAGCTGTCCTCGCCGGTTGGCCAACTTCAACTCAGACCCCAATATCAACTGAGGTCGACGACTCACCAATCTCAACTTTGGCCATCCTCATCAGCTGAGCAACCTAAGCCGTCCTCATCCGCTGACCAACCTCAACCTCAGCCATCCTCATCCGCTGACCAACCCCAACATCAGCCGTCCTCATCCGCTGACCAACCCCAACATCAGCCGTCCTCATCCGCTGACCAACCCCGACCTCAGCCGTCCTCATCCGCACGTTCGAGATCTGGTCGACAGGTTAAAGTACCCGCCAAGTTTCAAGATTACAAACTGTAAAGACTTTCGAGAACTAATGTTTGCAATAGTGGTAGATGATTGAAAGACTTGCTGATTTTCACTTTTCGCTGTCATACCTTGCATTCGCCATGGCCCCATTATTTGTGACAATATGTAATTGATAGAATTCTTGATTTTTGAACGTTTTGGAAGATTTATGATATTTTCGTAGGACTTGTCAGTAAAGATAGGATTACATTGTCAGTTTTTAATGTTTAGACGGGAAAAGGAAGAAGACAAACTTTCAAACATTTTGTCATGTGTTTTTCCATCAAATTTGTTAGTTACACGTCCATTGGGTGAACTCCTCAATGCGCCCATCTTTTATTTATATAAAAGAAGAAAAAAGACTAAAATGTCAATTTTGATTGCAATTTTGCAATTGTGCTGAATTTTAAGATTAAAAAAAAAAAAATTAAAAAATGTGAGATTCAGATTGTATTGGTCACAGGGTTGACCTGCATTATTTTACAAAAAGGACTATATAAATGTGTCAACAACAAAAATTGATGGGATTATTTGATTTTAAGTACATGTTTACATTGTTTTCTGGACATCATTTTTAGTCATTTGACTTATATTGATGTTTTTAGATATTTGGATTTAAAACAGATTCTTGATACATGAATTCATAAGATGTGTTTTTTCTCATTACATAAATCATGTATAGTCGAGATTATATCTACCATAGACACCGTATTTGTATAATGTCTCCTTAAATCTGGGACAGTTTTGAAAGAGTTATATGTCAGAATGCGTGCATATTCTCTGTGTACATTGTATTTCATTGTTTAGTTGGCTAACTTATTTAAAAAGAATTTTTAACAGCGATTCACGAAACAGTTATATATTTTTCTTTAGGTGAAGACATTGCCATGTATTTTGTTTATAGTTTTTGTTAAAAATTGCCAAATTGGGTATGAAGTATTTGATATTTTGTCATTTGTGACAGAAACAGGAAAAAAAGGAAATTATTTAATGTTTATGTCTACAAATCATCCGACTGGAATTCTCAGGGTGAAAAAGGATAGAACCCATTGAAGTTAGGACGTTGTTTGAAAGATGTTCATTGATGAAAGCATACCATTATTTTGTATTTGCTATATGTATGTGACCTTTCATTTTAAACAGTTTAATTTTCCCTAATATGATTATGAATGGATGCTATTTCTTTAAAAAAAAGAAAAAGAGAGAATTGTACAGAAGGAAAACTTCATGATTTGATGTGTTCAGGTATTTCAAGCAAATTTTATGTGACTCATTTTCTTCGAAAACAAATGCATATTAATACGATGTATCTTTTAAAATGAGGACATTTTTCTGTGAAGATGGTATATTATGTAAGGTTTTAATTTCACTGATCCAAGTGGTTACTTGTTTATTTTACACTGTACATTTAGCTTTCCACTCCGATATGCTTTAGCGCACTCCTGACCTACATTCATTCTCTCCTGTCTGCTAGCTCTTGGCTTCTATTGTTCTGTCCCTATTCATTCATCCTCATGCACATTACCTGCTATAGCATCACACACACACTCTTCCTTATCTCTTAGCTATTCAACCCAGCACACATGGCACATGGCACTCTATCTTTTACAAGCTTTTCTATTGGTTACCTATTTATTGTCCAATCTTGTGATTGGTTATTATTGTTTGATGGACTGGATGTCAGCCATCTTGGCAGCCATTTTGTGGTTGGAATAAAATCTAATAGTGCAGCTCAAGTCCTCAACCATGTGAGACCACTTTGTTTTGTGTGGGACTTTACAATATTGTGTACTGTCATAATTATTTTTCGGAGAGTTCACAAGTCCAAAATAGTTTTCTTTAATACAGGTGTTCTTGCACCATAATCAGGGGATCTATGATTTGTATGAGTTTGAAACAGTAAGCTACTCTAGATCTACTTCATTGTGGACTCATGAAGGCTGCAGATGTGGTTCATTTTGTAATGAAAGCTATCAAGCATTCATGTTTAAACCAAAATGTACAGAGTTACATGAATTGATGAATTTTCGAAATTTTTCCTTTTGTCATCTAGGAATGCAGAGATCAGGTATGAATACAGAAGGAAACTGAGCAGAAACTTCTTCTCTGGCAACATGGAGATGGCAAGACTCTGTCGTCACATGTTAAAGAACCCTTCAGCACTGACGAATGTCTGTCACTCCGGCAGCAATATGAGGAGATCACTTTTTGCACTAAGAACTAGCATCGGTCATGCTTCAGTGAAGAGGATGTTCTCTGAAGTGAAGCATGACATTGTTGCCGAGGCCGTGAAGCCCAAACGGAGGATACTCAGGAAAACGCTCCTGGGACTGACGGGGATAGCGGCTGTAGCAGGCGGTGTTACCTATGCTAGCATGGAAAGCGCTGGAAGGAGAAGAGCTTACGTTACTGCTGAAGGATTTATCAGATTTTTCAGGTAAGTTCAGGATTGTCCTTGTGTTTTCAAGCTTATGCAAACATTTGGCCCTGCATGTATTTACCTCAACTAATCTTATTCAAAGAGTGTTTGACATAGCGACTCTTCTTTGCAGAACATAAAACTGCACACATCACCATATACATGTACATGTATGTTTGTGCCATGTAAACAGTGATATCTTTCCAAAGAGACCAGTTGAGCGAATACGATCCACAGCAAATAAAGAAAGTTTCTTGAACCTCATACAGAGATCTCATTCATTCATGATGTGAATCATTCTTTGTTTGCTTAAAGCTAAAGACCAGTTATGGTCATGCGATTGTATTGTGAAAGAAACGTTGTGGAATCAATCAGAAAAGGTTGATCATCTAGCATATAAGTATTGGTGTGTACTGCAAGGTTCTGGAATCATCAAAATGATAAGAAATTTGACCCAGTCTTGGTAAAGTTACAAGCACTGTACACAGAAAGATATGGGACTACGCACATGTGCGCGACACATGCATTATCTCATCAGGTCCAAATAGATATAATAATTTACCAAATATATCAATTAGTAGGCGGTTTCTCAGCAAAATTTGTATGATCACGTATTAGTCAAAACTTATTCTTTCACATGATTGGTAATGAGAGCTTCCATTTCATTTTTTGAGAGGGGGGCGTTTCCAAAACTGGTCTTTACCTTTAATGCAGGTAGAGTGAAAAAACCAGTGTTCTGACATGACAGAAAGTTCCATTTTATTGAATACTGATGATCTTGCAAATAATGATATTTAGATATGAGTTTTCTTCCTTTTAATTTAACATTTCTGTATTCCTATCCAGGAAATGATATGCATTGTTTTCCTTTAAAAATAATGAAAAATATTCCCCCTTGAAACAGCAAAAGAACAGTAATCGCTCATCATAGAAAATATTCTATATATATATAGAGTATTGTTTTATTCTAAAAGAGACTTGATGACAAAATTATTAATGTTCCTACTCTTCCTGGTCACTCTTATCTTCCCATCTCACAGAACATTCTATATTGGAACGAGAATCTCCTTAGATTATAAATGGAATCTTTGGAAACTTGAAGATGGCAGCCAAGAATACAAAGAAGCCTTCAGAGCGTGCAACAGGAGAACAGGAGATTTGATATTAAAGGTATGATATGAGAGTCAATCCTAAACAATTTGAATGATTCCATGAATTATTGTACCTAACTCCAATCTGTGTGTGTTTGGTAATACCAATGAAAGCCTACCTATTTGTGCATTTGATTAAGACGTATCCACTCAGTATGTGGGGCTGTGACAATCAGCAGTGGACAGCCTGTAAATTGAAGAGGTAAAACAAAATAGGAATAATCTGCAGAATTCTTAACATTGTAGGATGATAAAATATCTTATTTCCATACAATTCCTTCACCTGGATCTCTATCACTGTGATAGAGAGAAATTTGGGGAGTTGTTTCGGCCAGCAATCTTGCTCATTTGAAACTCTCACATGAGTTGAAGAACACACACTCATCTATTGTAGGCAGTCCTAGCAGTACAAATGTATGACAAGCAAGGTTATTTATAGATAAACATCTTATATGTGTGAGTGGGACATAGTATATTGTTAAAATGCGGGAATGATGGTACAATGATTCAATTCGAGAAAACTATCCATGTAAAGAATATTGAAAAGATTGATATTTGAAATAAGATGAGTCTTAATTCACCAATTGAAGTGTAGTATAGTGGTGGTGGTTATTTTACCTGACTGCTAAGAAAGCATAAAAGCTTGTTAGTAAGCAACCAGAGGACGGACGGCTTTAGGTCGTCTCCAAGAGACCTGGTAATGAGGATTCATGCCTTACCAAAGGGCACTAGCGCATCACCTTGGTTTCGAACCCGGGTCACGGGATTACGAGACCATTGCTCTACCAACTGGGCTATCGCGCCTCCTCACATTGTAACAGGAGAACTTGAGAATTAAAAAACAACAACATTTGGTTAACCACCAGGGCTCAAATTAAATTTTTGTCCACGGGGGCTCTTCCAAAAAAAAAATAGCCCCCGTGAACCTTCTCACGTGGGCTCTTTTAGTGCTGACGGGGGCTCTTATTTTAATACAAATTTCCATTGGATGAAACTCCTAAATTCCTTGGTATTTTATCATTATCATTTATTTAAGTCGGCATTCTCCCCCTTAGAAATTTACTTGTTACATAGCTGTATACTTTTATCCCCGTGATCAGTGGCCGCCCCACCCCCCCCCCCTGGGAAAAAGGAAGGGGGAAAAAGGGGGATTGTTCTTCTTTCTTTTTTTTGAAAAAAAAAGTGTTCCTTTCCCACTTGTATCACAGAGAAACAACAGTTTAAGTTAAGTCTAACGTTAACGTTAACTTGTCATTAAAATGTAGAGTACAGCCCTTGGCCCTAGGCCTAATTTAGGTCGTAACTGTTACTGTTTGAAAATCTAATTAGACGGTTTTCATGGTTAGACCAAGTAATTGAGAAAAAAAAGTTTACCCGTCACTGAGACCAGGTCAATCAATCTTCTAGATCCATTATTAGGGTCTAACGTTAGTAGATATAAGGTAGATGCAGGCGCGGATCCAGCGGGGGTGAGCGGGCCTTGCCCCCCCCCCTTTTCCGCAAAAGAGAGAGAGAAAGAGAGAGAAGGAAAAGAGGGAAATGGAAAGAGGAGAGAAAGGGAAAGAAAGAAGAGGAAGAAGAAAAGAAAAGGGGGAAGAAGGAGATCGTTGGGGGGGGGGGGGAAAGAGCCTTGCCTCCCAGGCTGTTGCCTCCCCCCAATAAAACAAAATAAGAGAGAAGGAAGGAAGGAAATGGAAAGAAAAAAGGAAAAGGGGAGATAAAGGGAAGGAAAATTCTCGCTACCCCAAATAGCGATTCTGCCGAGATCCGGGGAAAATCCTGAAAACGCGCATTGCATTATGGGATAGCTTTTCGACATTACAGCTTCCTGTGCAGGCGTTCGTGATCACAACCCTCTCTTTCACGGTAGAGTTTAACGGCCTTTTGTGCTAAAGTCACTAATTCTGCCCGAAGCTTTCCATTGCATATTATAATCTGTACAAATTACACTGATTGGCATCGATTTTAGCGTGCGTGAAAACTCTGCACAGCGAACACAGGCGCTAGCGCCAGCGGGATGGGACTCTATACCGGAAGTTGTAGTGACGACCCGAGAGAGTGAAAATTACCTCGTCTCGCGAATTTCGAGATTTTCGTACCTATTTAGGGTAGCGAGAATTGAGGAAGAAGTAAAGAAAAGAAGGAGGATATCATGCAGTTGCCATTTTCCCGCCAACAAGTTGCGGATGGGGGTGGGGCAAAAGGCCTTTGCCTCCCCCGCCCCCGCTAAAAAAAAGAGAGAAAAGAAAGGAAAAGGAAAAAAGGAGAGCTAAAAGGGACCAAAAAAGAGGAAGAAGAAAAAAAAGGGTGAAAAGAATTTTGATGCGGTGTTCGAGTAGAATTCTGTGAAATGATGATATACTTTCTCGTAGCTTGATGCGACGAAGTGTCTCTATCCAGATATCTGTTGATAGTATTATAAAATATAGAAGCCTGATATGACCTTCTGCTCGTAACCGACAAGTCACCGCATTAAAATTAAATTGCAAAACATGATGGTGGATAAAACTTTCTAATATTCAAAGATATATGACCTTCAGACCATATTGTTTCATTATTTTTTATTCAATCAATCAACGTCAAAGAATTGATTCATCATCGCACTTCAATTCATTATTTCACCTTTTAATGTACTTTCATTCTTATGCATCACGAAAGAACACTGAATTGGATTCTTCAATGTTTGTTTTGATTAATTTCCTCCCCTTTCCTTCTCCCTGTTTAATACTGATAAAATTTTCAATTTGTCTTAATCAAAGCAAAATATTATTTTCATATTTTCTTTATGCAAGACAGGGAGGGAGAGAGAGAGAGAGAGAGAATATGTTAAGTGAGAATTATCGAGTACAACTATGAATTGCATCCTTTTTAATATTATTCAATTCGCTGAAAATCTTTATTTTATAATTCCACGGGGGCGATTTTTAATTTTGCCATCGCCACCGGGGACAACCTGATGGGGGCGATTATGGAGCTCACGGGGGCGAATCGCCCATCGCCCCTGTATATTTTGAGTGCTGTTAACCACTTTATTTGACTTCAAATTCCTGTTTGACTCTGTAATCTGTATATATACAGGGCTGTCTGAAGAACGGGGGTCTCTACATCAAGCTTGGACAGTACATGGTGACTGCTAACTACATCCTACCCAAGGAGATCCTGCAGAAGCTGGCCACACTTCAGGACAGAGCTCTCACAAGAGAATACAAAGAGGTGGGATATTCGTTTTTCTTATCTTATCAATACTTGCAGTACAGTGATCATGGTGATATACTCAAAAGTTGTCTATATGTAGAATCTTAAAGGGGAAGTTCACCCTGATATTGAGTAGATTTGAGTCAAAGCAGAAAAATGAGCGGAACGAATTAGTGAAAGTTTGAGCGAAATCTGATTAGGAATATGAAAGTTATGAAATGTTTGAAGTTGTCATTAGTAAAACATAAATTGGCAATATTGTGATCAATATCATGGAAGCTCCTCTGCAATTTGCTCTGTACAGAAAATGTCATAATCTTCAATTTCTTAATTATTTATGACAGAATAGATTTGTTTTGATACAGGGGTTGTATAAAAACATATTTGCAATTATTATATTTAGGGGTGAGTTCAGACTGAAAAATTTCTTACGGAAAACAAAATTAATTAAGTTTTTTAGTACAGGGCAAATTGGAAAGGAGCTTGCAAGATCCCTCACAGAGTTGCCAATTTGTATTTGATTGATTGCACCTTCAGAAATTCATTACTTTCTTATTTTGGGTCAGTTTTTGCTCAAACTTTCACTGATCTGTTTCTCTCATTTTGTACTTTTATTAAAACCAACTTCATATCAGGGTGGACTTCCCCCTTTAAGTCTATTCATGAACATGGGCCCTAGCAGGTATGTGGTTACATTAGCATCAGAATGGTGTTAATAGGTGGATTACACAGAAATTAAAAAAACTTTGTTTTGTTTATTTGTCTGCTAAAAGGGGCACAAAGATGTTAAACACTTTGTCAAGCTCTGAGTTAAAGGTACTATGTCCCATTTGCAGGCCCAAAAATGAAAAAGTTTAATTCCAACTGCATTTGAAAGATAATACTTATTTAGAACTTCCCTAAAAATGGTGGGGCTTGAAAATGTCTTCAAGTGGGAAAATAATGACTATTAGTTGTCAAATCGACTTTAGGGCTATAGAGCCCAAAAGTAATAGTCTTGATTTTCAGACAATTGTACCGAATGGTCAAACGTTTTATGCTGCGCAAAGATTCAATCAGTTTAATCTTGGCCATCACAAGAAGTGGGTTATTGATGTAGACAAATGCTCATGTACCCTTTACAACTCTTTTCATGTATGTTATTACCAAAGAAGAAAAAAAGCCAGTCAGTCACTCAATAGTGTCTGACAGTGAAGTCTAGCAAATAAACAGGTTTCCTTGCATAATTTGAATATGAGGACACTGCTAATGTTTAAATTTCACAGATAGGACATACATGACATATTCATAATTCCTGCAAAGTTCTACAGAATTTGAGGTTGGCTGCAAAAGGGACATAGTACCTTTAAAGTTGTTCCAACCACCTGAAAAAATAATTTGTGTAAAGCTTAAATGTGACACTTTTGATGATTATGGTTCACACCATGCTGCTGATTTTGGTAAAAGTAAAGGTAGCCCCCCCCCCCCCCCTCCTGGACTCTGAGACGAATTCATCCTTTACAGTTGAAATTATGGAGAGTTTAAATTTCTCACTAAAGACATTACATCTTGACAACTGTACTCCCAACCCAGAGGCTGCCAACCAATACAATTAGATCATATTTTGTATGATTTTTAGAAGTAAATAGGATTGTACGATTTTCCTCGATAAAAAACGATTCCCCCCCCCCCTTAAAGTATCCTACAAGCATCTCACATTAGAAATTTGGGGATGTTGATTGGTTCATCGAACACACCAGTCATGACAAAATCATGCATATTCAACCAATGAATGTAGAAACCCTAAGAGCCATTGATCCATGTTATTTTTTTTAAATACAATTTTTGTCAGTAAAATACAACTTTTGGAAAAGAATACAGTTTTTGAACTCCAGAGGTCGGCAGGTCTGCCAATGTTACCTTTGAATGTACACTACCATCCTTCAATTATTGACAGTCCTTTTTTTTTTTTGCATTCCACGTTATTCAGCTGGACAGATTATTCAAGGAAGAGTTTGGAAAGACCCCTGATGAGTTGTATGCAGAGTTTGACCCCGAGCCCATAGCAGCTGCCAGCCTCGCTCAGGTTCACAGAGCAAAGACACATGAAGGAGACGAAGTTGCTGTCAAGGTAGAAGAGAGTCCTTAATTTTTATTTTTAATATATCTATATAATTTCACCACAATGTCCTTACAGTGGGGGGGGGGGGGGGTGTTCATGTATCTTGGCAAGCCCCTGTGACATGGTCTAATCACAAGTTCACAAGTAGTATTAATTTTTTATTTGTTTTAATGAGGGCCTTCAAAAAGGGGGAAAACACAAAACGACACTGCTATAGAACAATGATTATAAAAATCGACATCAATTTAAAACAAAAAGAAATATATGATTTAAAGACTCTTCAATGGTAAGTGGGCAAATTCTCATTGCTCAGACAATTCCAAAGTGACCGCTTAGAGCAATATACTATTTGTATATTATCCAATGCAGTCCAGAAGGTATTTGATATAGCACCTTTCACTTGCAGAAGGGCTGCATGCACCCCTCCACATGTTTGGGCCACTTAAAGTAAACAATAATATCTTATCACATATTATTTAATCATTTCCTATTTAGCATGTCCCTCCCGTACAAGTTTAGCTAGAACAATTTATCGTTCTCTAGCAAAATCAATGGGACTTCATAAGTTTCTGGAACAGGTCAAGAGATGGATACTTTGTTTTGATTTGAACGCAGGTACAGTACATCAACTTGAGGGACCAGTACCCCGGTGACCTTCGAACTCTAGAGATACTCCTTGACATCATCCATTGGATGCACCCAAAGTCTTTCAACTTCAAGGATATATTATTGGTAAATATTTATTAAGCCAATAGAAGTTTCATTTACCTTTTTTTGTTAAAGAATGATAAATTTGAATTTCTATGATTGTTTTGTATTCAATTATTCATTATAAAGATTAGATGTGACCATAAGGTTTCAAATATAATACACATGGTGGACAAAAATGCCAATGTAATACCAACTCGAGTTTCTCAATTATAATTTTTCATGCTTATTGATGTATTTCATGTTTTATTGATACAGTGCTAGCCTCACTAGTTTTTAAACTGGTATGACAAAAGGCACCGGCACTACAAACATAAACATGTATACAGAATGTTAAATACATGTGGATTTTAAAAATATATATATTGTCATGATTGTGTGTAAGGTGTAGAATTGTACACACAAAAAAATCACATGATAATTTAATTAAAGGAGGGATATGGGGAGAAAAAGAAAGTTGAATTGATAATTATAAAAGAGAAGTGAAGAGGTATAATCATTCTCTCCCTATTTTCATCCTACGAACTGTTTATTTCATATATTCGTTAAAATATTGTAGATATTCTTTTGCACTTTTAGGATTTAGAGGAGCCGTTGGCCAAAGAGCTGGATTTTGAAAATGAAGGCAGGAATTCAGAAACCTGTGCCAAGCAGCTGAAACACCTAGACTATGTCTATGTACCCAAGGTTTACTGGAATCTTACTAATAAGGTAAGAACAATGTAAACTTACACTGGGGCAGCTATTGAGCTAACTCAGGAAATGTTCAAATGATCTCTTAAATATTAACAAAAATGAGACTTTTGTAGGAAAAGGAGCTGTAAAAGGATGTGAGAATCACTGCTAAGAACATTCATATTTACCAGTACTTCAAATTTGAAAATAGCTCCTGTAAAGTAAAGCATTATTTGCAGTATAAAAAGATGATATATTTACACACATAATATTTAGTGTTAAAAGCAATCTTCAGTTGTGATGGTTATACCAAAAGTATACCAGTATTTTTACAAACTAAACAAATACTTAAATGTTCAAGTCTTGTCTGCTAAATGATTGTGGTGTAAAATATAATTGTCAAATAACATTTACATTGTATTTGTAAATATCTAGTAGTCCCATCTACATGTACATGCACATAAACATTTTTTTTATCCAGTACATGTCATTATCTGCAGGTTTTTCTTCTATGTGTCTGCATTTGGCAGGTCCAAACAAAACATCTATTGCATAAAAAGAATTTGGAATTACTTTGAACTTTTGAAGCCAGTTCTTTTGAAATGTAAACAACACAAGATAAACTCTGATTTGCATCTGTGCAGAGTTAGTTTTTTTTTTCATTCAAAGACAAGCCTTTGAATTTCTCATCTTGATCCCCTAAGTGATAATAAAAAATTTGCCGTGACTGCTGCAGATTGTTATATGTAAATCATGTTATACAGTCAAACCTGTCTATAGCGACCACCCAAGGGAAACAAGAAAAGTGGTCTTTATAGGCAGGTGGTCTTTTGTACAGGTTCCTTTAGTACATGTTTCAATGAGAAACCATTTTCAAGGGAAACAAAAAATGTGGTCTTTGTAGACAGGTAACCACTAAAGCAGGTTCGACTGTATTTGTATATAAAATAAATCTGCTTTTTACTTTTACTCCAGAGGATTTTGACAATGGAGTTTGTGAAAGGACACAAAGTCTCAGAGAAAGAGAAACTGCAGGAAGATGGCTTCAGTCTAGCAGAGGTGAGAAAATGAACACTTATATACAATATAAGGTGATGCAAGCATAAACGCATGCTGCTTAGGGTTAGATCTTGATAATAATAATATGCTGTTCTTGTATAGTGCATATCACATTATAATGTAATGTCTCGATGGACCTTTGATATTATTTCATTAGGGCAAGCATTTTCAACAAAATGGGCATATGGTGGAAACGCTTCCTTTGAAATCCAGTTATGTAAATAAAACATAATTACCATGAACCTTCCTCTTCTCTATGATACCTACTTTCATTACAGTATTCAACAAGCTTGTAGTAGTACGACACAGGTTTAAAAAAAAACAACCTTGAGTTGCTTGTGATTACATTCATATTAAAAGCCTGTGTGGATACTGTTGACATAACCCAATAGGATTATCGTCTTTTCTATAGAAAATGAAATTTGCTCATTTTGTTTTCAGAGGGGAGGGAAAGAGGATTAAAAACGCTCATTGTGTATATAATTATCTGTAATATGTATCCGAAATTATTTGGGTATATAACCACAACATAGTTTTGAATTACTCCTTTATCTTCCCTTCTGCCCTACCCCCACCACAAAAAAAAAGAAAAAGAATAATAATCATTGTTTTACCTTGTTTTACCGGTTAAACAACTCGAAGAGATAGCTGAATCAGCTGTAATCGATAAGTTCAATTGTATCATTGAGGATGAAACTCATCCTCTACAGAGACATATTTTTTTCAACAAATCAGGACGGGTCAGGCTTCCAAAAGTCAAAACAAATAGATTTAGGGGGTCATTTCTCATACGTGCCATGACACTACACAACGACAGGTAATTGTTAATTATTTATTTATTATTTATTATTAGTTACAGAATCAGTTATTAAGGATATATGGATGTACTGCATATTTATTTAAACTCTTGTAATCTGCCTATAACTGTATAATGATATTACCAGTAGTGATCTCTGGTATGTCTATGGTTGTAATTTGTGTGTAATTATGTTTCTATACCAAAGCCTACACTGTATACCAGTCTGTACTCATATTCTATTGTGTGTTATATTTATTCCTGGTTTTGTACTTTGTATAAATTGATAGTACATGTATGTTAATTGATGTAATATAAATTGAGAAACAGCCGGAAAATGATTTTTATGCCATGTAATTGTGCATGATCAATAAAATTGAACTTGAACTTGAACTTGAACTTTTTACACATGTAGGTAGATGAAAAGCTGATTAAAATATTTGGTGAGCAGATTTTTCACACTGGATTTGTCCATGCAGATCCTCATCCTGGCAATGGTAAGCCCACAAATGAAATGAAAATGCTTAATCATCTTTAAAGCCACACTGTCCTACTTGTAGCTATTTGATCCCTCTGTATAGAGAACAATGCCTAATCAGAGACTTGTGGTCCCCCATGATCATCTTTTATTCATGTTAATGGAGAGCTGAGTTGATGAGATAACCACCTGTCCAAGGACCTTGCAGGGTAGTCTAATCCCTCCTATAAACTAGTACAGATAAGCTTTAAATTAAAGGGCAAGTCTAGCCCATTGCAAGTTCATGGAATAGATCGAAAGAGGAAAAAAATGAAAGTTTCGTAAAAATCAGTTAGAAAATAAGAAAAATATTGGATTTTCAAATTTTGCATAATTTCTTGAAACAGTGATATGTATCACATAGGCTGTATGCAAATTAGTGAGTTGATGATGAATTCCCCTCACTTTTCTCTATCCATTTGTACATGAATTTAACACAAATTAACTTATATTAGAAAAACAATTTGCTCAGGGAATGTTAAACATGGCTTGAATTCTCATTGAATAGGTGCAAAATCGCCATTATTGTAATGTATTGTAATGTAAAGGAAATTTTGTAAACCAGTACTAATGTGGAATAAGAAGGCAAACTTTAAATTTTATAAACAAAACATATGAGGAGTAGTAATGTGATGAATATTGTTGCAATTTTCTTAATCGGACCTTTTAACAGTCAAATGAATGTGACCATCTAAGCATGACAGTTCTAAACTTTATCTTAACTGAAGTTGATACAGTATTAATTTTTTTCTTTCATTTTATATATATTTTGCTATATTTTATTGATTGTTTACATCAAGATTTTGAATATTTAAAGAGTGTCCACTTTCTTTTTTGCGAGTGTATATAACGTCTGTTGTAATATTTTTCTTAGTGCTTGTCCGCAAAAATGGTAAAGGAAAGGCTGAGCTGATTGTCCTCGATCATGGTTTATATGAAGAAGTAACACCAGAGTAAGTTGTCATTCTTGTCTTACTTGACTATCCCTGGGGAGTGTTTCACAAAGACTAAGATGGACTTAAAGGTAAAGACCAGTATTGGAAACGCCCCAACTTCAAAAAATGAAATGGAAGCTCTCATTACCAATCATGTGAAAGAATATGTTTTGACTAATACATGATGCTAGATGCTAGATGATCAACCTTTTCTGATCGATTCCACAACGTTTCTTTCACAATGCAATCGCATGACCATAACTGGTCTTTACCTTTAAGTTGGACTTGAACTGTGGCAGGCTGTTCATGTCACTAGTTCCTCTAACCATTCCTGGCATTGGTTTCTCAAGGGACGTACAAATCGTGGTCACAAATCTACAGAATTTACATTTTTTTTAAGTTCAATATATAAGGAAAATATACTATTTAAAAATCATAATTTTTAAGGTTTTTTTTCCCTCTAATTTTACACCTGGTTCAAGATATTTTAAGTGCATAAATCGCATACCGTAGTATAAGTCCAAGTCTTAAGTATAACTTAGGTTTTCCGTACATCCATACGTCCCGTTCTCTTGATCGCGTTATCTCAAGAATGGATTGATGAATTCCCTCCAAACTTCGGCCATGTATGTATCTTGCAGAGCCAATGAACTGAGTAGATTTTGGGGGTCATGAGATTCAAGGTCAAAGGTCACAGGCTCATTATGTATGCAAAAATAGCTTGTGATCACGTTATCTCAAGAACCACTTGATGGATTCCCACCAAACTTGGGGTCAGGTATGTATCTTGCCGAGCTAATGAACTGTGTACATTTTGGGGTCACAAGGTCAAGGTCACAGGGCTCATTATGTTTGCAAAATTAGCTTGTGATCACACTATCATTAGAACTGATGGACGGATTACCATCAAACTCAAGACATGTATGTATCTCACAGAGTCGATGAAGTGATTAGATTTTGGGGTCATGAGGTCAAAGTTCAAAGGTCATGGGGCTCATTATGTATGCAAAATGAATTACAATCAAACTTGAACTTTTTCTGTTTTGGTATGTACAATTGCTCCATGGCGTAGGCATCATTTTCAACTGCACGCAGTTGAAGGTCCATCTAGTTTCTTCAACAACGAACTATCAAATGTGTAAATTCTGTAGACTTGTGACGACCCTTGAAAGAACAATGGCGAGAGCAACCAGTGGCATCAATGGTGCTATAGTTCAAGTCGAACTTAAAGTTGATTTTATTTTTTGTGAAACACCCCCAGGTGCTTTTTATCTTTCCTTTAGTATTTCTATTCATCAAAGGCACATCACACAAAAATTGCCTGTAAATATCTTTAAAAAAGCATTGGAGAGAATTGTTATTGTCATCAGGAATTTTTTATGATAACGTGAATACAAATATTTTTTAAATAGTGGATGTGATATGATTTTATTATACCTGACTGCTAAGAAAGGAAGTACCATATGCTTGTTGAGAACTGAGAACTGGAGAAAAGGGGACCCGTGGCATTCAGTCTTATCAGAGGAACCTAATTATCGAGGATTACTACCAAAAAAAAGGGCCCTAGCTTATCAACATAGACATACCTGGCACCTCCCAGCCAAGTGACATGTTCTTGCCCTGAGTTATCACACTTAATATCTTGTCATCGAAGGTTTCATGTTCTCCTCAAAATAGGTGTCATTTGGCTCACTGTGCTTCATCGGGTCTTCACATCAGGTCGGGTTGTGTGGTTACACAAATTTTGTGAATAATAAAGCCTTAATTCTCAAAGGGTCAGGTCTAACGTTTATAAAAATACACACCTCTTATCACCAAAGTGTTGGGTCCAGTTTACCCAACACTTCCTGAAAAACCTACGGCAAATCTACAAAAACTCGCATTTTGAACCAAGGCTTTTTTAATACGAGATAAATATAATCACTAGAGTTCATAAAAGGCCTGTCAATCATGTTATCACATATGTACAAGTAAAATGGTTAGCCTTATCTCAAGTATCATCTTTTTAATGAAAAATATGATTATTTGCTCTCAATTTACCTGACCTTTCGTGAATAGGGGGACATGTTTTCACAAAAGTTTGTGTAACTCAACAACCTGACCCGGCGCAAAGGCCCAGTAGAACGAAGTAAGCCATGTCATTATCTTATTTCTCCTTTTGATTTTGATTTAGAATTCGCATTGCCTTTGGTCAATATTGGAGAGCCATCATCTTGAAGAACGAACAAGCCATGATCCAACATGCTAATGAGCTAGGCATTGAAGGTAAAAACATGCAGGAAAGATGGCTGTTATTTCCATCTCAATTTCATTTTAAAGCCCCACTGCACTACTTATAGCTACTTGTGCCCTCTATACAGCAAACCATGCCTAATCTGTGACCGTGGGTCCCCCATGGTCCCCTATTTCTTATGTTAGTTGAGAGCTGATTTTATGAGATATCCATCGGTCAGTGACCACGCAGGGGGTCTAATCCCTCCAGGCCAAACTAGTGCAGATAGGCTTTAAAGGATAGGATATTTAGTTTGAAAGCAAAGAAAATGTTAAGAGAGGAAGAAAACAATCAGGAATAGAAAAAATTTCTGTGATAATTTGCTTTGCTATTATTGTGAAAACTGTTCATCATTCAACAACAAAAAATTAACATACGTTTAGTTTTTTCAATAAATTTCTGAGCTGAGCTCAGTCATCAGAATAATACAATACTTGTTGCACTTTTTTCCTGATTAACAGAAGCATTTTTTTTTCAACCCATGTATGTACTGTTATGTCTTTGACGTGTATGTCATTTACATGTTTTTTTCCAGCACTACCCAACATTGTCTTAAAATGTTGGAAATTGTTACTTGGGCATATTAACCATGAGAATGAGGCATAAGATTACCATTTCAAATGTTTAACATTATTTATTTTGCATTTTTCAACCATGAATTTTTTAACACATTTAATTCTAAGCCTGAGATAACTAGGGGTGAAACCTGCTTGCAATATGGGTTATTGGTAAGATTTTCAATCTTGGTGCCAAGCTGTAAAGCCTAATCTCAACACACTAAATAATATCTTCCCTTAGAGTACCTGTTGTTCGCCATGATGCTGATTCAAAGACCCCTCAACATGAACGCCAAGCGAGGGAGCCACATGACCTTTAACCTTTCCAACGCGGAGCTGCGCAAGCTGCAACGTGAGATCAGGGACGAGATGCACACTATGGAGGATAAGATTGAGGAGTTTCAAGAGAGGATGAATGTATTCATGGAGAGCTTTCCAAAATGTCTCTTCCTCATCTTTAGGTAATATGCGTATGGCCAAATGCAGAATTCTTATGTTGTCCTTGGAAATTTATTATTCATTGAATATATTTGTAGTAGTCAAAAGCAGCATAGATTTTTAAAAAATTTAAAAAGAGTGGAGGGGGGGTTCATGCCCCCTCCACTCTGGTGTTTTTATGCTTCCGTTACGAAGTAGCCGGAGGCATTATGTTTTCGGGTTGTCCGTCCGTCCCTACGTACGTCTGTACGTACGTCCCGTTCTCGTGATCGCGTTATCTCAAGAACCAACTGATGGATTCGTACCAAACTTTAGTCATGTATGTAACTTGCAGAGCCAATGAACTGAATAGATTTTGGGGTCACAAGGTCAAAGGTCACAGGGGTCATTATGTATGCAAAAAATAGCTTGTGATCGCGTTATCTCAAGAACCGATTGATGGATTCCTGCCAAACTTAGGTCATGTATGTATCTTGCTGAGGTAATGAACTGATTAGATTTTGGGGTCATGAGGTCAAGGTCAAAGGTCATGGGGCTCATTATGTATGCAAAAATAGCTTGTGATTGCATTATCATTAGAACCGATGGATGGATTACCATCAAACTCAAGACATGTATGTATTTGGCATTTGGGGTCATGAGGTCAAAGATCAAAGGGTCATACATGTATATGAGAAATAGCTTGTAATCACGATATTCTGAGAACCTGTTAATGGATTACAACGGAACTAGAATTTGACAAATTTCTTCCGTTTTGGTTTATAAACTTGCTCTATGACGGAGGCATCACTTTTGACTGCGCGCAGTCGAAGTTCCATCTAGTTTTTAATGTACAGCCTTACCAGTTAGAAATATTATAACTGATCAACATGCCATACAGTGTATTATGGTCATTGGATTCAATTACAATAAAGCATGTTACAATGTCATGCGTCCGCCTCACAACCGGGAAGTCATGGATTCGAACCCCGGCCTCGTCATACCAAAAGACGTTTAAAGACGGGAGTTGCTGCTACCTTGTTTGGCGTTCAACAATAAGGGATAGAGCAACGTCGATCTGGCGCTGCTCAGTGGCTGCCGGGCTCACTATCAATTGGGCTAAAAGAATTTCCATTTTCGGTTTAACTTAATAAAATTTGGAGTGGACTTTAAAAGATTATTATTATTTTTATTATTATTATTATTACAGTGCACACTCTCCACTCCATGGGGATCATTAAGCCAATCACCTTATTACAGAGGTGCACTTCCTAATCTACCCCAAAGTCATCTTACCAAGCACCCATTTATCTTCCTGGGTAGACATGCAAATTAGATAAAGTATCTTGAAATGCTAGGGTGCCATACTGGTAGCCACGTCTAAAGCCGGGGTAATAGTTGTCGGGTGCTAGGAGTGTCGAGTCTTACAGACATTATCGTTATACAAGAACCCACTATTATTATTGATACCCTAAGGTGCCTTGTCGGGGATTGAACCCGTAATCTTCATTAGTCAAGTCAAGTGTCAAACCACTCAACCAGGACTAATCTAAAAAGTAAATAAATTAAAAGTAATTTGACAAGTTCTACCAACGATGAAAATAACAATGTGATAACGGATATTTGGTACATATGATAAAAAGATAGATATTACGCACGTGTCGCACACGTGTGCGTAGTCCCATATACATCTTGATGTGTACAGTGCTTGTAAGTTTACGAAGACTGGGCCAAATTTCTTATCATTTTGATGATTCCAGAACCTTGCAGTACACACCAATACCTAGATGCTAGATGATCAACCTTTTCTGATCGATTCCACAACGTTTCTTTCACAATGCAATCACATGACCAGAACTGATCTTTATCTTTAAACATGTTCCACTTTTTTGTTTCTCATAGGAACATGAACACTGTGCGATACATTGACCGAGCCTTGGGTACTCCGGTGGACTACCTCGTGACGATGGGAAGATGGTATGTGAAAGACATCTAGGCCCATTTCCATGAAAATTATTATATAATAGCAGCTGCCAGAATTTTAGAATGTATCTGCTCACAGCCAATCAGATGCCATAATTTCAGTAACTTATATTAGTCTTTATGCAAGCCGACACTTTCAAGCAGCATCTATATTAGTCTTGTTTTATAAAACATGGGTCTTAGTCTGGCAGAGACATGAGAATAATAAGTGGGGGCGGGGGGGGGTTGCAGATAGACATCAACTTGCTTGCAAATTGTGGGGTCAGGAAATTTTATTGTAATGCATTGATTTTGAATGGACAAAAGTACTATGTGGATACAGTTCTGTTTCAGTAAACAAGTCTTGCATGAGTGGGATATGTTTAAAGGCAAACAAAAGCATAGTAAATATATATTTCAAAAATGGACTATAAATACATTTCATTGTACAGTCAAACCTGTCTATAGCGAGCTGCCGAGAGAAACACAAGTAGTATAGTATTAATGACTGCTTTGAGAGAAATAGTTGTTTTATTACGCTCAAGGGAAGGTTAGAATTGTGCTATTCCCCGAGGCTTGCCGAGGGGAATAGCCCAATTGTAACCTTCCCGAGAGCGTATGAAAACAACTATTTCTCGAATATTAAAGCAGTCATTAATACTTTTATATGCCAAAAAAAAATAGACTAAAAAATAAAAAATAAAAAATATTTTACATTTTTGTCGAAGACGGGATTCGAACTCTTGCGTACAACAAGAGGTGTATCGAAAGCCAACGCTTAGACCACTCAGCTATCACGCGCCGTTAACATGCTTGGCAGTTTTCTCTAATATATACATTAAAATGGATTGAAAACGGCTCCGCGTGAGGGATGCTTCGCAAAAGCTCCATGAAACGGACCCTTCTTTTACTTTTGCAATGCATATTGGCACGAACTTAGATCAAGATCTATCGGCAGATGTTGTTTTTTTGTTTTTGAGAGTTTATTTTCGTCTTCATGTCAACAATGCAAGATAAAATTGTCGGTAAGATCGATCGAGATTCAATTGTATTGAAATTGCCGACCAATTTTTCGCACACGTATGGTATCCTCCATCGCTCAAACCATTTTTTAACATGTAAACCTATGGGGTAACCATGGAGACTGACTTATTTTTTTAATAACCATGGTTATTAAAAATATTGAAATGTTTTAAGCATGGTTACCGGGAATTTTACAGGAACAGTTGAAGTTTATGAATGCAATTTCGACCAATCAGATGGCTGGATTACTTAAGTGAGGTATATAATTGTCTTTGAAGACAGGTTTCTTTAGTACATGTTTCAATGAGTAACTATTTTCAAGCAAAACTAAAAATGGGGTCTTTCGTGTAGACAGGTGGTCACTAAAGCAGGTTTGACTGTACCATTGTTGGTTTGAGTTGACCCGTACCTCAGTCCACCGTCACTCAGACAGGCTTGCACTCAATAGATTTCCATGTTGTTATCTTCCTACCAGTGCTGCAGGTGGCTCTGTATTTCTACCTCAGGATAGGTCTCTGAAGAGCCGTCTCCATGCCTTTTGGCAGCGCTTTGTCTACGACTTCACGCTCAGGTACGTTGGCATTGTCTGTGATACTGTGGATCTTTAAAGTGACTGGGTAACATTGCCTCAGATTCTGAAACAAAATCCTGGATAAAGCTCATGTTGCAATCATAATTATAATCCTTTAGCCGATAGCCTGTCTGATTATCAAGATATTTATGATTGGAAATCGAAATTTTATTTTTCGTTTTCCTAACGGCTTTTATAGCACTACAATCTATTGGGGAAAATGAATACCCGGTATGGTAATACCGGTCACTCAAAGATTTTTACTTTTTTGAGGCACTTCATGACTATTTTGAAGTGCAATTTTTGTAGGGCTTCAATAGTACACCATACGACAGACATTGATAACACGTAGGGCCATGAACATCAAGACAGGGCCATTTGATCTGAAAGAATATTCAAAGGCAATAAAGTCACTAGTAGAAGGGAAGAGCTTTGGGGAAGATGGCATACCACCAGAGGTTCTAAAAAGATGTGACCTGGATGAAATCATTCTGAGTTTCTGCAACAACGCTCTGATCAATGAAGAAAAGCCCCACCAATGGTCCATACTGAACATTGTTCCAATACCAAAGTCTGGAGACCTGAGCCAAGGAGGAAACTATTGAGGAATCAGTCTAAGCTCCATCGTGGCCAAAACTTTCAATAGATTGATTTTGAACAGGATCAGACCTGTACTTGATAGTCACCTGAGAACCAACCAAAATGGATTCAGAGTTGGAAGGACCACAGTGGGACATATTTTGGCACTACGTAGGCTTATAGAAGGAGTAAAAGAAAATCAGCTCCCGGCTATTATCACATTTATTGACTTTCGCAAAGCCTTCGATACCATCCACAGAGGCAAGATGTTGAAGATCCTTACTGCATATGGCATACCGGAACAACTGGTGAATGCTATTGGCAAGATGTACGAAGACACCAAAGCAAAAGTAATATCACCTGATGGAGAGACTGACCTCTTTGAAATCATGGCTGGTGTGCTTCAAGGTGACACGCTTGCACCTTACCTATTTGTAATAGTCCTCGATTATGCCTTGCGAGCAGCTATAGACGGCCATGAAGAAGAACTTGGATTCCAACTAGAAAGAAGGAGAAGTAGGAGAGTTGGTCCGGAAATCATAACAGACCTAGATTTCGCCGATGACATAGCCCTGCTATCTGAGGAAATAGAGCAAGCCCAAAAACTTCTGAGCAGGGTGGAGACATCGGTAGGCAAGGTCGGGCTCCGGATGAATTCAGGCAAAACCAAGTTCATGTCATTCAATCACAGGGGGATCATCACTATAAAAACAAATGATGAAATTCAGGGGGAGAATGTACCTGATTTCAAGTACCTGGGAGCACTGATGGTGAACACAGAAAAAGATGTGAAAGCTTGTAAGTCAGCAGCATGGAGAGCGTGTAGCAAGCTTGGAAGAATCTGGAAATCTTCTCTTCCTGGGCAGTTCAAACAACGTTTGTTTGTTGCTACAGTTGAATCTGTGCTTCTATATGGCTGCGAAGCATGGGCAGTTACAACAAAGCTGGCAAAAGAATTAGATGGTTGCTACACCAGACTTCTTAGGACAGCATTCAACGTGCACTGGAGCCAGCATATGACCAATAAGGAGCTGTACGGGAATCTACCAAAAGTATCAGAAAAGATCAGGGAAAGAAGACTACGTTTTGCAGGCCACAGCTGTAGGAACATCAATGAACCAATATCTCAGCTTTTACTCTGGAAGCCTAAACACGGGAAGAAGAAACCTGGAAGACCTCATCTTACTTATACAGACCTACTCAGGAAGGATACGGGACTTGAACTGTCAGAGATAAAAGCAGCCATGCTGGACAGGAATGTGTGGATGGCCATCACAGCTCGTGCAGTTGACCCGACTTAAGCAAGCAAGCAAGCAAGCAAGGGCCATGCATCTCAGATTTAACATTGTTAAACAATGCCTTTAAGAAAAAGTGTTTCCATTCACCCAGGAGGTAAGTGCTAGGCTGAGATTGGAACCCTCAACCCTTGGATGAAGAGTCAAGTGAATGAACCACTATACCACACCTCATCAACAGTAAAATCATTGTCTTTATAGCAATATTTAATCATGATCATGTAGGGTTGTTGTTGTGGTTTGATGGATAAGTCACCGGACTGTAGATAGATTACAAGGTACAGGTTCAAATTGCAACCCGGCACAGTGTTCTTTTGCAAGATGTTAATTTACATTTGCCACTCTCCACCAACGTGTGAATGGGTATCTGATATGCTTGAGCTCTAGTATCTTTGGCGGCCCAGCTACAACCAGGGTGATAATGTCTACATACCACGAGCGTCACTGTGTTACCGATATGAGTGCTTTATTAGTGGCCATTAGTATTATTAGGGTGGTATTTATTATTGTTATATATGACAGTAATCCCATGATCCTTTGTTGTTGCAGGTCGGATCAACTAATCCATAGGATTAGCATGGCCTTCTTCTCCCTCTCGATCAGATTAGGATTGGTGTCCTTCAAACCTCCTGGCAAGGGTAGCAACGTTGGTGATATCTTCAGCAGTCTGGTGCCCCCTAGGGCCAGTCCATCGACTGAGTAGCAGCAGAGACATACAACATCATCGGTTCATCTGACCTTTCTCGGTTCATCTGACCTTTCCCGGAATTATCTCCAGTGGTACCTGCTCCAGGGTTTTCTTTGAAGATATTTTGTTTGAAAACCTATGAATATCGCAAACAACATGAATTGTACTTTAAAAGATTGATGTTTCCAGTGTGAGTTGATTATGTAGTACTGAAATTTTACTATAGACAGGTTCTTGCCTAATATTTCTGTGTTCTCTTGCAAATCCTTTATTTTTCATTTTCCCTTTCTTTTACTTTCTTTCCTTATCTCCCTCTCCTTCTCTCATTCAAATGTGTTTTCTCTTCCCTCTTCATCCACCTGCATTCATCCAGTCCGGAGTTGGGAATCACATTTTGTTGATATGGTTTGCAGTTCTCAATAACTTGAAAAAAATCATCTCTTTTAATCAAAATGATAAAATCTCCCCTGACAAGCAGTAAAAATGCTCTAAGTGTGATATGATAAAAAGTGCATGAAAATTGAGTTTATCAGAATTATGTTATCTACACTTTGCTGCATATGAAATAGGTTTTACTGCAGATGGTATGGTCTATTTTGAAATGTTATGAAATGATTTTTTTTTGTTATTCTTGATGCTTCTTGTTAAATGTTGAAACCTGTTGAATATTTAATGTTTGATGGAAAAAGGAAGGTGTGATTACTGCAATATTGTGTGAGTGTTATTGTGTGCCTTCCACTATATTTGAGATATGGATTGTATATTTGGGAATAACACAAGTTTTATACCAAGTGCTATCTGTATGTTAGAATGTAGAATTACAGTATGTGAAATTATGTAAGAAATAATCAAAACTGGGTGCTATGAGTCACATAAAGTGAGGTCTAATGACTTTGATCATCATTACTTTACCCTCTTGTCATCATTCTTTTTATCCAACAAAACTAACAATTTAAGTGAAAGCTTAAATAAGAGCCAAAATTGTGGAAGTTTATTCCATGGTTGAATTGTGCAAATTTTTTGTAGAAATCATGGAGCAGGATATTATCAAGTTTGAACCAAGTCATCATTATTTTTGTGTCAAGAGAAGGATAATCTATTTTTCATTTTACCTTCTAGACAGAATAAATATTTTTCCCAATGGATGGAGGTAATATGGTTTGAAACAATCATGTTTATAGGACTTCAGAATACTGTTTCTTTCTAGTTCTCCTATGAAAACATGTCGTTTCTTTAGTTGGAAAAGATCTCAAGCTTCAGGGATATCTTGCAACCCATACCTTTGCCATAATTGGCAATGATGTCATTTCGAAAATGCGTTTGTAATATCTTAACCTCTATCATGCGGCAATTAATGACCTTTTCCAAGTGAAATAGATGTTGATTAATTATCATTTTAAAAAGCTATGAATGTATTGCAAAAAGTTGAATTTTTTGTATTTTTGTATTCAAATTATTTTTATTGAAACAAACAAGTAGTATATTATACAATTACATTGTCTGATATTAAAATGAGTGTTAATATCATGGGTGTCAAAAATTAAACAGAGTGCTCAAAACTAAAAAGTTAGAGCACTTAATGGTAGTGGGCAGAAACATAAGATGTTTTGATATTTATTGACGAAAATCTTGTGAGAATTATTGTATAGAAATATCTTTAGACAATTTCTCAGAAATCAGTGACAGCTCAGATCCTTGGTAGAGATGAGCTTATTGAGCAATATTTCTGAGAATTTATTTACACCAAGTGTATGTTGAAGTCAATTGATGGCAGAAAATCAAAGTGTGTGATTGTGAAATTTGAACATTTTATAACTTGAACTTATTGATTATATTTGAGAAAATGCTCTTAATCATGAATTTCTATTTCTTCCAAAGTTCCAATCAATAAATTGTAAGTGTAGACGTGATTATGTAATGAGAGAAACATCGTTTTGTATGCGCTATGAAACCATTTTAGATCATGTTAATGTTAATGTGGTTGGATGGATTAGCAAATGGCGCTTGTTAAATGGCGACTGGCTGGAATACTCCCCAGGGAGTGGAAAATGTGCATACATTGTGTTGCGGGTAAGCCTAAATCCGATGACCGGGGTAATAATATGTTCCGCGCCTAGAAACAAAGTATTAGGTGCATTATAAATGTGAGCTATTATTATTATTATTTTGTAAAGGTACTGTAAAAGTTATCTTGATATTTTTTAATCAATATATTCAACATTTCGTTAAAGTTTGTATGTTTTCAGTGCCATAACTGGGTAGTCATGATTTTAAAGATTTATCTTTCGTATTTTTTTTTTGGTGAACTTTTCATTACCGGTACATACATGTTAGTCAAAAAAAATGTCTTTAATTCTAGGAAGAGAGTTAAAAGAGAAACAGGTTTGGGTTAGAGTTAGAGTTAGACGAATCTTACCTAACCTAATATAGACAAATTAGTTATGCTGTATTACGTAGTAAAAATTGTTATCAGCTTCTAAAGTAAGTCATTATTTTTGTAACATTATGCTATAGGTTAGTGAATGTGGAAGGAATATAATCTATTTCTATTATGAATCGTTTGAAAGTCTGATGTATTGGCTTTCTACCTCTGATGTTATCTTTATTTTCTTTTCAGAAATGTTTGTTTTGTTACCATTATTATGCTCAACAACTCAAATGCTTATGAGTGATGTAACAGCACAATATTTTTCATGGTGGGGAAACTGGAATGTAGGTAAAGTTTTCAGGGTTACACCATGTAATTCTTTCAAAAGAATGAGAGCCTTGAAAATAGCTGGTGAGCTCCACTCTTAGTTCTCGATGTGCCAATCACTTTGCTCTTCTTCTTCTACTGTTATTTCTTATACTTTTGAAGCTAACTTTGAGCTCTGGTGTGGGAATCGTATTTGAAGAGAAAATTGCTATGATTTGTTCTGGATTGTTTATCCTGCAGTAGATTGGTTGTTTGAACCAGTGAAATAAAAATATGCACACTGAAGCTTACTGGGCATCATCTTCAATAAAAACAACTCTCATTAGCACATGGTGTCGGGTCTACACACCCGGATTTCCTTATCTTTCTATGCCCATTACTCTGAACTCAGCCACTGTGCATTTTCTTCCGAAATCGTTTGGCACATGTCATTTATTTGTTATCTTGAACATTCAGTGTTACTAAAGTTTTGATGGATTCTGTGGGATTTTATTTTCTTTATTTACCAGAACTCAAGCTTATCTTTAAAAAAGGTTGGTACTCTTCTGTCTGAACACAAAAAAATGTTGTCTTTTCCATTTCAAATATACATGTATTTAAAAAAACATATATATTTACATGTCAGGGACAAGAATAGACCAAAAGCTTCAGTCTCTAATATCGACGGTTGTTCCACTGAGACTACGTCTGGCTCCTCTGACTGCCTCTTTACAGATGTCAGTTTTAATGCCCCATATCAGACGGTTATTTCTGTCTAGCGTAAGAACTGCCTCTTAATAATGTAGAACGTTATCAACTGAAATGTATTCCTAAAGACTTCCTCCTCTGTTTATGCTTCAATTATTGCTACTTTGAGGGGAGGGGAAAGACTTTGGTTTTCCCTTGTTCATTTTGTAGTTATGTTTTTGGAGGTGCTGTACAGGAAGGATTGAAATGTTGCCGGGATATCTTAGGGCAATTAGTCTTTTTCTACCTCTTTACTTCTGTAATTAAATAAGAACTAGGTACCGGTAGTTTGTTGTCTTTAAGGAAGGGTATTTTCCTACCTCTGTACTTCGGTATTGCATTATTAAAGAATTTGTTGAATTCGAGGAAGGGTAGACAAAGATATATGCAACTGGTCTAGTAATTTATCATAAGCATTAATGAGGTACCTGAGTAATATCTGTGTAACATTCATCTTTCTTTGTGCAGAGTAATTTTCTGTCCATTTTTATGGTGGATACCTTTGTATATGAATTTACATTTTCAATATATATATTTAGATAAGAATGATAGTGAAATGTTGAATCATGAACTTTATTTATGAGCAGATATTTTAAGTGTATTCAAAATAGAATTATTAAATCAAAGAAATGATACTTCATAATAATTCTGTTTTTGTCAAATCTGTGTTTCTTTGCTGTTTACTAGTGAATGTACCCTTTTCTTTTAATGTAGTATTTCTTGTGTATCATTCTGTTCTATATCACGTAGCTCTACATTCAGTGCCATATGTTGATGATAATAATGATCCCTCCTCCCCATAGATCCTCCTCTCCATAGATCCTCCTCCCCCTCTATATCCCGAATCTGCTACTGACAGAATTGGAATTTGAGATTGCTTTGCAATAAGACTAGTGATAAACCATAGCAAAAGTGCGTTAACCTTTTCCAACATCTGATTATTGTTTGTAATGGTATTTGAATCGCGAACCCACACGACAGGGGATATAGGTCAATTGCGTTTGGGGGTGATGCAAATTTAATGTGAATAACTCTGTGTATTTCTACGGACTAAAGGACATCACGAATAGGTCATTTTCGTAACGTAATCAAATTTAAGGCACAAATCAAGTGTTTCATTACAAAACATTTCATTCACCTGTTACAAAAATGATTGTATTTCAATCATCAGAATATGAATTGCATACATTCCGTGCTGTTGGGTAGGACAAGCCATATTTGTCCTATAATACCTATAGCAACAATTAATGTAGGATATGCAATTCGCATTCAGACTATTGAAATAAAACTATTCGTAACAGGTGAATGAAATAATTTGTTACGGGGCACCTAAAGATGAATTTGATTACATCACGAAAATGGCCTATTAACACTTGAGTTAGTTGAACGTCGTGCCTATAGCAATGCTATCTTTGACTTTGCATTTGTGTTTTAATTTGGACTGTTATTTGGTTGTAATGTAATATTATGTCTCATAACCTTAGTCTCCAAAAGACCTGAACCGACATTTCATTTGTCTGGCAAATGTTTCATATTTTTCATTCAACGTGAAGTTCATTACTATATGCCGTGTTGGGACTTTCGCTCCGTTGAGAAAGAATCCTCTAATGACCACGCCCTAATTGGTTGTCGATGCAACAAGTTGGCCATGCAAAGAAAGTAAGGGCAAATGGACATTGTCATTTCGTCATCTTGATCGTCGATATCTCATCGTGGGTTAATAAACCTGGTGGTCGATCGTCAAATGTTGCAAAAGGATCATCTGCTTTGGCGTTCAACTCGTCATGGACTATCATTATGGACTGCGTATGAACATCGGGTCCCAAAGTCGCTTCCCTTCTTATCAGTAAGTCTCTCACAGTAATTAAATAAGCAGTGTCAGTGAACTCAATCTTCATTTGTATTCGTTATCAGATAACTAACAAAATCATATTACAGTCATCGTCTGTATGATGGATATTTCTGCATGTGGAAATGGAAAACTGATTCGTTTGAAAATAACTATTTGATAATATTTGCTTAAAGGTCCAAGAATTTCCTTTTAAACATAAACTTGGCTCTTAATTGTAGTGTTTAATATCACGAAGCATTATTCACGTAACTGTTGAAGTATAATGACATATTGACAGGCAGTTTATGCCAAGGGGGCGAGGGAAGCAAAATTTGACATCTCTTCCTCTCCCCTGGTTGCCCCCCCCCCTGGCTGCCCCCCCCCCCTGTTTCTCACAATTAACTCCTCTTCAAATTAACACAGGCGGAGGTTTGATGTTGTTACGAATCTGCCCCCTCCCCTCCCTTCCCTCCCTTCCCTCCCTAAAAAAAAGGGAACCCCCTACCCTCAGCTAGCCCATCAACCCTCTCACCCCCCCCCCCCCCCCTCTATTAATGAATATCCTGCTACCGCCACCGAGTATTAGATTGGGATGACAGAGAGGATCTTTAATAACGGTACATGTACTCGTGATTCTTTCATCTCTCTCCCGCGCATCTATCATCACGATTCCAGATGACTCGCACGCATTGAGCGAGGCTAGATGGTGAAGCCATGTGTTTCATATCGCGATAATTCGCCAAAAGATGCCTGTTAAAATATTTTAGATAAAATGCGACACGGGTCACGTCTAAAAATAATCACCCGACTCGTATTCGTTTATTAGCCTGACATGATATTGCTAACGATGTATACATAATACAGTCTGTATTCACCTTGCTGTATGGATTTTTTTTTTGTCCTTTGAAGATCTAGATGTCGAACCTTTAAGAATGAAATTAAAGGTATTATTGAAAGCAGAATGAAATATGTGCCAAACTTTTACTTATTTGGTTTAATTCAAGTACTGATACACATTATATTTTCGTAATACACGTTTAACCAATTAAAGGGGGAAAAGAAGATAGGCCCTTTAAATGGAGTATAAATTGTACATTATTTAACAAAAAAGGTTAATGCAAAGCAAAAGAGCAAAATTGATTGTTAATCCTATCTAGTCTGAGGCGTATTCATTCTTTCTAATTAGGTACAGACCTATTATAATCATATGCATACACCACATTTTCCCCATTGCTCATCCCCCCCCCCCCCGAAAAAAATCCAGGCTACGCCACTGGCTTCCAATGTCTATCGAATATGAATGGTACCCTTCACATTCCAATCAACATTCTTTAACACAAAGGTTGGACGCTTTGACAGCATTTAGCCGCAGGCTTACGTGGACTGGGATCGGTTTGTTTGATTGTTTGTTTCATTCTTGTCAGGAAGCGAGAAACTTGAAATATCGAGACAAAAAATGATAAATCATCTACCTGAGTGATTGAAACTGATATGAACAGAATTTTTTGTATAGGTATTTTCACCACAAAATGTTCAATGAATGTTTGCTCACATGTGGGTAATCGTGCATGAGAACAAATTTATAACAACAGTCTATATAGGGGGAATGAAACTCAATTATTGACTGAAAATCCTGCACTGTGGTACATTAAGTGGTATCCATTTATTATCACCCCTATCACTCACCTTTTCCCCCAACGATCTATGTGATATACTTCCTGTACTGTACTTTCTTGTCCTCTTTACATATATTTGTATTTGTAAGCGCTATGGTACTTGTTGTTTTTAGCGCTCCTAAATATTCGATATTATTATTATTATTATTATCATCATGTTATTTTGTTTTGTTAACATTTAGGTATAGAAGGTAGCCCTTAGCCAGTGACATATTGCAAGATTATATTTAGGAAAATATGCAAAATTTAAAAACTGGCCCGTATATAGGGCTAGTAAATGCTTCTTTATCAATTTCATTAGACACATTACTCAATTTACAAAATGCAATTTTCACTTCGTCAGCCAATACAGTTTTCTTCACCTTTTGAGGAAATTTCGATATAATGAGCCATGTTGTCTTTTGCCACGTAGGGAACGTGAAACGCATGTCAAATAAGGAGGCCAAATCCAGCAGCACAAGATCATAACGATTATGATGTACCCAATAATAAACACCGATGCCTGAAGAAATTAATGTCAACTGCTTCACCCAAACGCAGATAAACAATAATTATAGTAAATGTGTAATTGTGATAGTCCCCCACCTATTGGTGAGTGCGAACATCACAAAGAGTATTATGTAATCCGAACATACAACAGGCCTATAGGGACTATTTAATTATCTTTGAGGTGATTTCTCGAAAGTATTTGCGATGTTATTTATAATGTTGGCATGTTATAATATCGTTTTATGCCTTATTGTCTTTGCGTGTCAAATTGTCCCGTTAATTACACACACAAACGTATTTGTAGAGGAGACATAAGGGTGAAATGCCCAACACTCCTAGTCAACATAGAGTCAATATTTCATATCATTATTAAACTCATCGAGCACGACGCACTTTTTTCAGCAAATTTTCCCTCGCTCAGTGACGTCATTTCCAAGGGACCTCACCATGCCATCAACAAACGCACGAGTGATGGCACGTTGACAGATCAGCCAGCAGGCTACACGAAAACAAGCTAATACTCCAATTTCCCCGCCAATATTCCGAAGAGGATGCACCCATTCCACGAGAGCACATTCAGCTCATAAACAACTCCGTGATGAATTTGTAGGCACCACAACACCAGAGCGCGCTGAGCCCGGTATACGCACAGGCATCCATGCATGCAGGCGATATCTATAGTTTTTCATTTTGGCGCGTGAATACAAGGAAACGACGTTGCTTCGGAAGTAGAATACATGCGCTGATACGATACGATAGCTTGATAGGCAAAAATCTGCAGACGACACTGGACAATTTATTGAAAATGATCATCGAGAGCGCTAGCTGTTACAATTTGTACACTCATGATTTGATTTGTTTGTTTTAATTTGTTTTTTCCCGTAAAGAAAGCTCCCATACTCGTCACGGGAGAGTGTCATCGACCGGCTTACCATCCACAAGTTTACTGAACTAGTGTGTTTTTGAGGAGCTAAAATATACCGAGGGGAAAACCACAACAATTGGACCTAGAGATTATCGCGGAAATCGTGCTGGAATTTCACCGCGTATAATACGATATTGCTTCGTGCCCAGCTATAAGCAGACATTAATTAACACTTTGGAGCTTGGTTCTCTATAATATAAAACTATTTAGCTTGAGTAATCAAATACGGTGATTATTGTAACAAATATAACTTAAAGGAAATGCTTTTGAATTTGTCAAAGGGATCACTCGAATATCTGTAGAGGAATACTCGGCATCCGTGTTCAAAGATTCCAGAAACCACCCGCAACAAAACTCAACGTACACGAATCATAAAGGAAGTCAGCATAGACCTACGCTCAAAATAGGAATATAAAACTTGGATTCATACATCGAAGGTTAAGCCCCTCGAAAGCGAAATAAATGACATCATCATCTCGTTCATCATTATTATAATAAAGCATCGTGGTAATCTCCTAACGACATATTGCGAGGTTGTGCTTTCATCGGGACACTCGTAACGCCCCATTGCAGAGAGGGACTTGAGGAAAACAAATAGGACATCGAGAGCCTGAAAGTGATAGCATAACTTGCATTCCCAGCCAGATATTAAAGCTACACATCAGCTTTTGTTGATACGTCACTTGTTTTTCCCGTGGAATATATACCGCGGTAAGTATAGAAGCACGAAATAGATAATATTTCATTTCATTTCAATTACTCAGATTTGAGTTGAAGTATAATGTGCATAGTCTATATATTTTCGTTTAAATGAACATTATGTATAATATCCCTTGTAGTGTGTTATTTTGATTCGAGTTGCTTTTGCAGTTTTAATTGCACATCGTAAAGCATAATCAGTCTCTGTGCATATATTATTGTCACTGCGTTTACAAGAACTCGGTAATAATTATTATTATTATATTTACTAGTACTTGAGGCCTTCTTAATAAAAAAAAAAAATACATTCCCGAATTCCCTCCCCGACTCATTCGAGTTATATAGATCATATTAATGATGATCAAGTCAGGCGCGGATCCAGGATTTCTTAGGGGAGGGGGCCCAACTTTTTTTTTTTTTTTTGCTCCCGAAAATTTGAAAATCGCGCCGGCCGAAAAGTCGCTCAGTGGGGGGGGGGGGGGGGGGGGTACAGAGCACAATTTTTTTTTTTGCTCCCGAAAATTTGAAAAACGAGCCGGCCAAAAATTCGCTCAGTGGGGGGGGGGGGGGGGTAGTGAGCACATTTTTTTTTTTTGATCCTCAAAAAAATTTGAATTTGCACCCCCCCCCCCTTGAGCGCCAGGGGGGGGGGGGGGGGCCCAACCCCCAAAAATCGTAAAAATCACGTGATTTTACATGATTTTTTTCTCAAGGGGGGGGGCCCGGGCCCCCCGGGCCCCCCCCCCCCCCCCCCCCCCCCCCCCCCCCCCCTGGATCCGCCACTGGATCAAGTTACTGATTAAGTAATGAGCCATTAGGACTTTCTGTTTGGGGAAAAAATAAATGACAAAGTTACATCAAGATAGACCGTGTGGCTTGCATTGCTATTCGAGGCACTGGGAATCCCGGTACGATGACATTATCAAAATTGTAATGATACTCGCGAATAAATGATATATCAATAAGGCCTCGCTGTCTGCATAGAGGATTATAATTGAGGTACAAAAGTAGGCCTAAGTAATTCTATTCCATGATTGTTGTCGTACGCAATTTGTATGAGCGACATGATAAGTGGCAAGATTGATTGCTTGATATGGGGAAGATATGGGTCAACTCGAGCCGGTACAGGTAATATGAACTTAATTAAATCCCCGAGACATGTTTTGTAGACAAACCTAATTTCCACCGGCTATCAATCAAGGTATCTTCTCCAAGCTTGGAGGTTGATTTCAAAAAATTGTTAATAAAAGCTAATTATAGAAGTTGTTTTCTTCTTCAAAAGAACGTCCTGAAAAGAAAGAAAAATACCATCAACAACAACGGAGGGGGGGGGGGTGTCGAAGGATTGTCCCTCCCTGTTAAAGAGCGATCGCCATGATAGATATATGATATACCCGTCACGATGATATGAAATATTTTTCTTATGACGTGATCCATCCCTTATCCCCAGAAGTGAAAAATAATAGCAGTCTATGTCTGTAATACTTATCCTCAAGCATGCACTTGAAATTCTTTGATTGTGATAAATTCCAAAATACTCTTATTTTTTATATAGAGACTTAAATACAAAGTCATTTTAATTCTCCAAAAAATGAAATTAAATTTGTAGATGATAAAAATGAACAGAAGCTACGAAGTAAATTACCTTTCATTTTTATTTTTAGTTCTTCTTCACGTCACTGTCGACTTTTTTTCTTCTTTTGATTTCAATGACATGTATTTATTTTTGAAAGTTGTCTCCTTCTTTTATATAAAACGACCACATACTTTCTCCTCGTTGCTGTGAATATTGCATTTTTATATAGGCCTACTTGGCCTTTAAAAATAACTACTGCATGAATCATAGTTATACACGTGTAGCGGCCTCCACGTTGCTGCATGTTTTACATAGCCGCATGCATGATAACAAAAGTTGGTACCGATTGCAAGATTCCTACAACGTCTGTTAAGAGCCAGTAGGGCATTATGTCAATGGATATGATTATGAACTAACGACCCTCTGACTCTAAATAGACGGTTTAATGGATTGATGCCAAATCCCGGAGAATTTAGATCAAGTATATAGTGTTGTATTAGGAAGGGGATATTATAAAAGGTTCATTATAGCAAGATTTGCAAAAATATTAGGCCAATATCAACAAAATGAAGTGTTTCTCGTCCCCGCCCGCCTTCTTTAAAAAAAATACTATTTACTATTTATTTATTTTTAAGCTTTAAAAAAAAAAGGCTGTGATATAATTTTTGTTTAAATAGCTTGTAAAGTGATACAAACCATTTGTTTTGCCAGACATTGCATCAGTATACTCACAAACCACAATATCTGTGAATAAATAGGCTCGGCCAGCTATAAGCAGCATTGCAGCCATCTTGGAGAAAAAAATAGCTAAAAGTTGCAAAATAATTAATAGTAAATGCCCTGCCTCCTCCTTTTTTTTATAATCCGGACGAGAAACACATTATTTTTGTTATTTGGAATACGTTTAAGAAATGTATCGTGTTTTAATATGTGGACTGCTTGCACTATTATGTATGAAATGCTTCTGTACCACTGCAAGCATGAAATTAGATGAAACATTATCATATTTTTTATCTATAGCTAAGAAAATATTGCAGGAAGTCGGGTTTCCTCTCTTATTTCCTTCTCGGCGGTCTACTTTCCGCATCGAGTAGACAGCCAAAACACTTCAATTTTAGGCGTTAGAAATTGCTATGATACTGAAACTGTTCTAAAATATACTAGTCGGATCATATTACAGTAAAGTTCTATTAGTCTTTATTAGAAATGAACTATGACATGGAAAAGGGGAGGAAAGGCAATAAGTATCATCGAGATATTTTGCGCTATATGTCACCAATAAATTGATAACGCCTTTTAACAAGATTGACAGCCAGGGTGCTCATCCCCCCCCCCCCCCACTCTTACGACCTGAACAACAACCATTATGATAATTTTATATTTATGATCTCATAATTTATCTTTTGCATCTTTTTCGTATTTATTTATATAATATCTTTTGTAATTAATGTATATTTGTTTATAGTTATGTATTATACCATCAACTAATGAGGAGAGCCTCCTATTCTGAAACTCAGTTTCTTTAGGTAATCCTCAGGCATTAGTTGATGGCTTTTTTCGTGTTGTTGTATTTATTATTATAATTCGTTTTCTTTGTTATTGTTAAACTCCCTTATGTTCCTGGAAATGAAATTTATTTAAAATATATATATATATATATATATATTCCCATCCTCTTTTGCAGTGCAATATAAACCCTAGCCATGTCAGCCCAAGTGAGCGGAAACGAGAAGTCTCTGAAGGGCGTCTTTCAGAAGTATGCTGTCTTCGGCCGTCCTGGACAGACCAAAGACATCACCAGTAAGAACTTCTCCAAGATGATGAAGGAATGTGACATCATGGACAAGAAGGTCAACCAAACCGAAATCGACATCATCTTCCAAAGGTACGGCATCGTTTTAAATTTCTCTTTCATTTTTGTTATATAAATATAAAACAAAATGCTTAGAAAATATAAGTTGCAATTGCTATATCAATAATACTCGTAGAAGTAGAAGTAATAGTAGTAGTAGTAGTAGTAGTAGTAGAAGGAGTAGTAGAAGTAGTAGTAGTAGTGGTTGTGGTGGTGGTAGTAGTAGTAGTAGTAGTAGTAGTAGTAGTAGTAGTAGTAGTGGCAGTGGTGGTGGTGGTGGTAATAGTGGTAATAGTAGTAGTAGTAGTAGTAGTAGTAGTAGTAGTAGTAGTAGTAGTACTTCTTCTAGTAGTAGTATAGTTGTTGTCCTCGTTGTATGATCATGATCACCATTATATAATGAAGAAATATCCAACGTAGGATTTGGTCACATACATCAAATGCGTGATATACAGTGCGAATCCAAAAAGTGTACCTAACTTTGGCAGCTTCTAAGTAAAAAATTATAACTTACGGACCTTGAATCATATTCATGGCAAAGAGTAACTAATACCCTGTCTAATGATACCATATTCATTATTATGCAGCCACGGATGGCTGAGCAGCAGGCTTTAACAAAATATTGTCAAAATCCTCCTATACCAAGTTTGGGCTGGAGCAATGAATGTGGGTCAAAAGTCATGATAATTGTATTAACTCATTCCAAACAAGATTTGCTTAATTATTGAATACACTGAATATTAAGCAGTTGAAAAGAAAAGGTGTTGCTATCGACTGAAACTCAAGGAAATGCTTTTTACAAGCAAAATTTATGAATTTTGTTTGTTTTCCTCTTCATTGTGATGATTACAGTCTATGAATAGGGTACTCTCTTTAAAAAAAAAAAAGGAGTGAATTTTCACTCTATTTTCACTTTCTTGGGAGTGACGTCTGTGATCACTTGTTTAGGAGTGAAAATCGATTGATTTTAGAGTGCTCGATCTCTAAGAAGAAAAGAGTGAATGTTCACTCTATTTTCACTACATTTTCACTCTCCAGAGGAGTGACGACCGTGATCACTCGATTTTTTTTTAGAGAGTATCATTGGAAAGAGAATATGTTATTCTACATCATGAAATATATTTCAAAGTCATATTGGTTATGAATTTCTTATTAGGAGCTACCACATTTTGGTACACTTTTTTTTCAACGCACTGTATGACGAATTTTAAATATTTATTGAAACTTCAAGATCAAGGTTTGCCATTCTCGCTTCTATGAACATATATATTTTGTTGTTTTAGAGCCAAGGCCAGCCCTAAACTGAAAGTGTTGACGTACGAGAAGTTCCTGACTAGTCTTAAAATGATTGCCAAGTCCAAGTATGGAACGGACGAGGAAGAGAACTTCGGAAAGATCAAAAATCAAATCAGGTCGTCCTCGGGACCAAGTACAGCAGGCACAACGGTACGTTGACATGTTCCTGTCGAGATTGGGGAGGGATTGTCATTTTTTTTTTTTTTAACTAAGGGCCCGCGCCCTCTGTATTCGAATCAATATTTGGAGTTATTCCTCATTGGATAGCATTTCTTTAAAAAGAAAATGACATTAAATTATTATCTAAATTCCGGATTAATATTATTTGCCACTCGCCCTTGGGTTTTTCTAACCCATCTACCCCTTCTCCCCTCCTCTCTCTCCTCCTCTCTCCCCCCCCCCCCCCCCCCCCTCTCTCTCTCTCTCTCTCTCTCTCTCACAGTCACTCACTCTCTATCATTCATTAATGTCAAGGACTTTTTCTATATGATTAAACCAAATCATGTTTTGACCGATCGGATCACATTAATTCAAAATCAACTAAAACCATATGTTCGATTTTGTTTACAGAGTACATCGACGACGGGGAAGGTGGACCACTTCACGGACGTCACCAAGTACACGGGACAGCATCGGGAACGCTTCGAGAAGGACGGCACTGGGAAAGGAAAGGCGGGCCGGGAATATTTGGTGGAAGAGTCAGGCTACGTCACAGGCTACAAAGGAAAGGACTCTTTCGATGGAAAAGAGTAAAACCTTTCTGCCCCCTCTCCCCTGTATCGTCACAATATGGTTTCTTTGTAGTCTTCTCCTTTGTCTTCTTCCAATGATTATGAAAAGCTTTAAGAGTGTCGATCTTTTTGGTTTGCCAGGACCAGGGGCGGACGCGGACTAGTCATGGGAAGTTTGTTGAGTTTTCCTTATGCCATGGGCACCTTGATATTGGGCTTGAGGGTTGGTCGATTCGCGGTCTGAAGACCGGTTGATATGTTTATAGAGGTTGAGTGGGCCGAAATTTTCAAACCGAATTTTAGTCCTGGGTTCGTGGGCTCTTTGTGACCAAGCTTTATAAGAGAAGACAAAAATATGCTACGATTAACATAGACCGAGAACCGTTTGTGTATTTTTATGTTTCTAAGTATAGGTTTTTAGATGACATTATTCAATGACAATGTATTTTCAGTCGATATGTATTAAGACATTGGAATGTTTATAAGTCAATTTTAGAAAGTGTACAGTATTATTGGGTGCTAAACGTACATAGAACGTTGTTTTATCTGAAGAAGTAATGTATGTGTTTATATCAATCTGTCTTTCAAGCATCATACATTTCTCATTCACTTAATGATGGTGCTCACTTAAAAATCATTCTTATCGTCAAGAACTTCGCAACTTTCTTATTTTTTATCCGATTTATCTCAAAAATTCACAAAATAAATTTCTCTGTTTCTGCTGCTCAATAGTACACTTAATACAAACTTATTTGACATTAACTTTCAATGGGTGGCTACTTCTGGTAAAAGTTTAACCCCGATAGGCGTATATACGAGCCAGGGGCGTGATATTTGAGCTAAGAGGGCTGCAGCCCCCCCCCCCCCATTTTGATACATTTATTACAGATAATCGCCAATAATCGCGATATTAGTCAGCCAATTATCACCTCGTATTTTGAAAACAAAATTTTCTATCTGTATTTTTATAAAATGTTTAGTATATCTTTATGACAAGATTGTTATTCTCATTATGGAAAATGCATAACAATTTTTGGTTGCTTGCAAAATGTTGAAACTCGGGGGGAGGGAGAGACCACAGTCGCCTGGTGATTTTGTGCCTGTAAACTTATGCTTCTTCCTCAGTCAGCCATTATGACGTTCATAAAAGTGTATCAAACCTGCATTTTCTATGACATGGATGCTAAAACAATCAAAACATTCGCCTTTGGGTCAAACTGAAAAACATACCGTCAGCTGTATCATTTTTTTTATTGGGAGGGGGGGGGGGGGTTGTCCCAAGAAGACTCTGTGATAATCTAAAAATCAGGTATTAATAAGTGCACCGAAAATCCCTCTCCATTATTGATGTATCAGACGGTGCTTTTCCAGATGTATATTTGGGGGATTATTGAGCTGAAATGTAATTTAAACCAACCATGTTATGAATATTAAAGCTGCATGTCTGTCCCTATATGTCAATATAATTATGTACCAGTAGATTTTACCAGGATGTAATTTATATAGATGTGTAAAATCAGATTAAATATATACCAGTAACTTTTCAGAATAGGTTATTGATATATACTTGAAAATCTTGTTTATGTTCATATAAGTAGCGTCTTTGTGAGGAGAGTATAATAGTAGACACTGCAATGTAAATATGAAATAAATGCATGTAGACTTTCTACATTTTAACAAAGGAAAGTCTATGATCTTTCTTGCGTATACTATATTTGTCTAATTATGTCCTGTTCTGAGATACGAATATCAAGATTATGGTTCAGTTTCATATCCCACTGAGCTGTAAAATTCAAGTTGGAAATATACGAAAGAGAGTAATCACACAAATGTGAAAAAGGAGAAGAAAAAGCAAATATACAAGGTTTCAAGGTTTCTTTATTTTCCACATAATATAACATAACCAAATGAATATGCAATATATACAAATTCAATAACATAATACATGTATTAAACAAAGATATGACAAACAATTATACAACTGTTCAAATAAATCTTTGGCACAGATTGGCACAGTGGTGAAAACATAGTGGAGGAGTCTATTAAAAAAGCATAGATTGTATTATATAGACCCCTGTGCTCTATAATAGTATTAGAAAAGCCAAATGCTTAGGTAATCCTACACCCCTCCCCCCCCCCCCCCCCCCCCAATTGGGATTTGTCAAGAGGACATTGTATTTTAAAGGGCAGACATATATTTGTCCAACAGATCACAGAAATATACTCTTTGTAATCTTCATATTTTGTTAGTAGTTGCAAGAGCATGGGTGTGAATAACCAAAATTATCACTGATATCATATACACTAACAAAAACACCAGTCGGGCAGCTTTTTTCATTGTTAGATCCATCACCTTGCCAAGGGCCCCCATTTCCTAAAACTTGATTCCAAAATAAAATTTTGTAAACTTTCATTAACTTTGTTATTGGTAAGCGCTTCATGAGCACAGTTTTTATCATTATTATTTTGACAGATTAGATTTTACTTTGTATGATTAAATTTTTCAAAATCTCATCAAACCTGGCAATCAAAAGGTTCATTTTTTATGAAAGCGGAGGGGGGGGGGGATAGCAGTACTGTCAAATTAATGTTATGCTTTATTTTAATGTAGTGTAGCTGTACCTGAGTACATGTGCAGGAAGTGTAAGTGTGATGATGATGATGTGTGTGTGTGTGTGTGTGTGTGTGTGTGGAAGTGGGTTTGTTAGACGTGTGAATCGCCAGGCAGGCTAGAGGGCAGCAGAGAAGGAAAGCTGATCCCAAGAAAAGCTATCGCCAGGATAATAACTCGCCCAAGAAGGACAAATGCACAAGGTTTGGCCGCAGCTTGGACCATGAGAAATGTCCGGCCATGGGCCAGACCTGCAATGTCAGCAAGAAAAAAAAAATTCCTGTAGTTTGGCGTAGCATTCACAGTGTGGAGCAGAGTGAAGGCGCTCAGGAGAGTGATGAGTCTAGATCAGATTATTTCACGTTCTTGATGTGGAATTTATGAAAAGTCTAAAATACTTGAATTTTCGCTTCTGAATATATTTATTTCAAGGCTACAAATGGCTCTCCATAACTTTTAAGTCCAACTTAGAGTTAAGTTCGACTTAGGATCTTTGTGAAACACCCCCCAGAGCTGCACAATCCATAATGCCCAGCCATGTCTTTAAAGCATTGCAGTGCAGGGAGAAGCTTGAAGAGACCCGCACCAAGTTTGCTTCATACACTGAACACGAGTCGAGAGTGATAGGATCAGCAGTTCTCCCAACACGCTACAAAGATGCATGCATTGAGGTAAAATATTATGTAGTAGATGCACCATCAAAACCAGTTCTTCTCTCAGGTGAAGCAAGCAAAAAGATCAAGCTGATTAGATGCGGCCTTCACAGCGTCGAAGAATATCCAGAGTTACTGAGTTTGATAGGATGTCTGCCTGGAACAAATACATTGACGATTGATCCCACTGTGAAGCCAGTCATGCATGCCCCAAGGAGACAGCCCGAGGCTCTGGCAGAGAAAATAGTGGCAAATTTGAAGGAAATGGAGACGGATGGCCACATCACGTAGTTAACAGAGCCCACAGACTAGGTAAAGTTAATGGTCATGGTGGTCAAAAGAGAAAAGGTGGGGATCTGTTTAGATCCTAAAGATCTCAATCGTGCCATCAGGAGCACTACTGTTGAAGAGGTAGTAGCAGACATGCCGGAGGGAGCAAAGGTGTTCTCCGTCCTCGACGCAAAGTCAGGATCTCTTCAGATAAAGATCGACTATGAGTCCTTGTTACTGACAACATTCAACACACAAGTTGGCAGATACCGATGTCTCCGCCTACCCTTTGGCATCAAGAGTGTTCCAGAGCTGTTCCAACGCATAGAGGATAATGTGGCTGCCGCCAGAATTTGTCATTAGTATTTTTAATTTTTGTTCATAGCACCACCTATTTTACATGTGCATCGCCCTTTAAGTAATTTCTCTTTGTTACTTAAGAAAGATTTACAGCGCATGCCTAGCGCGGGTCAATGTCAATAAAAGGCCTACAAACACATTTTTAGTACGCACGAGAAAATAGTTCCATACATTCAAGCATAAGAAATAAGTTATTATCATTAATTATGTACTGAAATGTAAAGTAATGTTCATTGAAATGCGAATAACATTAGTAAATTCTGTCAAAACTAAATCGTTGGTCGTTTTAAGTAAAATTCCAGTTGGACAAATTATTTGATATCCGTGTGCCGATAAGTTCGGTGAACGCGTTGACCCTTGGCCTTTCTGAATTACGACCTGGCCCAAGCAATACGTGTTTTGTGGGGTCTTCAAGAAACGCCAAAGTTTCAAGGTATATTTTGCTGCCCAAGGATGGAAAAGTCCTGCCAACGAGTTTTCACGGCACTGTTCATCACTGTTACTTTGTTTTGACAATCGTTAAGTCAAATAAAGACATTCGTCACCAGAAAATGAACATCCGTTTCAACGTTGAGTTATTTTGATCCTGCGGCAGCAACAGTGAAAACTCGGATGGACATGACACCTGAGAAATCCATAATTGGATCAACTACTCAAGCCAAATATTTGATGTGATGTCTGGAACTGCATTCGTCCTCACCTGGCCACTAAGGAAGCTGACGAGGAACTCGGCAAGACACGGGCAATCAAACGGCTTGGAGGTTGATCATCGCTCAAGGATGTCAGGTTCATTTTCATCAAAATAATTGAAGATTGAAATCAAAGAAAGAACACTAGAACATTTATATGCGATTGAAATTTCTCGTTTGGAAACTTAAGCAATAAACAAGCTAAAGATTGATTTAGGCTTGCATATCAACTTCTCGAGAGAATTTCAGATTTAAAACCTTTAAGATCTCTAACAGAGTCTTGGTTCGTATCCCAGAATTGTAACAGCTATTTATTCTGATTTGTTTGGATAACGTAATTTAAAACAACATAAGACTTGATTCCCTTATGATGTTTGGGATTTAAATTTTCAGCTAAGATTATAATTTTCTTAAAATACTTATCTAACGAGTGGAGATAAGTTTACAGAATTTGTTATGTGTATGTAACATCTCATCAAGAATAACCTTGTGTGTGCACTTATAGATGATTTTGAGACAAAATAACATGATCAAGTTCATTTGAAAGGATATTTTTTTATTAAGATTGAAAAAATTTCTAAACTAAAAAGAAACTGATTACCGATAGTGTTTTCCTTTAAGAACAAGGGAACAAAAGGTCATAATAATTTGAAATTGATTAGAAATCGGGTTACCTTGTTGATATTGGAATTGATTTGGATTCATGATAATATCATTAATTCTATGCTACGTTTGATATTTTTATTATTTCAAAGCTTGAATGTATCGAATTGTATGTCCTGCGTAGCGCTGTGTTTTTATCGTGCCCGAATTGAGATTTGGGTTAAAGCAGTTATCTTTGCTATTTGTTATCAGCTACTGCCATTTGCTGTTACCAGCCCACTCCCACACGCCCATTTCTATTTCACTTCCAAACTTTGATTCAAATTCAAACTTCAAATTTCGGTCAAGATTATTTAAATTTGATCTCAAATACTGATTTTCTCGTTGGTTTATTTACCTCAAAAATATATCGTTCAATATGGAAGGGCAACAACCAACTGAAAATAACTTGACTACTGACTCGACTAACTTACCTCCTGAAACACTTCGCCGCTCCACTCGTCCTGTCAAATTGACAGAGAAAGCATTGCAGAATAAAGAAGACGACCTTCAAGGTAAGTTTTTTGTTGAACATATAGATTTGCATTCGATCATACAATCTACTCGAAATAGCTTATTGTCTCAAAACATTGATGGTGATAGCTTAGCAGTGAATAAGCTTGACATTACTGCTAGGCTCAATTCTTTGAAGGAGATATTTGTTGAGCTAAAAAGGCTCAATGAAGACTCCATTGATGATGAGGTTATTGAGGCAATGGATGAATCTTCCATTTCTGTTCGTAATATCTTATCGGATATTGATAAGGTATCCAACATGTCTTCTTCTAGACAACCATCAATTCGGTTGGCGCACTCAACACAATCACGACTCTCGAGGACATCTTCCAGATCGTCACGACGAGTTGCAGTCGCAGCAGAAGCCGCTGCATTACAAGAAGAGCTTACAGCCCAGAAGCTTCAAAATGAACGGGAAAAGGAGCTCGAAAGAATGGAACTTGAGGAAGAAATGAGGAGGAAGCAAGTAGTTTTCAAAATGTCCGAGCTGAAAAGACAACTAGAAGAGGAAAGACTACAAGGCAAGCTCAAGGCACAAGAAGCAATTATGAGAGTCTACGATGAAGAAGATGGAACCAGCACAGTCTCTTCTTCATCCTCGCGTGGAGGTAAAACTGTTGTCAAAAAGATCGAAGATCAGCCAAATCCAACTGATGTGATCCCAAGGGCATCTCCCAAGTTAGAAAGCAAATTGATTGATGAACCAGCCTCCATCGTGTCACAGCAAGCGCAAGTAGTGCTTGATCCCCAAGCTCCGATGTTCCAGCCAAGATCACCAGTTTTAGATCTCGCTGATGCCTTGGCTCAGAGTCGTCTACCCGTTCCGGAGCCGCCAATATTCACTGGAGACCCACTCCAATATCCAGATTGGGTGTCGGCTTTCACTACTCTGGTAGAGCGAAGAGGCATCCCTCCTGGTGAAAAAATTCACTACCTTCGAAGGTATCTTGGTGGTCCAGCAAAGGAGGCAGTCAGTGGCTACTTTCTCCTGAGGTCAGAAAATGCATTTGAGCAAGCAAAGAGCACCCTTCAAAAGAGGTTTGGCAATCCATTTGCTATTGCTGAAGCCTTTCGGACAAAGTTGGATGTGTGGCCCAAGATAACCAGCAAGGATCACAATGGGCTGCAGCGGTTTGCAGACTTCCTTCAACAGTGTCTGGTAGCCAAGGCTGAGATTGTCGATCTCAACATTCTGGATGATATACGAGAGATCAACCGAATGGTTGCTCGACTACCAGATCATATCGTCCATAGATGGAATCGCTCGGTGGCACAGACAAAAAGGGAGCGACTTTGTTATCCTAGGTTTGCTGACTTCGTTTCTTTCATTGGGAACGAAGCAGACATTGCTAATGATCCTCTGCTCACTGTGGATGTTGGCAAGACTAGAGAGAGAAAACAGGAAACCGCAGTCTCAAAACGGGTAACCCTCTCTACGTCTGGCTCAACTTCACAGAAGCAATGTCTGTTGTGCAAGAGACAAAATCATTCCCTGAATGACTGTCGGGAATTCCTTCGGAAAGACATGTCCCAGAGAAAGGATTTCATCAAAAATGAAAGACTTTGCTATGGCTGTCTTGAAAAAGGCCATATGTCTAAATATTGCCAAAGCAGACTGGTCTGCAAGAAGTGCAGTAAAAGGCATCCAAGCTGCCTTCATGAGGACCAAAGAGATTCGAACAAGGCCAACTTGGCATCAAGCCAACCGAAGGAAGCTCAAACCGCATCGACCTCAAATCCTCAAGCTGTAACGCACAAAGTACAAGGCGATGAACGTAGTGACCTTACATCAATGATTGTGCCTGTGTACCTTTCTAGTACAGAGAGGCCTGACAAGGAGGTTCTAGTGTATGCACTACTAGACTCCATGTCAAACACCACCTTCCTTTCCGAAGATGTCGGCCAAGACCTGGATGTACAATCCCAGCCTGCCACATTGTCGTTGACAACTTTGACAGATGAGATATCGATCTCAACCTTCAAGTATGACAATCTTCGTGTCAGAGGTTTTTATTCCTCGGAGAAAATTCGTCTACCCTCCACATTTACTAGGCAGTCTATCCCTCTGGACGACAGTCATATCCCGACTCCAGAAACTGCCTCCAAGTGGCCTCATCTCGTGTGTGTGCAGGATATGATAGCGCCAAAACAAGACTGTCCTGTCGGTCTTCTGATTGGCTACAATTGTGCACAGGCCCTTGCTCCTCTGACGTCAGTCCGAGGCCAAAATGGTGAGCCGTATGCTGTTCAAACAGACCTTGGTTGGAGTATTGTTGGAGGTCAGTCTGACTTGTCCAACAGCTTCGATTCGTTTGGCCACACATACAGGACAGTCAGCATGAAGGTAGAGGCCCCGATCGATATCAAGAAGGTGACATTCGCTTACCAGTCTCCCTTAAAGGAAGCGACTGCATCGGATTTCCTTCAGCTCATGGAAAGGGACTTCCAAGAAGCTGAACAAGCTGATGCAATGTCACAAAAGGACAAAAAATTCATTCAAGTTGTCACCGAAGGTTTACGCCAGAGAGAGGATGGGTTCTATGAGATGCCTCTTCCATTCAAGAAAGGACCGCCATCTCTTCCGAACAATCGACAGGCTGCTTTAGGTCGATTAGCAGGTCTCAAGAAACAGTTCCTGAAGAAACCTGAATATCACAGTCACTACAAGGTATTCATGAAGGAGATCTTGGCACGCGGTGATGCAGAGATGGTCGGTGATAGTAGTGACAAAGGCTTGTGGTATATTCCTCACCATGGGGTATATCACCCTAAGAAGCCTGGCAAGGTCAGGGTTGTATTCGATTGTAGCGCCAGGTATCTTGGGACAAGCCTCAATGACCATCTCCTGCAAGGCCCTGACTTGATTAATCCTCTCATCGGTGTCCTGTTGAGATTTCGCCAAGGTCCTGTGGCATTCATGTGCGATGTGGAGAAGATGTACCACCAGTTTAAGGTTGCAGATCCACATCAAAACTATCTGCGTTTCTTGTGGTGGGAGGATGGGGATCTCTCCAAGACCCCAGTAGATCATAGGATGAAGGTCCACCTCTTTGGGGCAACCTCATCTCCGGGCTGTGCCAACTTTGGCTTAAAACAGATTGCGGAGGACCACAAGAAACTCGGTGACCGTGCAGCCAACTTCCTCAAGAGGAACTTTTATGTCGATGATGGCCTAAAAAGCATGTCTTCTGAACAGGAAGCAGCTGTGCTAATCAAGGACGCAACTCAAATGTGTGCTAAAGGCAATCTACGTCTGCACAAATTTGTGTGCAATAGCAAGGACGTAACCAGCACCATTCCAAAATCGGAACGTGCCACTGTCACGAATGCAAGTGTTCAGCTAGGTGAACAAACCTCACCAATCGAAAGAGCTCTTGGGCTTCAGTGGTGCGTCAGTTCTGATGAGTTCTGCTTCCGACTTACTCTGAAGGATCAACCCCTCACTCAACGAGGTATTCTAGCTACAGTTGCGTCTGTATATGATCCCCTTGGTCTCATTGCACCAGTTGTCCTTGCTGGCAGAATGATTCTGCAGGAAATGTGCAAACAAAAGATGGATTGGGATCATCCCGTTCCTGACTATCTTCGGACAAGATGGGAAATATGGAGACAGGAGATCCTGAAGCTAGAAACTGCAAAGATTCCTCGCTGCTTCCAGCCCAAAGATTTCGGAGAGGCTGAGGAAGTGGAATTGCACCACTTCTCAGATGCCTCATTATCTGGATATGGACAATGTTCATATGTCAGATTACGAAATCAAAGGGGACAAGTCCACTGCTCTCTTGCCATGGCAAAGGCGAGAGTAGCACCGCTCAAGCAGTCTACCGTCCCCAGACTGGAGCTTCAGGCAGCAACCTTATCTGCCAAGGTTGCAAAAATACTGAATAAGGAGCTAGACTACAGCTCAGTCAAGAATATCTTCTGGACCGACTCCAAGGTTGTTCTGGGTTACCTGTACAACCAGTCTAAGCGCTTCCACATGTTCGTTGCGAACAGAGTGGATTGTATTCTGAGAACCACAAGTTGTAGTCAGTGGAATTATGTTACTAGCGGTGATAATCCAGCTGACTACGCATCACGTGGACTGACAACAGAGGAACTTCTTTCGTCAAACTGGTTAGGAGGACCAGACTTCCTTTGGGAAAGTGAAGTTGCTAAGCAAGATGTCACACTAGAGGTTTCTCCTGACGACGTTGAAGTGAAGTCTTCGACAGTACATACAGTAATGTCAAAGACCAAGATTTCAACCTTTACGTCATTTGAAGATAGGTTGAACCGCTTCGCCATGTTGGACAGCGCTATTAGAGCGGTAGCTGTACTAGTGAGGTGTTGTTACAGGCGCAAGGGACATGACATAGATGATGTTGAGATCAAAAGAGTCGCTGAGAGAAATCTCCTGCATGCTGTCCAGAAAGAAGCCTTCTGTGATGAAAGACAGCAAATCAAATCTGACAAACATGCTGTGTCAAAATCTAGCCGCCTGAGTCAATTAGATCCATTTCTTGACAAACAAGACCTCCTACGGGTGGGAGGACGCATGAAGAGGTCTGAAATGGTGTATGGAGTTAAGCACCCTATTATCCTTCCGAAGGGTAGTAGACTTTCCATGCTTGTCGCACTTCACTATCATGCGAAGATTTCTCACCAAGGTAGAAATATGACCATCAACGCAATCAGATCAAGTGGATACTGGATCATCGGTTGCAGAAGCATTGTCTCATCTCTGATCGGCACATGCACCCATTGCATTAGACTAAGAGGCAAGTTGGGTGGACAGAAGATGGCTGACCTTCCATGTGAACGACTTGAGCCATCGCCCCCTTTCACTTATTGCGGTCTGGACTGTTATGGTCCATTTGTAATCAAAGAAGGGCGCAAAGAGCTCAAGCGCTATGGCCTCATCCTGACATGCATGGCAATGAGAGCCATTCATGTGGAAGTATTGGATGACATGTCATCCGATGCATTCATCAACGGACTGAGATGTTTCATTGCTATTCGAGGAAACGTAAGGCGGATTCAGTGTGACCAGGGCTCCAATTTTGTTGGAGCCAAGCATGAACTGAAACAAGCTCTCCGTGAGATGGATGCGGACCATGTCGCCCGCAATCTTCTGGAGCAGAACTGTGAGTTCAAAATGAATCCTCCTTCCTCTAGCCATATGGGAGGTGTATGGGAGAGACAAATCAGAAATGTGCGCAATGTTCTCAATGGATTATTGGAACAGTGCGGAACGCAGTTGAATGTCTCCTCTCTACGGACATTTCTCTATGAGGCCATGGCTATCGTAAACAGCCGTCCATTGAGTGTGGATAACCTGGAAAGTCCTGATGGTCCTCTTCCGTTGACTCCCAATCATGTTCTGACCATGAAATCCGGTCTTATACTGCCTCCACCTGGAAGCTTTGAAAGGGAGGACATCTATCTCCGCAAAAGATGGCGTCGAGTCCAATACTTGACACAGTTGTTCTGGACACGATGGCAGAAGGAGTACCTGCACACGCTTCAACCAAGAAAAACTTGGACTGAAAAGAAGACCAATGTGCACGTAGACGACATAGTACTCTTGAAAGATGAAGCCATTTGTCGGACAGATTGGAGAGTTGCGAGAGTCATGGAAACAATGTCCAGTGATGATGGTCTAGTCCGGAAGGTGCGACTTCTCATGGCGACCCCAGACTTGGACAAAAAAGGTAAGCCAGTAAATAAGAGGACAACTCTTGAAAGGCCAGTACACAAACTGGTAGTTTTGATCCGCAGCACCGACAAGGCGATTGAAGACTAAGCTTGACTTTAATAGCTGACATTCACTTTTACCCAGACAAATGGCTTTGACTAACCTGGACTTTCATCCTGCCCTGACATTCTAAGAAATATTTTCTCAATTTGGGGAAGACCATTTGTATTTATAAATTTTGCAAGTCGGTCAATTCCTTGTTTTGTTTCAAATAGATAGTTTTGTTGTTTGAAAAATCAGTTAGATGATTTGGGTGGGAGTGTGGCTGCCGCCAGAATTTGTCATTAGTATTTTTAATTTTTGTTCATAGCACCACCTATTTTACATGTGCATCGCCCTTTAAGTAATTTCTCTTTGTTACTTAAGAAAGATTTACAGCGCATGCCTAGCGCGGGTCAATGTCAATAAAAGGCCTACAAACACATTTTTAGTACGCACGAGAAAATAGTTCCATACATTCAAGCATAAGAAATAAGTTATTATCATTAATTATGTACTGAAATGTAAAGTAATGTTCATTGAAATGCGAATAACATTAGTAAATTCTGTCAAAACTAAATCGTTGGTCGTTTTAAGTAAAATTCCAGTTGGACAAATTATTTGATATCCGTGTGCCGATAAGTTCGGTGAACGCGTTGACCCTTGGCTTTTCTGAATTACGACCTGGCCCAAGCAATACGTGTTTTGTGGGGTCTTCAAGAAACGCCAAAGTTTCAAGGTATATTTTGCTGCCCAAGGATGGAAAAGTCCTGCCAACGAGTTTTCACGGCACTGTTCATCACTGTTACTTTGTTTTGACAATCGTTAAGTCAAATAAAGACATTCGTCACCAGAAAATGAACATCCGTTTCAACGTTGAGTTATTTTGATCCTGCGGCAGCAACAGATAAGATGCTAAGAGACATAGAAGGAGCCAGAGCAGTTATGGATGATATCCTCATTGCTGGGAAGGATCTGAAGTCACACGATGAGATCCTAGAGAAGGTCGTAAACAAATCAACTGATTGAAATTCAACTTTAACAAATGTCAAATTCGCCAGTCTCGAGTGAAGTACGTGGGACACCTGGTAACTGAGAGTGGTCTCGCTCCTGACCCAGACAAGTTCAAAGCTGTTGTTGAGATGCCGAGACCAGAGAGCAAGGAAGAAGTCAGGAGGTTCGTGGGATTTCTTCACTACTTGTCCAAGTTCATTGACAAGTTGAGTGAAGTGGAAGAGCATCTAAGACAGCTGATAAAGAAAGACATCACCTTTAACTAGGGACCAAGAGAGGAGCAGAGCTTCAATGAACTGAAGCTGGTAAGAAGGACCTCACTATCCAATGCAATGCCAGCAGCAAGAGGGACAGCCAATAGCATACACGTCCAAAGCAATGACACCAACAAAGATGCGGTTTGTGCAGATTGAGAAGGAAATGCTCGCAAAACTGCACAGCTGTAAGAAATTTCAGCCATACGAGCAGCACAGACTGTGAAGAGAATTTTGAGAAGGTGTGCTGACAGGCAGCTGGCACTCCTGGACTAAGGAACGTACAACTCCATTGGCCAGCTGTGATCTGTCACCAGTGCAACTTCTGATGGGTAGGAGACCTCGCAATTTGCTCCCCACAAGCAAACAACTGCTGAAACCCAAAGAGGTCTACATGAAAGCAGTGAAAGACAGCTTGGACAACAAGAATGCAAAGACCGAAAGATATTACAATTCCAGAGCAGGAAATGTTCTCCCTCCATTACATCCCGGAGATCACGTAAGGATGGTGCCACTTCCTGGCACTCACAAATGGCTTCCAGCAACAGCCATCAAGACGCATGACACACCAAAGTCTTATGTGGTCGAGTGCAGAGGTAAGCTGTACAAGAGAAACCGCAGAGATCTGAGGAAGACGACAGATCTGCTAACAAGCCGCACAACCAGCCTGCTGACAAACCCAACGGCTCCTGTACCCACTGCACCTATCCCTCCAACAGATCAAACGAAAGCTGACCACGCTCCCAAGAAGACCAGCTCGTAGCACCACTACCAAACCAGAAGTGGACGAGTCAGCAAACGCCCGAAGCGTATGATCATGGATTAGCGATAATAGAAGCATTTACAATTTAGCTGTTAGTTTAGAGTAGCACTGATTTTGTTTTGTCTACATAGTATTCTAGAAATACTTTGTCTTCAGAGGAGTTCTCCTCGCCAAGAGATAAAATAGAAGAAGCGGTTTATCAAGCGATATTGTGATACAATGCGAAAAAACCAGCTCGGACAACTTCAAGCTCAATACGTATGGAGACACATCGATAAGAACCTGAATTGTAAAGATTCAGGGTAAGGGTGAAGTACTAGTAACCTCTTCCCCAGGCGGGTACGCAGGGGGGGGGGGGGGGGGGGGGGGGGGGTTGGGGGTTAAACCCCCCCCCCCTTGAGTTTTTTTTAAGTGTATGTTTTGTGTATGTTTTTTGTGAACCCCCCCCCCCTTCCTTTCCTTTTTTTTTTTTTAATAAAAAAAAAATTTAAAAATAAAAAATAAAAAATAATGCCAATGGCTGACCTTACCCCCCCCCCAAACGGAACATAATGTCAAATTTTCAAATTTCGAGACCAAAAAAAAAAAAAGAAGTGTCCTCTTACCACCCCCCCCCCCCCCCCCCCCCCCCCCCTTATTCAGCAGCTGGCTGAGTCGTTGCGATTTTTTTTGAATTCCAAAAAAGAAAAAAAATGTCCGCTTACATTTGACATTTTGCCACTGGCTTTTTTTTTTTTTATTTGGGCCCGGGGGCACGTTCCTGTTTTTCAGTACATTTTGGGCGAATTTAGGGCTGATTTTAACATATATTTTTTTTTGGGGGGGGGGCACGTGCCCCCTGTGCCCCCCCCCCCCCTGGATCCGCCAATGCACAGTTATCACTTGTGTTCGTCCGAATATGTTACAGCAATATATCAAAATAGTCAAAATATTAGTACAATACTCTAAGTCACCAATCACAAAATTGGCTTTTAAAGAGAAATACTGTTACAGTTCGGATGATTGATTTTGTTTCTATTAAACAACCATGTTAATTGTGATATACTTTTACAAAAAATGTTTGCTGAAACTGCAAATCACCTTATTATCTAATCACAAACAGTTGATGATGATTGTCTTTTAATACACAAGGTACATATCTCATACAACTTGAAAGGGCAATCTTATTAATCTTATCATTGTTAACGCTTCAAATATTTTTCAAATTCATGAGAGTAGCTACCACACCCCGGTTGCATTGAAGGACTTCCCTCCCCTCTGCCGTACCCATTGACTGCCCCGCCCTGGGGTTGATGGGTGGTGGTGGTGATGGTCTGGGAAGGGGCGTAGGTGGGGGGCATCGTGATGTCCATGGTCTGTTTGAGCTGGTTGTAAGACCAGTGGAGCAGCTTAACCTCTTCTATGTGCCTCTGTTTGGTTTCCTCAAGGTCTTTGAGGAGATGGTCATTGGTGGCTACTAAAGATCTGTACAAGAAAACAGATGTACAAAAACTAAGAATACTTTCATAAACTAGATGGATCTACAACTGCGCGCAGTCGAAAATGATGCCTCTGCACATAGACCGAGTTTACAAACCAAAACAGAAGCAATTTGTAAAATTCAAGTTCAATTGTAATCCATTAACAGGTTGTCAGAATATTGTGATTACAAGCTATTTTTCATATACATGCGGTATGATCCTTTGATCTTTGACCTCATGACCCTAAAATCTAATTAGTTCATTTCGTCTGCAAGATGCATACATGTCCTGAGTTTGAAAGCAATCCCTGGAGATGGTTTATACCTCCATTTAATTTGCATCGGAAATCACTAAAACCCACATACATGAATACAAATGTTAACTGTACGAACTGTTTTACTATCTACCAATCAACATGCAGACTGATTTTTAAATATTCACTCATGCGTGTGCACCAGGCCTCATGACATGCACGAAAATGTAGAATTTGAATCGGTTACTTTAACATTGAAAAACAACTTACTTGTGACTTTCTTTCAGGACAGTAGCTAGCTCCTGGAGCTGAGTGGCATGTTTCAGCTGTACCTTTAGCTTCTCATTCTCTTGCAGAAGCTTCTCCTGTCCCTGAACAGATTCTAAGAAACAAAGGTCAAACAAACAATTTAATTCCGTATGACTGCATGATGCATACTTTTTACCTTAAATCCTGTCTGTACTAGTTTGGCCAGGAGGGATTAGACCACCAAGCAAGGTCAGTGACAAGTGGTTAGCTCATCAACTCAGCTCTCAATTAAAATAACAACAAAAAAGAGGATCATGGGGGACCAACGGGCACCGCTTAGGCATTGTTTTCTATATAGAGAGAGCAGGTAGTTACAAGTAGTACAGTGGGGCTTTAATGAATGGAACATGTACATCTATCTCTATCTGAGCCACTACCATTAATTAGCCACTGCCATGACGCATTCCATGACACATCCAATGTCCAAGACAGACATCAGGGGGGGGGGGGGGCATTTCACAAAACTTGTCATCAGAGACAAATGACAGTTTTTTGTTATAAGCTACTGAAATCCTTGCTTCTGATTGGTTATCAGCAGATTTGACACTGGTTTTTGTCATTTGTCATTGAAAGAAGGCTTTGTGTAACGGGTCCCTGGACTGAATCCTCAAGTTCCCATTCTAGCTCCAACTATCACATGTGTATGTAAACTAAATGTGAGTCATAATTTGTTTATCTACCCATCATCTATTCATTCAAAACCTCAAAAAGTCAAAGAGAAATATGCAGTGGTACAAAGTATAATATTGAGCCAAATGGATACAAATCAATCAGTAAATAACAAAAAATGTATTATTTCATTGTAGTATTTTTCCTCAAGTACAACCTTGTCAACAGTTCTTCATTTCATTGACAGATTAATGAGATAATATCGGGCATCTAATTTTATTCCAAAAGTTAACTGCTGCCACCAATAGGTTGTATTGTCTTACCTTCAATGTCTCCATGAGATGCATCAGCAGCAGCCTTTCTCCTTGCCTCTTGGAGCTGGACCTGGAGCTGCTGTTTGTTCTCCTCTGTCTGGAGCTCAATTACACACAGTTGATCCTGACATTCATACAAGAAAATTAATGCTGCTTGTAAGTATCGGCTTGCGTGATGATGTAGATATACAGTAGGCTTGGGGGTGCACCATGTGAGAGAGAGGGAGGATTGAGGAGTCCTGAAAAGGACTCTCGGTAATCTTTCTTGAGGGTGTGTAGTCCTGAAAAGGACTGTTGGTGTCGTCTTGAAAAGGACTGTTGGTGTAGTCTTGAAAAGGACTGTTGGTTATCTTTCTTGGCTTATAGTTCTAAGGAGAACTATAGCGCTTGGAGAGATGGGTGGCGGGAGTGGCTCAATGTTTTGAACAGGTTGACTATCTGTCGTCCGGGGAGGAGAATAGTTGGCGTACACCAACAGTCCTTTTCAAGACTACACACCCTCTAGAAAGATTACAGAGAGTCCTTTTCAGGACTCCTTAATCCTCCCTCTCTCTCACATGGTGCACCCGCAAGCCTACTGTATAAGAAAATTAATGTTTACTACATTTATCTGCAAATAACATTGTTCATTATTACCAAATTAATGTTATTCTTATGCATAATGCACTGTTCATCTGTCGAGAGTTAAAAGCGCATCAGTTAAATGCAGAATGGATCTGGCTCCCTGAAGACGATGTATTTGTGTTTGCATAGATCTATATATGCTTAAAAGATGCATTTATATTTGTCTACATGAACATGAATATTGCCTCAGAATGTTTTGCTCATAGAATGTTAATTTGAAATTGAAATGAATTAATCCTAACAATACATTTTCATTTCAGTGCCATCAAGAAAAAATAGCCAACTTATTACCTGTGATTCCTTAAAAAACTAGATGGAATTCGACTGCGCGCAGTCGAAAATGATGCCTCCGTCATAGAGCAATTTTACAAACCAAAACAGAACACATTTTTCGAATTCAAGTTCAATTGTAATCCATTAACAGGTTCTCAGAATATCGTGATTACAAGCAATTTCTCATATACATAAATGACCCTTTGATCTTTGACCTCATGACCCTAAAATCTACTCAGTTCATTGGCTCTGCAAGATGTCCTGAGTTAAATAGTAATCCATCTGTCAGTTCTAATGAGAATGTGTTCACAAGCTATTTCTGCATACATAATGAGCCCATGACCTTTGACCTTTAACCTTATGAACCAAGAATCTACTCAGTTCATTCGCTCTGCAAGTAACATACATGACCTAATTTTGGCAGGAATCCATCAATCGGTTCTTGAGAACGCGATCACGAGCTGTTTTTGCATACATAATGTGCGTTGTGGCCTTTGACCTTTGACCTCGTGACCCCAAAATCTACTCAGTTCATCTGCTCTGCAAGTAACATACATGACCTAAGTTTAGCAGCAATCGATCAATCGGTTCTTGAGATAACGCGATCACGAGCTGTTTTTGCATACATAATGAGCCCTGTGACCTTTGACCTTTAACCTCATGACCCCAAAATCTAATCAGTTCTTTGACTCTGCAAGATACATACATGACCAAAGTTTGGCAGGAATCCATCAATCAGTTCTTCAGATAACGCGATCACAAGCTGTTTTTGCATAAATAATGAGCCCTGTGACCTTTGACCTTTGACCTCGTAACCCCAAAATCTAATCAGTTCATCGGCTCTGCAAGATACATACATGACCAAAGTTTGGCAGGAATCCATCAATCGGTTCTTCAGATAACGCGATCACGAGAACGGGACGTACCTACGTACGTACGTACAGACGGACGGACGGACGGACAACCCGAAAACATAATGCCTCCGGCTACTTCGTAACGGAGGCATAAAAAGGCATTTCAAAATACACTTGCGGGAGTAAGTTTTACCCTCACAGGCGTATTTTACTATTTAACAAAAGGTGTACTGCTTTACTATTACACTGCTTAGAATGCGGAAAAAATTAACCATATAGTCTCCAAACATTTATTTAGCTGCATATCATAAAAATAATAAAAACTGGAAAATCACTCACGACATCTCTCTGCGATATATCCAACGATCTCTGCAGTTCCAACCCTGTCGCTTCCGTGGCCTGTTGGCCCAGTTTAGTGAGAAGCGAGACATTCTCCAGCTGAAGCCGGTCTATATGCTCCTGGCTGGTGGCTGAGTGATGCGTTAAAAGCTTCTCTAGGAGTGACTGGGCTTCAGCTGAGGAGAGATGATGTTGTACGTAGTTCAAATGGAGCCATCTATTATCAAAACATAATTTGCTCTAAATATTTTGGGTTCCATACTGACATACTCTATCAAAATATTACTCCTGTAGGGATATACACCTTAAAGAAAGCTAAGGGAAACTCATGAGGTGACTAATAGATGCACCTATACATGCTTGCAAGTGCATGGAAGTTGACTTTGACTTTGATATACCGGTAACCTGCAACCTCCATACCTTGGAATTTGGAATGTGCATGGAGAGACTTGCTGCCATTCCAGTATCTGTCCACAACATTGAGGAGATTGTCTAAGAAGGTACTCTTGTTTATTCTTGGGGCTGAGGTTGCTCCACTCTGTTGGATCTATTATAAAGAGTGAGAAATCATTATTACAATATGAGAAGGATAAAAGTCATCAGCACAGAGTTAAATCGTGACAACCGTTAAAAGTTGATATGAAATAGTTTGTATTTGTCAACATAAGCAGGGGGGCAGGCAGAAGGCAGTGGAAATAAGTAAAAGATACCATGCATGAATTCTTTATCCACCATTCGCTTCTCTTGGCCAAGTTAATCATCAATTTAGCTATTATGTTGACAGTGTCAGCATCCAAATGACTTCATACAGTGAAATTGAAATGTATACATACATATACATGTAGCTCAAACAAGTGAGACAAGAAGAGCGGTCTATTACAGCCAAGTGATCTTTCTTCACAGGTGGTCGCCACACCAGGCAAGTTTTAATAGTATGTATCAACAATGGTCCAATTCATTGAGACTCTTTAACCAATGTGTAATGAATATGAACAGGTTAAGTTCTAACGGCCGGCCAATACCTGTTTTGTGGTTCTCTGTACATGTGGAGGGTCATCAAGCGTCTCCCCTGCCCCTGACACTGGGTGGAGGTCATAGGTCGATGAGGAATTATCTACTCTGGTACTAGCTGCAACAGAAAAATAAAAACATAACCCTTTTGATGGACTTGCTGACTAAATCACCCATGTGTTTGTATTTATGTTTATTTGTGTTTATATTCCAAGGCCATGGGAACAACTTAACTCAAACATTCCCTCTTGGTGGAGTCTTTCAAGCACTTCCTTTTCCAAAAATTACAAGGAAAGTCAAATATAAATTATTTAAAAATCTATTGTATTTTTCCTTACAAGTTTCAGAAATCGATACATACCAGCTTTCGGACTTGTTGTAAAGGTGACCCTGGAGCAGTAGGCTGCATATGCATGGCTTTCATCCGTAAACTTCAGATTGGTGTCAACACGCCCCCTGACCTCTTGCTCTGGTTCAGTGACCTGGACCCTTGACCTTTGCTGCTGTTGCTGTGACCTGACCTCTTGCTCTGGTTCTGTGACCTCAACCCTTGACCTTTGCTGCTGCTGTGACCTGACCTCTTGTTCCGGTTTAGTGACCTCGACCCTTGACCTTTGCTGCTGCTTTGACCTGACCTCTTGCTCCGGTTCAGTGACCTCGACCCTTGACCTTTGCTGCTGCTGTTGCTGTGACTTCTCCTGATTTGCTAAACGTCGGGCTTGTTCTGGAACAGGGGTTAATATGTGGTGAATGTGATGAGGTGAAAGGTCATGCAGACATTACTCCGTTCTGATGTGATTTGGTTGGGACTTGTTGGATATATTGGAGTCTGATGATATGGGCCAATCCAAGATGGACCCCTGAGTATATTGGGTAATTGGAATCAGGGTACGTAGTGGTCATAAATGTTGGGATGGTTGTGGGGCAGGGGTTAATTTATACTTGTTTTCAAAAGGGGGTAATGAATATATCATAACTGGTCATGAAGTTGTTGAAGATAAGGAAGTTAAAAAACGCAAAGGTCATGGGTTAGATTTAGACCATGTTGATGTAGCTTGCTGATCTAGCAGCAAATTCACTTTGACACTAATGATTAGTGATGCATTATGGGAAAAGGTTGGCAAAAATATCAGCTGTGGCATTGTTATATATCCTAGGATATGAGGGGATTAATCTGATATTTTAGTGGGGAAGGTTTGAATAGCTTTTCCAGATTAAAATTTTGCTCTTGACTTCAAAAATATTATTAATATGTTATTGACCCTATTCACATTTTGGTCATTTTTGCCATTTTTTTGTTGTTGTGACCATTATGGTCACTTTTGGTGAGGGGTTATTTCTCTGATCATTATTATCAGCAAAGGATATTTGATGGGCCTATTCTATGTAAAAATGTGCCCTGATGCTAGAACATGTGGTCAAATTAATCCCAATCAACAACAATATATTTATTTTGGTCACTTTTGTATTGATTTTTATACAAAATAACATACATAGTTATTTATAGTATCAAACAAACTTACTTTTGGCCCTGGCGAGAAGAGTTTTCATTTTGCGAGATCCTCTTTTTATGGAGTGTTTCGAAAGTAGATGGCCATCGATCCTGATGCCCAGTGAAAAGCACAAAGGACATTTCAGGAGGATAGGCTTCTTTTTCTGGGCTTCCTTAGCTATCCACTGGATAGGTGTCCTAAGAGAAGAAAAAAATAAAACTATATTATATGGTTCATACATGAAATTAAATGTTATGAAATGTCTTCACAGGCAGTTCCATATATCCTCTGCCAGTTCGATGATGTATGTGTGAACAAATAACATTTATCTCATTTCAATACTAGGTAGGGAGTTGAACCATTATAAGAACATGAAATGATAATTATATAATTTGTAAAGGAAACGTGACCTGTTGAATAAAAAGAGTGACAGAAGATCGAATCAATAAGAAATTATGTTTGAAATTTCTGGGTGCCCAAGGACTAGTAAGAATAAAAGCTGATTTGTGCTGGCTTTCAATATATAAAATGTTACAGATTAACAAATCCTTGGTGAAAGTTGGCTTTGGTTACATCAGAACACTTTTTGTGAAACACTGACAAGAAGAGTGAAAGCTTTGAGACTTTGATGATCTTTTGCTTATGCATTACTTTCAAACAATATGCCCTCGCCCTAAGTTTATGAATTGGCAACACCACTAGGAAATATCTCTACTAAATCACAAGCCCTTAACAAAAAATAGAGAAGCAAGCATAATGTTTGGATAGCTATAAACTATACAAGGATATTATAGATAAGAGTTATAGTGAAACAGATACAATTACTTACTCTCTAAGCATCTTCTCCTTATATTCTGTTCTTTCTAGGGTGCTCATCCCAGCATGCTTTCGGCTGACATGTCGAGACATGTGGTCTATTACTACATCGCACAGGACACATTTTCTCCTAATTCTCATATTTTTGACTGCCAATTAAAGGAAAACAAAACAAAAATAAAACAGCAATTACAAATCTAAAGCAGGGCTCCCACTTAGCAGAGTTGGAGCCTCGAGTTGTGGCGAGCTGGCGCGATCTTATGACAAGCCGTTTTATCATTAAAACATATTTCTGGATATGAAGAAATAATTTTACGTTGTAAAGCAATGGCAATTCTTGATACCAACAATTCGATTTCGTGATATCAAGAAATCAATTTCGTGATATCAAGAAATCAATTTCATGATATCAAGAAATATGTTTTAATGATAAAACGACTTGCCATAAGATCACGCTACCTTGCCACAACTCGAGGCTCAAACTCGGCTAAGTGGGAGCCCTGCTTATGAGACAATTGCAGGAAATCACATTAACTAAAGACTTACAGATTTAAAAAATGTCCAATTGAAAGATGAAAATTGAAATGCTTACAAACCAAACACAACTCTATAACCATGTAGGTCTATATTCAATTCATATAATTGACGTAATTGACAGGTTTCGAGAAGAAAAAAATAGACGCTACATGTGTATGCTACGGTTTTCAGATGTGTTTGTGACTGAAAACTTACTAGACCCTAGATCTACTTCTAGATCAAAGCTGAAAACGGTGGTCTCTTTGTCATAATTGTATTTTTATTTACGATACTCGGTTTCAATTGATCCCAATATTAATTCATGTTAGCAAATTCATACTACCGTACTACTCTTGTAAAAAGATTGGTACGATTCCCTCACCACAGCCCCGAAGATGGATGGGTCATTGCATTGCGAGTCTCCCTCGACCATACGCCACATGCCAAATTGCGGATACACTGACTGCCAAAGCCGCCGTCCGCCAGCGCCACGCCCACGGCAGGAGCGGACTGGGTTTAGGGGCCGGAATCTACCTCCGCTGACGCGACGTGAACGCGCATTATCTTTGCATACACAAGTCAAAAGCACATTTTATAAATTATTAGCGTCACAAATTAAAACACAAAAAACGAGAAAAAAAAACATATTTACCGGTACACCTTGTAAATGTAAGATAACCTGTAACTTTGTTGTTGTTCAGTTCAGCGTTATGTAACAACGTCTGTGCGATCGCGATCGAGGGCACATGCACTGTTGTATGAAGTGCGAATTGTGCGCATCAACAATTACGAGATTGGACCACGGCCACGGAAACATCTAAGATCTAGGCATTAAAACAAAAAGGGATTAAAAAAAAGTTTATAAAAAAAACAGATTTCCGACATTGAAGACAGTTTGGTGTGAGATATTTTGCATTCACGCGCTTACAAAAGTGGACCACCTAACAAGACTGTGATAATCTAAAAATCAGGAATTAATTAGTGCATCCAAAATCCTTCTCCATAGATGTATCAGGCGGTGAATTTTCCAGATTTGTAGGCCTACTATTTGGGGATTTTTTAGCTGAAATGAAATTATACAAACCAACAATGACCATGCTATTAAAGCTGCATGTCTGTACGTAGTATAATTATGTTTATAGCAATATACAGTAGATTTTTCAGGACGCAATGTATATAGATGTGTAAAATTAGGTTAAAAGTATACCAGTAATTTTTCGGAATAGGTTATTGATATACTTTCAAAATAATTGTATGCATGTTGATAAGAACCTACTTTGTGAGGAGAGTGTAACAGCATGTAAATTTGAAATAAACATGATAAATGCATGTAGACTTAACAAAGATATGTGTCGATATCTTGCGTATATATATGCATGTGTCTATATGTCCTGTTCTGAGATAAAAATATCAAGATTATGGTACAGTTTTAAATCCCACTGAGCTGTAAAATTAAAGTTGGAAATATTAAAAAAAAATCATGTTGGAGATATATAACAAGAATCAATCAACAGACATTAAAAAAAATCAAAGAAAGGTTAGGTATATATTTGAGATTTGTCAAGAGACATTGTATTTTAAAGGAGAAAGATACATTTGTCTAGCAACACTACACACCAAATATTCTCTTTGTGATAATATTTCATAAACTTTCATCTTCTTTGTTATTGATGACGGAGTTGATTTTTTTTTTCTCCCTTCCATACAGGGGTTGAATAGAAACACATTTGCAATAATTATATTTTGGGTGCATGTATGATTGAAAGTTTTCTTGAGGGAAAATAAAAATGTCTACTTTTTTAGTACAGGGCAAACGGGAAGGGAGCTCGCCAGAGTTGCCAATTTGTGTTTGATTACAACTTCAAAAATTCATTAAAACCCCCATTCTCAAAACTCTCGGAATCATTTTAAAGTTGTTGTTGCTAGTTTTCCATTCCTTGTACGACTCTGCTCCTTCCTACAATATGAAGTTAATTAGTATATGCCTACAAGACATCTTCATTCATCTTAGTTGTCCCTAAGACGCGCAGTTCTTTGGGGGGGGGGGGGGATAGAGCATTTTTTTCATTCTGGTCTGTCCCTTTGCAATAAGCTACCACTTAGTATTCGTAGTTTAACAGCCCTCCATGACTTCAAAGTTGCTCTAAAAACCAATCTCTTTCTAAACAGTGCTATTTAATTAGGACAATTATAATTTTGATGTAATACTTAACTTTGTGTTGTTTTAGTTTACCTGTACTTTAGTTAAGAAAGTGATATGTTCGTGATTGTAATATGTACAGTGCCATGAGCTTCGGAGCCTGGCGGATACCGGCGCTATATAAATATCCATATTATTAATATTTTTATTATCAATATCAGGGTTTTCTTCCACATTAAAAGTTTCATGAAACCTTGCCAATTAGTTGGGACTACCACTCAACACTTGGTTGCTTTCTGTGCATCATCTTATGTTTGCCACAAGTACATTTTTGCACAAAACAAAAGGCTCCAAATGACGGACGGAAGGAATACTTTGTACAACACAATGGCTTTGCAAAAGTACCCATTTCCGGTCTCAATTAGCTCCGTGAAAACCCTTTTAACACCGATACAGATTACTCTTCCACTGGAAATATTTAAAGAATCTTGAAGCCTTTGGTTTATCTATCCCATGATCAATACAATGTGGCACAGTGAGATTATGTGTGTGGCATAGCCTATAAAGAATTGAATTTCATACTGAACAATGCACTGAAAAATGACAATTGTTGAACCATGGATGGAGTACAAGTGACACATCAAGTTTATTTTACATCGTTTTCACACTCTGCAGAAAGTTAATCGTCATGGCAATATTAGCAAAATGATACTGACCAGTTTGGAATGTAATTAAGTGCAATGTTTACCTGAAGAAAAAAAAATGGACGGCACAACAGCAACAAAACGCTGTAAAAACTGTGATAAAAAAAGACAAATGTTCTTGCATTTTGTGAAATAAACAATTGCTTGATGTGCTCAAGAGCAGCAAAGCTTAATCTGTGTAAAACATATTAAAAAACTGATGACCTCAAAATTGATATATATCCATCTAAATCTTCTTTGAAGGCTTACAAATATTTCAATATGCTCCCTAAATGTACACAATAAATCATTAACACTGATTTTGTGCAAAAGAAATGCTGTTTGTTACACTTTGGGGTCTAAAATTACCTTCATAGCAATTTTAGGTCCTGAAAGGGCACTAGAAATGTCATAAATAAGAATAAGAGCGATAACCATGCACTTTCTAATCATCACTCACAAACAGTTGATGATGAATGTCTTTGTAACCATATATACATGTATATACCACTCCACACAAGCTCAACTACAGTACTGATGATTATATTCCTACATCTGCCAATGCCAATAATATATTAATACTGGTTTTAAATATGTTTTAGTACCAAGATACATATCCATACATATTTGAAGGGCAATCCTACATTTTTAATGCTTCAAATATTTGTTAAGTTCACATTTAGTTGCCTTGCGTATCCATTATAATCACAATATACAAATAAAATGGCAGTGTTTTGCAAAGAAGCAACCACATCACGAATTTGTGACTTTTTCTATCCAATACAACCTCATATTATAAGCATTTCAGATACTGATTTTCAAATTCAACTATACAAAATAGATTATTTTTTAAATATCAAACTATAGGACAACTGTAGAATTGGGCAATTCCAAAATGTACATTCAACTTTGTGTGTGATATGTTTTTATAGAATATCACAAATCTTGTACTATTTTACATTCAGCCTAATATTTCTGTGCTAAAACCACAGCAAAGTGATTAAAAGAACACCACGACAACCTATCATAGACTAAATGATTTTTTGATACAAAAACTAAAACTTCATAATTTCCATAACTTTACATGATTGTTTAGGAATTACATAATCAGCATCTTAATTGAATGATTGTCTATTTGTCTTGTCACATGTTGTCTGGAACATTAAACAGTTAAAATTTCCCCAAGTTGTATGCATAACTTTTTTTTTAAAGGTACACATCAATTCTGTCCAAGGATTTGCAATGAATTAGTACTTTTACATTTGCTCTTCAATCTCGCCCTCTATGTCACATAATAACGTCACATTTTAATTCAGTGACCTCAAATTTGTCCAATTCATAAGTAGTAACCACTTTGATCAATTGATGGAATGCCAAAGTTGGACAATTAAACCACAGACAGGAAATTTTTAATCGATATGGTAGACAATGTCATGTATTCATAAAGATAAAATTTTCACAGGCTTGACAGAACTCTTGACATTCCTTAAACAGTAACTGCTGTGCCCTGGCATTGTGGTACAAATCCCCTAAACGATATACATGGCGATCTCCCTATCACAAACAATTCTGTGAGGTGATGGCAAACAAAATCTGTTCAAATTTCAAACTCACAAGCTCCCATTACTATCAAACGGAACCCTTTCACCTTCTTTCCCAGTATTGGAAAGTGTGTTAGGAATCCCCTGACTCAAATAAATGTTTATCTTTTTATCAAGAATAGTTCATCTCCTGAAAGCCAGAAGGGAGTTAACTTAATTTACATAGAGTAAACATCTTTTTGCCTCTCAGCAGAAGAGTTCCTTGAGGTACTGTCAACCACCCGGGGTGAGAGTGAGCACTAAAAGAAAAAGGGGGGGGGTGGTTTTCCCTCAACCACGCCCCCTTTGAGTAAAAAAAAAAAAGAAGAGGATTCGGGGAGAAAAAAACTGGGATCTAACAACAATGCCCCCTTTTGAGTAAGAAAATTGGGGGGAAAATCTGGAAACATAGAGAAAATAGGGGAAAAATAGGGGAAAAATAGGGAAAATCAGGATAAAATCAGAAGAAAAAATCAAAAAATTAAAATCAGGAAGAAAAACAAAAATCGGGGGAAAAAAAATTAAAAATCAGGAAACCGATTTAAATCTGGTAATTATCAGACCTGACCACTCGATGCCCAACCTCACATGCTCCCATAGCTGTTACCACACCTCTTCACATTTTTCCCCGGTGCTTGGGCAATGTGGTAGGATTCTCCTAACCCATAAAGTTTGACTTTAACAACATATCCTAGAGGAATTGTCAACCAACTAATCCCCACTCTCACATGTTCCCATTGCTATAGCTAAACCCCTTCACTTTCTTCCCCTGAGAGTAACTACCATACCCCGGTTGCGTTGAAGGATCTCCCTCCCCTCTGTCGTACCCATTGACTGCCCCGCCCTGGGGTTGATGGGAGGTGGTGGTCTGGGAAGGGGGGTAGGTGGGGGGCATCGTGATGTCCATGGTCTGTTTGAGCTGGTTGTAAGACCAGTGGAGCTGCTTGACCTCTTCCATGTGCCTCTGTTTGGTTTCATCCAGCTCTTTGAGGAGATGGTCATTTGTGGTAACCAAGGATCTGTAGGAGAAAACAGATGTAAAATAACTGAGAAACTTTTTATAAAAAACTGACCTGAATGTTATTTTACTACTGTGGAATTCAGTGTAAGTGTTCAGGACATTTGGACATTGTTTCCAGTCTACTGACTAAATACATCATTGCCATATCATTACTGAAAGGCATACAACAGAGCAGTAAAAAAAGAAATATTGAGTCATAAATATCTTACACTAGGGATGGTATATGCCTACATTTATATTTGCACCAGAAATCATCAGTACCTACATAAATGAGTATAAATTTGATCTGTACAACCCATTTCATTATTTGTCAATCAACAGGCTAACTGATTTTTAAAAATATTCAGTCACGTTTGTGCACCAGCCTTCATGTCATGAAAGACAATGTAGAATTCAAATCAGATAACTCCTAGAAATTATGCATTTTACGTTTAACCTACAACTACTGAGCCTATTCTTGGCAAGATATTAATCATTTGATAAAAATAGTCCTTACTTGTGGCTTTCTTGCAGCATAGTAGCTAGCTCCTGGAGCTGAGTGACATGTTTCAGCTGTAACTTTAGCTTCTCATTCTCCTGCTGAAGCTTCTGTCCGTGAACAGATTCTAAGAGACAAGAAGCAAACACAAATTAATTCTGTACCACTGATGCAAATTAATTATACTTAAATATATGAATATATGTACGTCTAATCCTCAACTTATTATTCTCCTGCTTTCACATGTGTATGTAAACTCAACATGAATTGTTTGTTGTTCATCTATCCATCTTCCATTGTACATCAAAAGCACAAACAATCAAAGAAAATTTTCAGAAGTTCTGACTATTCAATACAGCTGACTATAAATAGTGAGAAAAATGGATACAAACAGACCAGAGGAAAAGTACAGTAATTGCTAACAAGATAAAAAACACGTCTCAAGAAAATGTAATCTTATTTATACTTGTTTAACAAAAATAAATTGTTTCATTGCAGTCATCTAACATTATTTTCTCTGTATAGTACAACCTCATAAACAGTTCTCTTTTTCAAAGAAACAGCACAATGAGGTATTATCAGGAGCTTATCATATTCTTTCCAAGGGCCCGTCACTCTTTTTTGTGGCTGGTCCAGGTCAGTCTTGTGTCACTTAAACTGCTTACATATATTGGAACACCCGTTGTCATGTCAGAGTTGAGAATTCTCGCACTTATATATATATATATATATATATATATATATATATACGAGTAGGGGACTGACTTGCACCAGTCACAACTGACTGGGCCCTGAATCCTGACCCCCCCCCCCCCCTCCCTGTGTGATTGATTGTATGCATGGATGTGTGTGGTAATTTATCATTGGTGATTTGTCAGTTTTGTACAGTGTAAGTGTAGTTTTTGAATATTTTCTTACTTTTCATTTATGTACACAGTTTGATAATGATAATGTACTGAGGGAACTTATCAACCCATAAGCTTCTGCTTTTTTTTGGTTCCCCTTTTTTTCCCCTATAATGTTACTGTACATAAATTGTATTTGTAATTGTATTTGATGTAAAAAATTTAATGATTTGGAAAAATAAAACAATTGAATTTAAAATTATTGACATAGCTTGCTGCTAGCACCAATAGGTTGTGCTGTCTTGTTGTTGTTGTTGTTGGTAATAATTTAATGGTGTTCATTCAGTATTGAATATATATGCCATATCTTCAGTTTTATAAAAAAAATCAGTTATCCATAAAGAAAACTGAAAAATACAAATTTGTAATGATATAATTAATTAACAAGTATCGCAATTTATTAGGAGTCTCTGGATGGTTTGCAACTTTGTATTTCTGCTTTTTTTAACATTTAATTTGGTCAGCCCGGTGTACTGTCTTACCTTTGATCTCTCCATGAGATGCAGCATCCGCAGCAGCCTTTCTCCTGGAGTCTTGGACCTGGACCTGGAGCTGGACCTGGAGCTGCCTATTCTCCTCTGTCACCTCCTGAAGCTCAAGGCACAGCCGATCCTGAAATTCAAACAAAATATCAGAAGATACCTTGAGTACATGAGATGCAATTCACTGTGAAAAATATATTTTTTTAAATCTGACAGCCACATCAAGCAAGAAATAGGAGTAATGCATGACATCAGCCAATCCTGACATTCATACAAAATATTATATACAGTAGGCTTGCGGATGCACCATGTGAGAATATTATAGCCTGTGTCAAGTACTGGTTAGAAGCAATTTGTATAGTAAAAAATGAAAAATCCAAGGTTTATTTTGATAGCTTTATTTTGTAATACCGGTACTGTAAAACCAGACATTTATGCACACATAAACCAAGAGCTAATTTTTTACACACCACGGCCCCGTCTTATAAAGAGTTGCAATTGATCCAAATCAATCAAAAGTTTGCAGTCTCCTATCTCTTATGTACATAGTTGCAAATGATATCAATCACAAATAAGTTGCAATTAATATCAACTCTTTATAAGACGGGGCCAAGGTTAGAGAATGTCTCTTAGGACATTATTGAATTAAAACAATTTTTCTTTTTTTGTGCAATTGTTAAAAAAATTGCCATCATCAACAATTCACTGAAGTTTGCATCTGTTCTGTATTTCTGATTTGTATGTGTATTAGCTTTTATTGGAATAAGATAAAATTGAACTTGAGCTTGAACTAAAGTTTCTGTTTACACAGTAAATTAGAGTAATCAGGGGTGATAGTGAGCACTGAAAACCCCTCCCCCCCCCCCCCTTGAGTAAAAAAAAAAGGGGGGATTCTGGGGAAAAGAAATGGCTTCTAACAACATTCCCCCCTTTTGAGTAAGAACATTGGGAAAAATCAGGAAAAATAAGGGAAAATAGGGGTCAAATCAGGAAGAAAATTTTCAAAAATTAAAAAAATCAGGAAAAAAAATATTTAAAAATAGGGAAACCGATTTAAATTGGGTAATTATCAAGCCTGAGTAATAAACATTTTATCAGCCGAGTGATAACCCATCCTTGTCCACAATTCATCCTGGCATACAAAAAATAATGCAATTTTATGCACACTGAAGGGTGTGTTTGCAGAGAAATACACCCATACCAGCTATTTTGAAATTAGTCATCATTAATAGAACATTGGATCGAATGCCAAAAAGTAATATTACCCATGAAATACGCACATAAAAGTATATCAGAATGGCAATGACACAACTGAAGAAAAAGTCTTTAACATTTTTCTATGCACCATAACAAAAGCTAAGCATTCACCATTTAGCACTAAGCATTTAGGGGAAATGCCATTGCAACTCAGGAGGAATATGTTTATTGATAAATATCATTATAATTTACATGCAGCTAAAATTAACCATCCTACCAAAAAAGTCTTATTACCGTGTTGGCAATACGAAAGTTACTCTTGGAAAATGGGCCAAGGTCTTGGAAATAGGAAATATTGAAAAGCTCACTGAATGCATGACGGTTAAACCTTATTGGCACTATAAGATGCCAAGTATATCTACAGAAATAAAGGATTTTGTTTCTAAGAAGTTTTCTTCATCAATAGAATCAAAAAATTATGCTGTAGAGGTCATTAAGAAAAAATGGAATTACTGTTTAAGAATCTATACAGACGCTTCAAAACATCAGGAAGGGTATACAGGAGCAGCTTACTATATCCCAAAACTAAGCCTAAGTAAATGCTTTAAAACATCCAATATATCCATCATGAGAGCAGAACTGGTAGCTATATTAATGGCACTTGAATGGATAGATGAATATCATCCAATTGCAGTAGTGATTTTAACAGATTCAGCATCAGCTTTAGAAGCCATAAAGAATATGAAAGAATCCAGCATAATTGTTGAGATTTATGAAAAACTATTTGCTATAAACTCCTTCGGGATAGATGTTAACCTTGAATGGGTACCAGCCCACTGCGGCCTACCAGGAAATGAAAGAGCTGATTTGTTGGCAAAACAAGCTTCAAAAAAAAAAAAAAATGATATAATAGTAAACCAAAACAAAAGTGAGTTCGTAAGGGAATCAGATATTTTTTATAAATCCATGTGGCAAAGCCTCTGGGATAAAGCAGAGAATGGAAGACACTTGTATAGCATCAATAAAAATGTAAATAATGTTTTTAAAATCAAAGGTTTGAACAGAAAGGACGAAAGATTAATCCACCAATTCAGGCTTGGTAAATGTAACCTGAATTACTATAAATATTTAATTAGAAAACATGACACTGGATTATGTGTAGAATGCCAAACGATAGAAACAATTGAGCACTTTTTATTATCATGTCCAAAATATGAAAGACAACGAAGGAGAATGTATAGAGCACTAAAAACCCAAAATCCAAATCTAGGTCAATTACTAGGAAATGAGGAATTTATAGGAAAGGTGGTAGCTTTTTTAAAAGGCAGTGGAAGGTACAATGAACTGTGATGCTCAGCTATAAACATTAATTGCGTATTAATTAAGTATTAATTGAGTATTAGTTACGTTTTGCTATTATCTATTAGTATTAGTGACAGTGGTACTATCCTCGGTATAAATTGCTTCATTGTATAAATTGTACAAATTGCTTCATTATACTGAGAGAGGTTTTAAACTAACGTCCTAACGTAATGAACTGATCGCAACTAATATTCAACCACTTCATCCTTTCTTTCCTAATGAATTCTTTAAAATAACAAGCCGAATAACAATACAGAAAATAACTACTAACAATTTACTGACATTGTTAATTGCACAACACAACGCCACTAGGCTATCGTCGATCCAACAGTAAAAGTATTAAGAGAGGACCAGTAACTACGCCCTCTCACATTGCCTGGCGGAAATCATCGAATGACGATGGAAACGCCATTATTCGCAACAACAACAACAACAAAATCCAACTCGAAATATCAAAATCATGAAAAGTGAAAGAACACTCACCACATCTCTCTGCGATGTATCCAATGCCCTCTGTAGTTCCGATCCTGCCATTGCCGTGGCCTGCTGGCCTATTCTCCCACCTGCAGAGCCCAGTTTACAGCGTGCTATGTCCAGCTGAAGCCGATCTATATGCTCCTGACTGGTGGCTGAGTGATCCGTTAAAAGCTTCTCTAGGAGTGACTGGGCTTGAGCTGAGGAGGGATGATATTGTACATAGTTTGAAACAAGCAATCATGAATATAATTTGCTCTATATACTTGAGGTTCCAAACTGACATATTACTGACTGACTCTATTAATTAAAATATCACTTCTAAAAAATGTGTATTAAAAGGTTACATACACTCTAAACAGAGGTAAAGGGAACTATGTGAGACTATCAGATGCATTTGTACATGCTTGCAAGACTTGTGCAGATCTTGATATGAAATCAATTATTTGCTTTATGCTCTTCCAGCACCTAATCAAACGTATTGTTATTGTTTGTTAGTTGTTGTTGTGGGGGGGGGGGGGGGGTCAGGGGGAAAGTGGTAATTGCGAATCAATTATTCGCTTTATGCTCTTCAATAGCTAATGTTTTGTTATTGTTTGTTAGTTAGTTTTTTAGTGGGAGGGGGGAGTTGTAATTGGTCCCCTTTGAACAAAATTAAGCAAACTATGCCTAGTATGAATCAAAGACTGACTCTGAATAAACAGATTCAAATTTGTTCAAAGATCCCACAAGCAACAGTCCAACAAGTCTAGAATTGTTTCTCTCTGATTGACTGTCTACATGTACATCACCCCCCCCCCCCTCCAAAAGCCCACTTTAGAAATGCCCCAAAATAAGGATATCTGACATCCTTCCTACCTTGAAATTTTGAATGTGCATGAAGAGACTTGCTGCCATTCCAGTATCTGTCCACAAGGTTGAGGAGACCGTCTAGGAACGTGCTCTGGCTCATTCCTGGAACTGAGGCGGCTCCATTCTGTTGAATAGTTGCATGTAATATATAAGTAAGAAGACATCACAAGCAAAACATTAAATGGCGACAACAACCGAAGACAAAATCTGAATCATTGCAACACACACTTCCTGTGTCAACAGAAGAAGAGAAGGATCAGAATGTAAATGGGAGAAAGTAAACATACAAACGTTTTTTTTAAATCTCACAATGGTCAAGCTTATGACACATTTTCTCTTGATGACACAATATGTCAATAGTTTTAACATTGAGATGAAATTACACTGACTACACAAACACTCATTCATGTTTGGTTAATAAGTACTTTTATCCCACAGACACTGAACAAGCAAGTTCTAAATGGTCTTTACCTGTTTCATGGTTCTCTGTACTGGTGGAGGTTCATCAAACGTTTCCCCTGCCCCTGGCACTGGGTGCAGATCATATGTAGATGAGGAATCTCCTCTGACACCTGAAAAGACAGATTGATTTTTTTAAATGTTTTTTTATTAAGCAATCCACCAACCTTATTTGATGTGTGTTTATCTTGTCTTTGTGAGTGAAATAAATTGAAATTGAATTTAATTGTACTGGGTAAACCCTTGTTACACCCAGTGTAATGCCATCAGTGTATCCATGTACAGTGGATGCTATATCTATTATCATCCATTCAAGAGAGTTGAAATTAATCCCAATTAAATCAGTTATAGTGAGAATTATATGATGACGTGGATCCTAATCAAATGATTGGTTGAAAGCGTACACGTGACCAGTCATTTATTTTGCCTAACACGTAATTTGGATAATGACCGGTCATTACCAAAATCACGTTATAAAACAAATAAAACATGATCTTATAAAAGAAATAATACACATCATTTTATTTGGGCATTAGTGAAATTACACACACTCGGTACCTTCAAAACAGTCCAAACGCCCTCGGCTATCGTCTCAGGCATGTTAGACTGTTCCAAAGGTACCTCGTGTAGGTATTTCTTACTAATGCCCTCACTGATGTGTATTATTTGTTATTAATCAAGCTGCCCACTAATTCTGTCTGCCTGCTTAGCAAAGGCTACCTGGACAGAGACATGTTTCAGCAAATTCAAAACCAAATAATGTAAAACCATATGGACAAGCCTTACTCCAATATGCCCAATGGTTATCTTTCCATGTAATTATTTATTTGTAAAATTGAAAGGATAATTAAAAATAAGAAAAAGGGGGGTTTAATGGCTACAACAAAGTATAAGACAAGCATCTATAAATGTACACATTTATTGTTTCTTTTCAAATTGGTGATAATAAGTTTTACTCACCAGACTTTGGATTTGGTGTAAAGTTCACTTTGGAGGAGTAAGCTGAATACGCATCACTTTCATCTGTAAACCTCAGGTTGGAGTCGACACGCCCTCTGACCTCTTGCTCTGGTTCAGTGACCTCAACCCTTGACCTTTGCAGCTGCTGCGACCTCTCCCGATCTGATAAATGTTGGGATGGTTCTGGGGCAGGGGTTAATAGGTGGTGAACGTGATGAGGTGAAAGGTCAGACATTACTCCGTTCTGACGTCCATTTGGTCGGGACTCGTCGGATATATTTGAGTCCGATGATTGGGGCCGATCCAAGATGGACCCCTGGGTTTTGTTAGTAGCGGAAGGAGAGGCGGTGTGTGTGATGGGGTTAGGTGAGTCTAGAAGGGAGAGGGGTTCATGCCGACGAGGATTAGTATGGGTGGGACTGAGCATGTTAGTTGTAGGATCGTGCAAAGAAGTTGGAGAAGAGTGGGAAGAACTGTGCAGGGGATTTTCACTTTGAGAAACTTTACTTAGACCTACATCATCATCAGCATGATGCAAAGAGAAACTATAGCAGTTTTCTAGGATTCGATTATAAGAGCTAATTGGATGATTTGTTGTTGAATCAGACATTGAACTTTCCCATTTCCTATCCTCATCTTTGAATAACTCTGTTGTACTCCCCAACCTATCCTCCCTTTGACTTTCAGAATCAAACAAGAAATCATTCTTATCCCTTCCAACAACCAAATTAGAGTACCTATTTTCTTGGGGAGTTTGCATCAAGGCAGAGGTGTGAATGAGACTATCCTCATTTGCATTAGAATTGTTTCTATTGAATGAAGAGTTCCACAAATCTCTCTGTGATAGATCCTTCGCACCATGAACAGAACCTGACAACTGCCTTTCAGTTTCAGTTATCCTACTTGGACTTGTAAAAAGATCTTTCTTAAATTCCTCCTTTTTGTTTTTGTCATCGATTTTGCTACCATCAATACTCCCTAGCATGAAAGTAACAGACTTCTTAGACTCCTTTGACAATGGACTAGATTCTATACAGGTGCCATGACTTCTTAGCGCTGCTTTTAGATGAGATCTTGTGTTACTATTTGGTGAAAGGGGTCTCATGCCTGAAGTTTGGTCCAGTGTTATTCCTAGACTTGTAGGGGGAGATATTGCTCTTGTGGGACTCCTAGGTCTAGAATGGACCATTGTTCTTATCGCACTGTTGGAAGGAGATAGGGCTCTGTATAGATTTAAAGGTCTATCGTGGACTGCTGTTCTTGTTGGACTTGTAGGAGGAGATACAGCTCTTGTTGGACTTCTCAGTCTATTATTGACTGATGATCTTGTTGGACTTGTGGAAGGAGATAGGGATCTACTAGGACTTCTAATAGCGGATGTTAGTCTAGCACCCGTGTTTGTGCCAGATGACAGCGATGTTGGACTTAGACTTCTTTTCAGTGATTTTATATGAGTACCTGGACTTCTAGAAGGTGATGTTAGTTGAGTTCCTGTGCTTGCAGATGATGTTAGTATAGGACCTGAACCTCTGTCAGGTGATGCGGACCTGGTCTGACCCCTGGTCTTAGCCCTGCTACTACGAGTCTGGGACATGATGGAGGAATATATGTCTCCTGCTTTGATCAAGCTACTTCCCCGGGGAGTTACTGAAATCAGTGACTGCGAGTCAAAATCTTGATCGGCATGTCGTCTCTGGCTCTGAGTTACGGTTGACATACTCAATGAACTAGGAGCACTCAACAATCCATTGTCATATCCAACCACTGAACTATCTTCCGACAGAGTGTCAAAATCCAACTTTCTCCTTCCCTCCACTGGCGAAAAAGAGAGTCTGCCTTTGCCAAATTTAGGACCATCTCCACCAATCAAACTAATGGTATCTGTCGGCGACAATAAATCCTTGTGTTCATGCTCAAATGTTTTCCTCTCTTCTACAAACGAGTCAGATGGCTGCCAGAGGTCGGAGGGGAACTTTGTAAGCTCGTCTATGATAGTCTTAGTGTCGGTTGGGGAAGCGGGATCTTCGTGCTGGGTTAGTGGGTCTTTGTGCGAAAGCGGTGCATCGGGTAATCTAAGAGGGGATAGTCTTGTACTGAGATAAGAGTCATTAAGCTCATCAAGGGGGTCTGCATCTAAGAGACTACCGGTGGAATCACTAGCGGTGGAGGTGTCCGATGGTGGCAAGGTATCTACGGTTAATTCCAGTAAAAGTTTTTCGGTGTCTGTGCATAAATGAACAAACAATCACACAGCAAACATCAAATTTGTCCCAAACACGAAGTCATAAATTGATGTCCAGCCAACATGACAAAAGTTCCATTGCATCAATATTCATTAAAGAATGCAAGAATGTCCCAAGTTTCATGCAACACACGTTCCACGGAGGGGAAGGGAAACACAGATATATATACATGGTGTTAGTGGAAGAAGAAAAATTGGCAGTGTTTACAGGAATGATCAAAGCACACGATTTGAAAAATGGGAATTAGTTTTTAGATGAGGACAAAAGAAAAGGATAAATGCAGTGAAAATGTTGGGTGATGTGATACTTCTTTACTTGTTTTCAAAAAGGGGTAATGGATATATATCATAACTGGTCATGAAGTTGTTGTAGATAAGGAAGTTATAAAATGCAAAGGTCATGGGTTAGATGGTCACTGTTATCAAACTGAAAACCAAACTCACAAAATAAACAATAAACCATGCCGATAGGAACAAGTTCACACACTGTCTGTCATGCAGTTCAAAATGCTAATATACAGGTCAGGAGATATAGAATGAATTTACACAGAAATACTGAAAAGTCCAAAAGTCAATACAACCTTTTATTTCTTAGAATTTCTACAGGTATTTTTACATGATATGTAACGTCAGTATCCAAAGGTTAAATGGGAGATTTTCAAATGTATTTAGACAACTTTCTCAGCAATCTATGCCAATGTGGTAACCAGACCCCGATTTCCCATTACTTGGTAAGTGAAGTATGCAATGTGTTAATGATCACCGTATAACCCTTTTCAGACAAAAAAAAAAGTGAGTAATGTCTACGTGAAAATGTGTTTAAGCTTTCTTATTTTATTTTTCTATTATGTTTAAAATATATCAATCAACCTTCACAATAAAACAAAAGACTACTTTGTTTGGTCCCATAACTTTGAATAACAGGGGGGGGGGGGGGGTTTCACAAAACTTGTTATCAGTGACAAATGACAATTTGTGTTATAAGCTACTGAAATCCTTGCTTCTGATTGGTTATCAGCAGATTTGTCACTGATATTTGTTATTTGTCATTGAAAAAAGGCTTTGTAAAACGCCTCCCAGATTAACCTTTTTAGTAATATTTGCACCCTGCATGTCATCTTTGGAGAGCCAGAAGGGTGTTTACCTACTCAGTGTTGAATGATAAGATTTAACCCATTGACTACTGAATTCTCTCTTTGCCATAGGCTTAATACAGGAGCCTACCCGCTCCCATAGGCAATTGGTTAACATCCTTTTTTTTTTAATTTCTCAATTTTTACTTCATTTTCCGAAAGAGCATAAAAAATAATGTCCAAATGTCAAAAACCAATTGAATACGTTAAGTATTGGCTGAGATATGACCATCTGAATAAATACCTTTCCTATAGGAACTCAGTGTTATTTGCTCTGGCTCCTAACCATTACGAACCAGAGCAAATAACACTGAGTTTTCGACATTTGGACATTATTTTTGATGCTCTTTCAGAAAACGAAGAAAAAATTGAGAAATTCTAAAAATAGATTTTTGTGACGTCACAGCTTCGGTACTCTATTACTTGTATGTCATTGTAGATCTTGATTATCTCAGAGATGATCACTCACCTGTCTGATACAAGCTCCTGTCCCTCTCTGCCATGTGACTGGACGTATTGGATCCTGCTCTCCTGCGAGGTGGCGTCCTCTGACTGTAGGGTCTCTGGTAATCTGCACAATAGCACAAGTCATCATTTTTTAGAATTTCTTTTAAAGGCATCGTTTAACAATGTTAAATATGAGATGCATGGCCCTACGTGTTATCAGTGTGTGTGTTATGGTGTAATATTGAAGCCAAAAAAAAATGCGCTTCAAAATGATCATGAAGTGCCTCAATACTCATTTTCCCCAATAGACTGTAGTGTTATAAAAACTGTGAGGAAAACAAATTTTTAAATTTTGATTTCTAATCATAAATATCTTGATAATCAGACAGGCGATTGGCTTGTAAAAGTCATGGGGTTCCTGACTAACCTAGAGGTTTATAATCATCAGTGCAGAAAGAGCTTTTTGGATTTTGTTTCAGAATCTGAGACCCGATCACTTTACTGTTAAAAATAAACAATGCCAGTAGTAACAAATTCACACACTGTCTGTAATGCACTTCAAAATGCCAATAAACAGAAGTAGACTGAACTTACAAAGCAAATACTAACAAGACAATACAACATGGTTAAGTTTGACAGGTATTTGCTACATAATGGATAATATGAGACAACAGTATTAAAAGGATAACAGGATTTTATAAATGTATTTAAACCATTGTAGTTTGCAATAATGCCGAATTGACCTCTTGAATCGGGAGCCCTTTTTATAAAGAAATATATGACAATGAAATAAATTAATGTTTTATAAGAACTCTAATTGTGCACTTAAATGCAATTCTAAAGGGCAGAGTGTAAAATGGTTTGTCTCAAAGGTGTTTTTAACAATCACTAATAAATAAATATTTCCATTTAATTAATATTTCTGAAATGATAATTATCTCATACTCATTGAATTATGTATCATAGTTATACAAATGTATGTTTTATGTTTATGTTATACCCTGCTTTGGCAAATCCATCGTCCTTTGGCCGTGCATGCTATACAGTGTGAGTCAAAAAAAAGTTTACACCTAGAAAATTGCTAATTATTTTAAAAATCATCTATGAACAGTAAATAATTATACATCTTATGAAAGAGTGTTTTATCCCAAATCATTTGGTATCATTTTTGTGTGGTATATGTTCACGCTTGGATAAACAGGAGGCATTGTTTGCGAGAGTGCACAAATCAACTTGCGCCAAAGTTGCTTATGTGATGTTTAAATAAAACAATTGGGATTTGGGTTTTAAATCGGATTTTGCAGATCAAAATAACATCCCTAACAAAATTAATCATGCCACACATATCAAATATCGAATATCAAATATCAACGAACATTTGTGCGCCCGTGTGTGACTTTGCTTCTGCAAAAAGCATATGCAATGCATTTCATTTGATTCATTCAATTCATTCTCTCACTCCGCTAATCCCAACATAATACATGCTGTATGCATCACTTTGGCGCAAGTCAATTTTTGCACTCTCGCAAACAATGCCTCCTGTTTATCCAAGTGGAACATATACCACACAAAAATGATACCAAATGATTTGGGATAAAACACTCTTTCATAAGATGTAGAATTATTGACTGTTCATAGATGATTTTTTAAATAATTAACAATTTTCTAGGTGTAAACTTTTTTTTGACTCACACGGTATTGTGATATCTCTGTATAATTACGATCTATTTGTGCCACTGTCTATTTTGATTATGAAATAAATGCATAATTGATGTGACAGAGAGAACTTACGCAAAAATCATATCCCATATCAATATTGTGCTTTTTAAACCAAATGGGAATGGTGTGTTACCTTGTGTAAGCTGGACATCAACAGAGGGGTTGGCCACACTGGACCCAGTGACTGGACGAGGTCGGGAAAGGTCACCATCGGTTCTAGCCAAGAGGTCAAGCAGGTCACAGTCGTCTTCTTCTACAGCTATTATGAAGTGGCATGGATGAAAAAAGGGCAATAAGTCAAGGTAGAAAGACTCATATGGGACATTGGGGATGTAGCTGCATTACCCCCCCCCCCTTCTCTTTTTCTTAAGTCCACTAAATATAATCATTGCAAATGTGTTTTTATACTTATACACAACCATGTATGAAACAAATCTATTCTGTTATCAATAACTAATAACTAATAACTTAAGTGTATGAAATTTTCTGTACAGAGCAAACTGGAGAGGACCCTGCAAGACACGTAATAGGGTTACCATTTGTGTTTCGCTGATGACAACTTCAAAAATTCATACCTTTCCTATTTTTAATTGGATATTGCTCAAACTGTCACTTATTTGTTTCTCATGGTTTTCTGTTTTCTGTTTTTATTAATACCAGCTAATTAGCAGTGGAACTTCCCCTTTAAGTAAACATTAAATTAAGTTGTAGGCCCAATAATATTTGAAGATGTCTGAAGTTTGGATCTGCCCTACTAAAGTTGTTGAGCTCCTACCTGTTCTTCCCCCAAGTCCTCTGACATGTTTTGTTCTGGGTAGCTCTCCTCTCAATGGATCCTTTGCTGATGATGCGCTGTGCTCCGTCATACCAGTCGCCTGGTAGAAAATCAAATCACACAATGAAAACAAGAAAAGTGGTTTTCATAGACAGATGGTCTTTAAAGCCTATCTGCACTAGTTTGGCCAGGAGGGATTAGACCTCCCTGCGTGGTCACTGGCAGGTGGTAATCTCATCAAATCAGCTCTCAATTAACATAAGCGAAAGGGGACCATGGGGAACAACGGGTACTGCTTAGGCATTGTTGGCTATATAGAGGGCGCAAGTAGTGCAGCCCCGCTTAAAATACAGGTTCCTATGTTTCAATGGAAATCACTATTCAAGAGAAACAAAAGATGTGGTCTTTCTAGATGGTCTGCCTTTCTGTACAAGTGATCACTAAATCAGGTTTGACTGTATTAGTCAAAATACATGTATATGATGTATTCATGCATTATCTTTTACCAGTGTTTTATTTTACAATATTTGTTCAATAACACAAAGCATAAATAAATAATAGGCATTTACATAGCGCCGTCTATCGAGACAATTCTATTCAGAGGCGCACAAATTAATTATTACCCCGTCTTTAGCCTAGCTGCCATTACAGCGCTCTAGCATTTCAAGGGATGAATTCCTGCCAGGTACCCATTTACCTAACCTAGGTCGATTGTAGAAAAAGTAGATAATGCCTTGCCAAAGGACATTAGTGCCATGTCGGGGATCGAACCATGACCTTCAAATTTCAAGTCAAGTGCTTAAACTACTTGACTAGGACACTTCTATAGCATAAATAACACTGTTCACAGCATTTCAAGTAATTAAAACGTCTAAATAATAAAAATACACAAAATTATGAAATAAAGAACTCGGGGGGGGGGGGGGGGGGGGGGGGGGCGAGGACAGGGTTGACCCTGTTCACTAGTTCACAACCTAAACTTGTTAACTCGTATACAAAGAACAATGGAAAGCTTATTTTGTTTTACTTCTTGTTGTTATTTTTGTTTTTGTTTAATTTTTACCTGATCTGTGTCAAAGTGAAGCAGTGCCGATTTCCTTTCTGATTCTCTCACTGATCTGTCATCTAAAATAAAATGAACAGATACCCAAATTGTTATAGAGATATAGCATCAGGGTATCATTTTGCATATACATATTCATCAAATATTATGGTCCCGTTCTCATAATTATTCAGTTGAGATTTTTATATGAAACAACATCTAAATGAATTGGAACAGAGGACATTATGCCACAGTAATTAAATTTATTGTCTCTGTGGCAGCAATGGTTGTATTATCTATACTTGTTTCAGTGTTAGCAGGGACTTGGGATAGCATCTGATTTATAATGATTTTCTTTATAAGCAAAAGTAATGACGAAGATAATAATTAACAGGACTTAACTTCAAGATAAATCTTTATTTAATCAATCAAGCAATAAATAATGGTATGCAGTGTGACGATTGATGATGCTATCTACCTAATTTCCTGAGATTTGGTAACATATGGACCAGATGGAGCCTGTAATCAGGTTCATTCTTCGTGACAGGGTTCAATCGAAGGTCAATCTCCTGAAGACTGGTGTTGTGTCTCAGTCTGTTCAGCTCCTGCAGACTGCTGATGTTATTGTAATACCTGGTGGTTGAACCCCTCTTGGTCAAGGAAAAAAAAACTACTATCTTGACCTATCTATAAGAAGGTAGATACATGAGACTTGAATGGATTGGAAATAAATGTAACATATATATATATATATATATCTCAGAGCAAATGTTACAACAAATTTTATTCACAATGACTCTTATTTTAACAATAACATGCAATCAACCTCCTAGTAATTTCAATTCCTTAACACGAGTCCTTAAAATAATATTCATTCGATATGCTCAAGTGAAAAGTTGAAGTTTTCAACATTACAAACATCATCTTGAATTGCTTTTAAAATAAAAGCGGATTATTTCAGGCAAAATAGTTGTGTTTTTTTGCAATTAATTTTTAAAAAGTCATTTTGGAAAACACTGAGATTCAAAACAAATCAATTTTGTATTGGGCAAAATGATAATTTTTACATTGAATTTGAAACATCCATTTGGTAAACAATAAAGAATCAAAACATTTTTCATATGAAAATGGATCATTCATATTCATAATAAAAAATCCAAATACATAAACAGAAAATGCATTAATTTAGCGCTCCATCACTCAGCTAAAAGGCTGACCGTAGATTTTAAGATTTTTGGGTCGTTCACAAAGGGCAATACAACATTATTTTTTTAACGCCTAATGAAAGACCTGGTTGTAAGGACAGAAAAATTATTAATTTAGCTCCATTTCTCGGTTAAGGATACAGATTGAGCTTCTCAAGAACTTTGAGCTGTTGGAAGCCCTGGAGACTCTGGAGTGAGTTGCGAGAGAGATCTATCTGCTTGAGACGGGTAAAGCTGGACAGTGCATTGCCCAGGCTACCTATCTTCTCCTGGTAGGTACCAGGTAACGACAGGGATCGTACATCATCTGGAAGAAAAACAGAGATTGATGATATTGATAATGATCATGATGAGGATAAATAATAATAAAGATATTTGAAAAGAAAACAACGATACAAATAATGATAAAAATATTGATGATGATGATAATGATGATAATAATATTGATAATAATAATAATAAATGAATAAAAACAATAAAATGATAACAATCCTACTACTAATAGACTATTAATACTAGTCAATATACATTATTATTATCTATAAGGCTTCCAACTTCCAAGTGGTACAATAAATCAGTGCATTTAATATCTTTAGCACAGTACCTGGATGACAGATCAATATTGTTTTGTATTGCTCTGTCATCCTGGAACTTCAACTGTCGATACATTATTGCTTGATTATCAAAAATTAACAACACTTTTCGCTGTTACCCGGTAACTGTACCCAATGTGCAAACTGATTGGAACATTTACTGAGGTAAAAAGTCAAAATTTGTTATTTTACCAGTCAGCTTGGTATAGATAATAATAATAATATTGTTTTCAATACCACATAAATATTGCTCTCGCTATGACAATATTGGACTCATCTTCGGCCCGTCTAATATTGTCATAGCTCAAGCAATACATTCTTGTATCACCCTCAAAGCCATCCAATATTATCTAAATATTGTGCACATATCCATTTAAAGTGGATTTAAGGATTTAACTGAAATCTCCAAAGAGCTCTGAAATGTAAAATGTGCCCTCTGAAAAGTTAGGGAAAGTGAAGAAAAATTACCAAAAAATCATTTATTAAAATATCAAATTGGAAGTAAAAGAAAATGTGAACAGAAAAAAGAACTACATGTACACACAAAATTATATATCTAAAAATGGCAATTAACAGGATAGTGCAGAAATAAAGAAAGAAAGAATGAAAGGCAATAAAAAAAGGCTAAGAAATTGGGCAAAAATAAAGGATATTGGGAACAAAACTTTGAGAAGGTAGTAAAATGAAAGAAGTGTGAAATAAAGAATTTCAAAGGGTTTTTAGATAGAAATATTTATTCATTTATTCCACCCAAATGTTTGCACTTCAAATACAAAGTTTAAAAAAAAAAAACTATATTTTGCCAATATATAATTTAAGCAAACTAAATTTGTAGTCTATGCAGAATGCCAAATTTGCATCCTTGTCTACAATACATAGATGCCCAGTATATTATGCAATGTGCATGGTTTCATGGTATTAAAGCAGGTTCATTTACATAAGAAATAAATGAATTGTCTGTGTGTGTGAAAAGCAGTCAAAAGCCTATTATCTAGCTATCTCAATTGTTTGCATAAAGCCTATTATAGTTGACATTGGGCTTAAAATGGCTTCTCTCCCCCTGCCCATTTTAACAAAGGAGTGGGCAGTAAATTCAAGATAAGCTAAGCCGTTTATAATTAGGATCTCTAAGTACTGATAACATTCACATCTAAAATATATCATTGAATGCCAAGAAATGATAAGTATTTCAAATCTGGAAAAGACTACCAAGTTGTCCCAAGTTCTAAACAGAAATATATTTAGATCTACATGTATTTATTTGCAAACAAAATAATATCAATTATCAACAATCTCCTTATCAAAGAAGAATCATTACAAAGTAACAATATCTGAGATGTAAATCCTTTCAATAACTGAATGACATGACATTAGAGCATAGTTTTTTAGTTCAATAATAAGCATAACCAGACAGTAACAAAAGATAAAGCAGAATAATGCTAACCCTAAACTAAAGATAGACCCAGTCCTAGAGTAGAAGTCTAGACTATACTATCAAACTATCAAAATTCACTTCATCTAGAGAAGAAAGAAAGAAAAAAAAACTATTATAAATGATTTTGTCTGTGTTGAACTTAAAATTTCAAATCTACAGTGTAGGTAGATCTAGTCTATAGATCTACTATAGAAGTAGAATCCATGCTGGACAAAAATAACCGTCTGATATGGGTCATTTCTTTAATAAAACTGACATTTGTTGACATTCCCCAATAATCGGAGTTCTAGTGGAGCCAGACGTAGTCTCAGTGGAACAACCAACGATATAGAGAGACTGAAGCTTTTGGTCTAAATCCATGATATGCATATTGGATTTGACTGAAATATTATAAATTATCATCAGTATGGATCGGAGGGACTCACTGTCACCGACATATACATGAACAGTCCCTGAAACTTGAAAGTGACATTGAAATTGAAAGTTTACAATAACATTTAAACTAACTCACTGTTAGTGCAGTGTTACTGTTAAAGGGATCGTTTAACATTGTTAAATCTGAGATACACGGCTCTACGTGTCATCAGTGTCTGTGATATGGTGTAATATTGAAGCCCTAAAAAAATTGTGCTTCAAAATGATCAAGAAGTGCCTCAAAAAAGTAAAAATCTTTAAGTGACCGGTTTTACCATACTCGTTTTCCCCAATAGAGTGTAGTGTTATGAAAACCGTCAGGCGAACGGTTTTTAAAATTTGTAATTCCAATCATAAATATATTGATAATCAGACAGGCGATCGGCTTGTAAAAGTCATGGGGTTCCTGACTGACCTAAAGGTTTATAATTATCATTGCATCATGAGCTAAATCCAGAATTTTATTTCAGAATCTGAGACAAAGTTACCGGATCCCTTTAATTAATAGACCTTCTAATTAATTATGTATTGTTACTAGTCTAGGCCTACTAGTAGAGTAGACTAGACTTCAAGTCTACACCCATAAAACTAAATTAATTTTTTATTTCTATCGTTGCATAAATTGTAGATTATCTGGAATTCTGGATTGAAGTGAACCAGCAGCAGTGACGCGAAGCCAGGCCAGAGTTATCTCCTGCGCGTTTGCCGGGCCCTCGGCCTCGGGGCTGGCAAAGCGCCAGCACTACTGCAGCTGCAGTCAGGCATCACTGCCACTGGTATTGCAATGGTGATCGCGTAGCCGGGTTACGTTTAAACAATCGACATTGTCATTCACAGAGTTTTCCACCCTTCTTTCTATTAAATATGACATAGCTACGCACGTAAATTTTAGATGGAATACTAGGTAATTAAATAATGATATTGTCTCACCTAAATTATCGTGATTTAATTGAACCCTTTCTCTAATCCAAGCCTCAGTTATCGTGAGAGACATCTTTGAATTTACCGCTTTCACTGATATTCAAACACAAGCGGCAATACAATGGGACTAAACAAATTGAACAAGTCGAAAGTCAACGAACGATTTCGCATAGTCTTTGCTCCAGTCGTCTTTAACCTTACTAAGTCATACTGTAGGGGCGTCGAGCGGCGAGCAAGGGCGGGGTCTCAGTCATGTAAAAATATATTCAAGGTATTCAAGGTATAGGTAGGTTCATGGGAGTGATGTTGGGTGCTGACACAGAGATGGTTTTCTTATAGTTATTTTGATCGATCTTCGATTCATGGGGCGGGTTATCCCGAGGATGGCAATCCCGAAATCAAGGTGGTAGTCGTTCAATCCCAATAATTTGATGATAGACTCCAATCTAAAATGATGAATAATTTAGTATTTCACAGTAGTTGTTGTTCTTCTTGTGCTTTTGCGGGGGAGGGGGCTACACGCCTGGCAAGAGAGACCCTATATTATGCACACTGCAAAATTGCGTGCCCCCCTCCCCGCCCCTTTCTGGTAAAGAAAACACCTTCTTATAATATCATCCCCTTTCTTTCTTTTCCCTTCTCATTATTCTGCTTTTCCCCCTTTTCTCTCCACCGTCTTACCCCCTTTCCTTCTTTTCCGCCTTTTCTCTCCTCTCTCTTCCCAGTCTCTTCGTTTCCCCTCCTTTTTTTTCCTCTCCCCTTTACTGTTCTCCCTCTTTTCTTCTTTCTATCTTACCTTTTCTTTCTTTTCCCCCTCCTTTTTTTTACCCTCCTTTTTCTCCTTTTCTCCCTTTTTCTTTTCCCCCTTCCCCCCCCCCTTTTTTTTTTACCTGGGGGGGGGGGGGGTGCCCCCTGTGCTCCCTGAATCCGCCACTGCCTCCCCTCAAACTTCCGTTAAGTTTAAACCAAGACGTTTATCTCGTTATGGCCTACATAGGGAAACATATGTCAAAGTTTTTGCAAAATTATCTAGATTCATGATAAAAAGATAAGTTCAACAAAATAATGATACTTCTTCACGAAATTTTCATAATACTTTATTGAATAGAGGGATTTCTTAGTTATTGTCGACATCCAATTCTGTTGTAAGATTTTCTGTAACATAATAAAATCATATCGCCTATCTACTATTCTTGTCCCACAATTCGATTTTCCTCTCTTTTACTGCCTTTCTCTTTTGTATTTATCATCACAAGTGACCTAGATTGTGCGTCGTTTCCTCGTTAAACCATATTCATATTGCGATTAGAATTTCAGCTAAATAACAACAAGCTTCCATGTTAATCTTGATCATACTCAGTGGCATATACCTTGATCCAACTATGATGGGGGCGCAGGGCCCTGTTTCATAAAGCTTGTTTCAATAACAAGTTACATTAACGGTACTGTTATAAGCTTTAGTAATCCTTGCATTTGATTGGCTGAGAGCAAATTTGTCATAGAATCTTAGCATTTGTTATTTATTTCATGGGGGCGGGGGAAGGGGAGCACCGGGGTAGATGAAATGTGAGAGAACAGTTGGATATTGATAATCCACAAAAATTCACCCAATCAGAAAATTACCCAAACCTCACCATAATTATGTAGCATGTTAAACACTAGTTGGGCAAATAAGTTGGATAAAACATATAAAGAGGCATAGACAGGGGGTACAATGGGGCCATAAACCCCTCCCCCCTATGCAGCTCCTAAAAAAAAAAAAAAAAAAAAATGCAGTACCGCATGATTCATGTAGGAATTGTATATACACCCCCCCCCCCCCCGATTCCTACGTGCGTTCGGGTCACTTTACCACGCCGGAGCAGGCCTGCACTGGTGCACTGGTTGGGGGGGGGGGGGGGGGGCAAATACAATTAAAGAGTGGTTTATTTCTAATTCGATACAAATTTTCCGGGATCTTTCCTCACTTTTTAGTAAATTGTACTTTTTAATGCATACGTTGGAAAATGATACAGTCCCAAATTTACAGCAAGAAATATGCTTATTAAGAGGCATACATGCATCTGGGGTTCCGCCCCTGGACCCCACGCCAATTAGTGTCCTGCCAGTGTCACAAATAAGGTATTTAAACAAAATGCTTATCTGACCGTAATTAGATGCCTAAAACCCCTGAGCTTCCGGAGGCTCTGCCGAGGGACCCCACTAAAGAGCCCTAAGGCGGGCCCCTGGATGATCATCTTACGGTAATTGGATGCCTAAAACCCCTGAGTTTCTGGGGGCTCCACAACCTGGACCCTCTACACCGTTTGATGTCACGACACTGTCACAAATAAGGTATCAAAATATGCTCTTCTGACCGTAATTAAATGCCTAAAACCCCTGAGCTTCCGGGGGCTCCGCCCCGCCCTCTCGTCCCCACCAGAGGCCCCAAGGCGGGACCCTGAATACTTATCCGCAGGCGCGTATGCAGGGGGGGGGGTGAACCCCCCTTTGATATTTTTTATGTATGTATTTTGGACGAAACCCCCCCCCCTTTTTTTTTTTTTTTTTTTTAATTATAAAAAAATTAAAACAAATAAAAAATAAAACAAATTATTCCAATGGCTGACATAAAAAAATTGGTTACCCCCCTCCCAACGGAGCAAAATTTCAAATTTTCAAATTTCGAGACCCCCTCCCAAAAAAAGTGTCCTCTTACCCCCCGAGCTTTGGGGGAAATTGCTCTTAGACGCTTGAAATTAGGGGCACGATTAATGATGAGAGGAAAAGAGGAAACTTATCGAAAGGGTTAAGACACGGGTTAGACAAGAAAAGGGGCACGTGTCAAAGTACAAAGGATAATTATCCGAGGTGAAAATGGGGCACTTCTTACACCTAAAAAAAGAGGCACGCACCAGGGATGAAAAGGGATTTTATGAAAACGGGAAATGAGCATTTGTCGACGGAAAAGAGGCACCCATCAGATTTTGATAGAGGCATTTATAAGAAGTGAAAAGGGGCATTCATGAAAAAGAGATAGGTTCCTTATTAAAAAGAAAGAAGGGGCACATATCATTGTTAAAATGGTAATTATCAGAGGTGAAAAGGGGCACTTAGTGCATCTGAATAGGGGCACTGACCATACATGAAAGAAAAGGGGCACCGATTAGATTTTAATAGAGGCAATTATCAAAGATGAAAATGGCTAATTATGAGAAGGGGGAAGGGGCACTTATAAGAAGGAAACAGAGCATTTATTAGGAAGGAAAAGGGGGACGTGTCAAAATAAAAGGGGCATTTATAAGACTAATTACATAATGTGGAGCAACAGGGTATGATTGGGTCACTGAACCTGTCATAAACTGACAGATCACTATTGATGATGATGATTTATAAGAGATGAAAAGAGCACTTATCAGGAGGGGAAGAGGCACTTGTCAAAGTAAAACGAGTATCTCTCAGAATTGAATAGGGTAATTTCAAGTGCAAGAGATAAAAGGGACACTTATGAGAATGAAAAAGGCTCGTTTTTAAATGGGGGCAGTTATCATAAGGAAAAGGTGCACTTATTAAAAAGGAAAGGGGGGCACATGTGAAAATATAAGGTGCGCTTAAATCCGAGTTAAAAAGGGGTAGTTATTAAAAGGTGAAGGGGCAATTGTCAAAGCAAAAGGGGAACTTCTTAGATTTGAATAGGGCAATTATCAAAGGTGAAGGGGGCGCTAATCAAAAGTGAAAAGGGGCGCTCAGTCTCGCACCTGAAAAGGGGAACTTACTAGAAATTTAAAAAAAAGCACTTATGGGAATGGAAAATGGACACTTTTTGCAAAGGAAAATGGGAACTTGTCAAAGGAAAAGGGGTACGTGTCAAAATAAAAGAGGCACTTATCGGAGGTGGAAAGGGGAAGGGGCAATTAAGAAAAATAATAGGGGCACTTGTCAAAGTTAAAGGGGCATTTTTCCTGTGTAAAAAGGGGCACATTTGGGATCCATGAAAAAGAAAAAAAAAAAAAAAAAAAAAGTTTCCCTTCTTCTTGTCTTCGCACTGTCATCGCTTCGAGCATGCTGCAGCTTCCGAACCGAACCGAACCGAACCGAAACCGATAATACCGAGATAGCTAAAATGAACAGACGATAGATTTTATATTGATGGTATTAAACTATTAATGTCTTATTATTTATTTAATGGCATAATGTTATGACTTAAATACTATATTTTAAGACGAAAAATAATTTTTGAAAAATATATTAAATGTACTATGTATCTCAATTGATAAATTTATTGACTCGTTGGAACTTACCCCCTCTAAATTTGCCAGGACTTCAAATTGGCAGTGGCCTTACCCTGATATTGCAATATGGCACCGGAGAAGGTGTCTTAGATATCGTCAAAAACCATCAAATATTTTGCCGAATGAAATTACATATTAAGAGTTTTACCAGCTTATCGTTTTCTACAATATCTACGGGATCAGCGGGGAGACATTTCAGCCCACTTGATGATCTACAACCTGAAAGAATGAAATAATGAATCTGGATTCCCTGTCGCTGGCCTTTTCTCAGGTTACCAATCTTGTGGCCAATCTCAACAAAAAGAATTACAAGCAAAGTGTCGGGGAAATCTCTCGCGTAAGTGGAGCTCCCGTAGGCTACGATGAAATGTTTTGGTGTCTGTTATCATTTCTTATAAACATAGATCCAAGTATTATGAGAGATATGAGTATTGCATGTGATGTGTGAAAGGTAGAGTCTGAGACTCTGACTCTGACTCTGACTGAGACTTGTTCGACTTCGAGGCTGTGCACTGTGATTTTGAGAGCAAGAGGAAGAGCAGTTTGAGCAAGCTCAGAATTCGGAAGTCGTCTGAAATATGCAGTCTCTGCCTCGGCTATGGTCACGGGTAGTCCAATAATTCTGAATTAGGAAGTACTTCTACTATTAGATTTGGCTTGTGGAATATCAAATATCTTTAAGGTCTAATAAAGAAATTTCATTGTCTTTGAATGTGGTATTTTTGGGGCATTTCGTCATGATTTTTGTTTTGTTTAGTCTTTAGTGTAGGTCTAGTCTAAGTGTGTGTGTGGGCAGTTGGTTGGAGAATAAGGATCGTCCGCTTAAACAAGGATATCGTAAACGCGGACAAATCGCATCTTAAAAAATAAGTTTTGTACGCACTTTCGTTGACGATCCGATTTACCGATTTGCGCGTTGGCGATGCGAAAAAAACAGTTCCGTGATGATGCTCCACAACGCAGCAGAGACTTTCACGTTATGAACGATAAATCCTCTGGAAGACGGACAATCGGTAACAGTAGGTGGTGAACTAGGGCTATTTTATTATGCGGAATCTGTTTTTCGCATTGCCAGTGCATGGATCGGAAACCCGCAGAGCGCCGAAGAAAAAAAAATCTTTGAAAATGCGCACGATCTTTAATTTTTAGGATGCGATTTGTCCGTGTTTAAGAGGATATCCTTGATTATGCAGACGATCCTCATTCTCAGACCAGCGCCCCTGTTAGCTGCTGGTGGTGTGGGGGGGGGGGGATTTATCTAATTATACGTTGTAATTCAACCCAGGTCAAAGAAAGGATAATTATTAGTTAAAGGCCAAGTCAACTCCAACTTAAAAAAATTATAGGTTGTTGTTAATAAATCAAAGGTTAAAACTGCCAAATATCGCAGGCGTACTTCAAATATTTAATTTTGAAAGAATAATTTTTGTTTTGGTTATTTCAAGCAAACATTTAAATTTGCCACATGTCAGATTGTTGATCAAGTGATGTGACATATGCTCTTTACAACGAAAGTGCGCACCGCGCCAGTGGTATGCATTCTGACAATTCAAGATGCTGATGTGCCAGGCTTACGGTTATTCAAATCAGCCAGATTGTAGTAAGAAAAGTTTCTTTGCTATCCCAAACCCTTGAAATACAGGGAGAGAATGTTCTCAATGGCTAAACAATATTGGGACTGACAAGTTCGAATCCAAGATGGCATGGCGGCTCGCATGTTTTGCCTCTTCTCTTACACCAATATTATTAAGTTAAAAGTCATGAAAAGGCACTAAATATCAACAAACATGGTCTACAACAACTCCAAATGACAAAATAATCCCAGCTCTGCATGTTTTTTAAGCATTTGATAGCCCAAAACTTATATTTTCAGCATTAAAAAAAAAAAAAAAAATCTGATTTTTTTCCCAATCATTTTCATTGATCCGTGATCAGAATTTATTATCCGATTTCACCTGATTGGCCCCTGATCCAATGATCGGTTGCAGGGTTAGATGATAGCTTCTTGTACATGTAGTGCCATTATCTGCTGAGCACTATCAGTCATCGTGCTTGCTGTCTCACAAATTCAACTTTCTTAGTCATTGTGTTATTTATTTTGTGATGTTGAGTGACTGCCTTATGAAGACCGAAGAGTTCCTCAAGAATTATTTGTTAGAATCTCAAGATTTCAAATGGCTTTGTGACTAAATAAGAGACGACCCTGCGGTTACTTACGAAACACACAAGAGATCATACTTTGCACCGGTAGATGAGATTTAGTTGAGCGGCAATTTTGCTTGGACATGGTGTAGATTCAATCCCATTCAGGGATGTTTCATGGTTCACCTCTCTTGCCACATTGGCAGCTCAGGAAGACTAGTAGGTCCACCTTCAGTGCCACAAATATCCGCCTTCCCACATTGTATGGTCTTTCCTTACCCTGCTCTACAGCTGAGCCAATTTTGAATATATTGTACATCATCTAGACTCTGGAGTCTATACTGTACATGTAGGCTAAGGCACGGTACGCAGGCCTGATGGCAGTCCTTCATTTGTGCAACTCTCCACATCCCGTTTACTATTGCACGGCCCACTGATGTAATGAGTAGTATTTCTTTTTACAAATTGTTGTTGTTTTTTTTTTAATCTTTCTCCAGCTCGTTTCTCACAACGGGCCAGAGGCAGACAGGCACTTGCTGCGCTGCCTCTTCTCCTACATTGACTTTTGTGATGGTAAGAGCAGCGGCAAAGACTTCTACGAGGTGAGGACAAAAATAATCTTAAACTTTATTGCACATGCATGTACTGTACATGTAAACCTCTCCAATGTATACAATTTACTGTTATCTTGAAGAATGGTGTACATGGACTTGTACTACATGTACATGTACATGTAGAGCTAATTGCATTGGCCAAATTTTTGTGTATGCTCTTAAACAGATATGCAATGAATGATATATTGTATTTTACTAAAAATGATATACATCTCTTGACAGACATGTCTTTATAGTACAGAGGAGACGGGGTACATAATGTATATGAGAGATATTTGAAGCATCATACAACATGGATTATGCTTTTTCACTCTGTCTACTCTGTCGCTAAACTGACTCCAAGCTGACCTATTTCTTGGCTATTTGGATTAAAGTAGATTTTCATTTCATGCGTTATTCGGTCTGGTGAGTGACCGTTTTTACCATACTCATTTTCCCCCAATAAACTGTAGTGTTATAAAAAAAGTTGGGAAAACGGTTTTTGAAATTACTAATTCCAATCATGAATATCTTGATAATCAGACAGGCAATCGGCTTGGAAAAGTCATGGGATTCCTGACTGACCTAAAGGTTTATAATTATCATCGCAGCATGAGCTAAATCCAGGAATTTTTTAGAATAGAGTCAAAGATACCCAATCCCTGTAAATGATTTTTGTTTTGTTTTATTTTATTTCAACAGACTCAGCTGTTGATACAGGAGTGCTCCTTACTCATCACCAAACCTAATTTCATCTCAACTTTGTGCTTTGCCATCGACAACCCTCTGCATCAGCAGAAGGTAAGAAATACATGTACTACATGGAGCAGTGGAAAGCTTGAACTATTTGATTTCTATTTTTGAATTCCTGTAAGGTCGTAAATTAAACAATGTGAAAGTAAATCTCTCTTTGCTATATAATATATATTTGTTTAAATCTCTGAGATGTAAAAGTTGAATGAGATTATAAAAGTGTAGATTCAAATTGTATATCACTTTTTTAAAATTCCAAACGTTACATGAAAATTCCAGAATAACTTTGCTGTACATGTACAGTATGTGTTTTTCTGAAGCAGCTGCAGATATGGTCAATACAGAGTAATTGCTTGGTAGTCGTTTCATTCTTAATTCATTAAACATGAGTTACAGATTTTTCCTGTCATTAACAATAACAACTGTAATACCCCTTTAGGCTAATAAGTTTTAAAATGTGATGTTGGCGTTGGTTTATCGTCTCTTTTTTTTAAATAACCGTATAATTTCCAGTTTTGACAATATGCATTTATTTCCTCCCTCTTTTTTATGTTGATTCTTCATTACAGAGTCTAAGGCCAAGCCAGCAGTTGTTCACCCAACTGAGCAAAATCTTAAAGCTCACTTCAGTTCAAGAAGTTGTCTTTGGTCTTGCTCTGACCCATTCAGTTAAACCTGAAACCAGATCACTAGGTAAGTACAGTTAACCTATAGCAGTTTAGTGTCCTTTTTAGTGATTTTTCCCCCCACATATAATTATAGGAATTACACATTGTACATGAACAGAACGAGCAAAAATCGCAGAAGTTTTAAAAGAATATTTCTGATGCAGTTTACTGTGCCATTCATGTATATGAACAATTCAATTGTATCATGTTTGTTTGTTTTTTGTTTGTTAAACTAAAAAATGATAGGTGGACTGATTGAATTAGGGCCTTTGTTAAATACTTTTAGATGTAAGCTATAATATGTCACATTGTCACGAAATATAAATGGGGACAACTCCATTTTACACATACTTAAAATATTTCAAAACTTGGTAATGGTATGAATAATTTAGTTGTTAACTGTACATGCTTTTCCACAATGTTTTTCTTTTACAAGTTAAAGATAAACTTGAGTTCTGGTAAAATAAGAAAATTAATTCTGATAGAATCAAACGAAACTTACACTGAATGTTCAAGATTACAAATAAATGTCATTTGCCCAACAATTTTAGTAGAAGATGTATAATGGCTGAGTAATAAGCATAGAAAGATAAGAAAATCAAGGTTAGTAGCCCCGACACCATTTGTGTAGTCCCATATACATCTTTCTGTGTACAGTGCTTGTTACTTTGCCAAGACTGGGCCAAATTTATTATGATTTTCAAGACTCCAGAACCTTGCAGTAGGTCCTACACACCAATACTTTTTTGATTTGACAACTAATAGTCGTTATTTTCCCACTTGAAGACATTTTCAAGCCCCACCTTTTTAGGAAAGTTCTAAATTAGTATTATCTCTCAAATGCAGTTGGAATTTAACTTTTTCATTTTTTTGGCCTACAAATGGGACATAGTACCTTTAACAATGCAATCACATGACCAGAACTCAACTTTATCTTTAATATGGATATTGAAAACACCAGAACAATTTTTTCTGAATACCCTGTTGCATGTAAAGTATCTATTAAATCTGCAGTATCGACTGCAGAATGCGAGAAAAAGATACATGTACACTTTGTAGAGGAACATGTTTGAAACAAAATAGTTAACCAAAAACACTGCATGTTGTTCACGGTGGCTGTTGTTTCACTTTCAAACTTTTGTAAGTTGCACAATTAGTATCATGATTCTTTTATATTGTAGCATGGAATGTTCACAAATTTTAACCACTTCCAAAATTCAAGAAAGTTTTTTGCTCTATTAGTGAGTGGGGGTAATTTTTTTTTCTTTTCTTTTTCTATCTATGAACAGCTCTCCAGTTTGTGAAGCAGAAGTTACCTGATCTTGTCCGTGCTTACATAGATGCCGGTAAAAATTTCTTCAAGTTTCTTTCTTTCATTTCTTCATTTATCACTCTATTCACCGTCTTGATTTGAAACAATAAGTTTAGTGTGTACATATAGTTTCTGGAATCAATTTAAATTTGTATAGACTCTTTCTAAATATTAGATAAACATAATATGGATTGTACGTTCATTTTGTAAGCCCAGTGCAATGTCTAATGAATATGTACATCTTGTTAAGCGGAAATCTGCCCTCTCATAAATCGTACCAAAATTCTTGACACTCCCTATTTGTGAAACATTCATGAAATAATCAAACATTGACAGACACCTAAGTCATGAATTATTCATATACAGTATTATGGATAAATCACTTGAACACTAAATCATAACCTTTTCCTATACATTTAGACTGAGGGTGATAATGGAGTTTTACATCTTCATGAAGGATGGATATATGTCCTGCTCTTTTTAAAAAACAGTGGCCAGTCAATGTGGTGTTTATAATAATATAATAATAATAGCTAGTTCTTATATAGCGCTTTTCAGGACCGAAAAATCCGTCCCGATTTTGACAGACAAAATCGGGACGTATTTTTATGCCACATGTTCGTCTAGTCCCGTATTTATCTTTCTGTGTACAGTGCTTGTAACTTTACCTAGACTGGGCCAAGTTTCTTATCATTTTGATGATTCCAGAACCTTGCAGTACACACCAATACTTACATGTATTATGCTAGATGATCAATCTTTTCTGATCGATTCCACACCGTTTCTTTCACAATGCAACTGCATGACCAGAACTCAACTTTAGCTTTAAAACTCCCCTTCTTAATTTGCCGGTAGATATTCGTAACCAGCAGGAGAGTGGATTGGCAGACTTTTCTGTGGAGATACTGCAGCTGCTCCTGACCCACCTTCTCTACCGATCACCCGATCATCTGGGCCTTGGGAGTGTACAACTAGAGGCTTTCCTCAAGACTCTCAAGAAAGGTCAGTTTGATGTCATTGGTTACAGTGTTGATGATGACGAGGAGGAGGAGGAAAATGATGGTGAAAGTACATACCTGCCAACCCTTACAAATAATCTGGAATATTCTGGATTTCTAGGACCTGAAAATCTGGATATTCTGATTTTTCAAAATTTTGATTATTATTGTTATTTTCTTCTTTTGCGTGTGTGAGTGTGTGTGTGTGTGTGTGCTAAGGCCAAATTAGCTTGTTTTATCATGTCCCGCGATTTGATAGTTCACGTATTGTTGGTTTCACTGCCGCTGGAAGTGCGATTTCTTATTTTCGAAGGCATACCATGCTAAAATTCCTAATTCTTATTTTCAGATGTTGGCAGGTATGAAAGTAGTGACGATGATGATGATCATCAATATTATAGTGATATTGATTATGACGATGATGGCGGTGGTGGTGGTGGTGGTGGTGGTGTTGGTGATAGTGTTGATGATTGTGATGATGGTGGTAGTTATGGTGATATGATGATGATGGTGATATGATGATCATCATCAATATTAGGGTAATGATGGATGGTGCTTGTTGTGATGTTGATTATTATGATGATGATGATGGTGGTGGTGGTGGTGGTGGTGGTGGTGGTGGTGGTGGTGTTGGTGATGGTGGTGATGTGATAGTGGTAATTTGATGGTGATGGTCTTTATGATGGTGAAGTAGTGTATTATGGTGATAATGATTAAGGCATGATTGCCCACAAAGAAGTGATATTTTTGTGCCTGTTCCGAAGAAGCATGTAAGATGATCTTGCATGTTACATAGGAATTTATTCCTTCATGATGATTGAAAACAAGGGTATTGAGAAATTTTATGTGCAGAACAGGAAGAAAAGACAAAATCAAATCTTCCCACATGTAATGTTGACATCACATTTTTAATCCTATATACAGTAGATCCTGAGTTTTAAAGTTTGTAACTTATATTAAAGTTATTAATTTACATCTTTTTGCTATGATGAAAAACCCATAAAAATTAATAAATACTACATGTATACTAAAATACCAAGTATTTTGGAGGTACTATTTATATCTCTGACTGCATTCCTGAAACATATCTAGACAACAAAGAAACACAGTCAAATTGTGTTTTGACAAAAATATAACTGTTTTGCCTGAAACTCGCCCTTTTTTCTACATGTTGAGCAGTCTAAGTCATATGCACACTTCGAAAACTGTGCCAGTAATTATTTATTTAATTGTTTGGCACTTCTTGAACTTTCACCTTTTAATTTCTCAGATTTTTGTGTTTTCAATTAGAGCAAAGCACATGTAGATGCACATCAATGGGGAGGGGGGGGGGGGTAATATTATGGAAGAATGTATGATATGCTGTTTGAGAATTTACATGCATTGTCAATTACTTGTTTATGTCTTGCGCAATTCCTGTGTGAAGGCTACTCACAACTGGCCATATTGTTTGTTACTCATTATCATAATTTGTAAACATGAATGCTGAAATAATCAGTGCCTGGCCTAGGTGAGGAAATATGCCCGCACCTTGGACTGTGACCAAAGTATGTGTTTTCAAAGTAAACAGCTGAAATGGTAATTGCCTGTGGCAAAGAATATCCTTTTACACATAAACAGCTTTGTCACTCTGTTGCAAACTGGTTGGTTCAGCTGAATCTTAGTGCTCATATCACCCTAAGGAATCATGTATCGACAGTATGCTTTTCACAGAGGAGGTGGATTTTTATCATGTTACATGAATCCCATGGGGATTAGAGTGATAACAGGTATCAAGTGTTGAATTGAGACAATGTGTTTTGTAAATGTATGTGTTTGAGGACATGTGTAAGTAGCTATGTGTAGTATGTTCCTTTTATTATGAACATTGCATAGGGTCATGTATGTTTCAATGTTTGTATTGTTAAAGTGTGCAATTTAAAAAAAACAATTAAATTATAGATTTACTTACATTGTTTTCTTTGTATTGGATCAGGCAGAGAACAATATGCAATGTTTATTAATTACCTTACATTTCAAAAAAAAAATCAGGGTAGTCGACAAACAAAAATTGAAACATCGTTACATAAAAAAAAAAATAAAAATGGAACGTGGAAAGAGGAGTATGAACTGGAGTTTGCAAAGCACAAAGTCCTTTGTTTTCTTCAGGGCTTGCCGAAGGGCTCTGAGGTTCTGAGATATACTGTACACTCTGGTGAAATGTTAGCCATATTTTAAAGCATTATGAAACCAATCTTACGACTATTATTTCATAAATAAGTTTGGTTGAGAATGAATAATAGCCTGACTGCCTGATGCTGATTTTCAAATCTGTACAATCAAAGTTCAAACCTGTACGATCAAAATTCAAAGCAGTATAATGAAAATTTTGAAAGATTTACATGTTTCTCAAACTTCACAGATCAGGGATGTGTAACACAACAATTTCAAATCAGTGCAAATTAGTGGCAGTGTCCAATCAACATTGTTGCATGGACGTCTTGATTGAAAATCTGACCCTGAACTTGAAGCCGGGCATGAACCAATCAGGGTTCCTGGTTTCATTTAAGCCAAGTTGAAGCCAGAGTGGAATTTCCCTTTACTCACTGTATTGACCTTGTTTGTCTGTAACATACATGTAGAAAATGACCTTATTGATGTGTTGCTTCTGAATTGACTCTGTACATTATTCTTTTATTCTGCTTTCTATTCTACAGAATTTCCGCCTGAGCGAGTACCTGTGGTGCTTGCTCCCTTGTTGTATGGTGACAAACAAGATATTCATATGGACAGAGTGATTTCTGACAGCATAGCAATACCTAAAGGAGTGGTGAGTTGTTATTTGATCTGTCAACAAACACAGTAGCAGTTTGTATATTTATTACTTACATATTCATATGGACAGAGTTATTTCTGACAGCATTGCAATAGTGAGTTAGTTATGTGATGTGTCAACAAAGACAGTGGCAGTTTGTGTAAATGCTAGGAATTTTCTAATTCCATTCAAGTTCAGATCTTGCAGCCACTTTTTAACACTGGAAATTAAAGCAAATTTCTATTAAAAAATGAATATTCCACATTGTTATTGTCATGAATTATCTGGCATCACTTCCACATTGTTATTGTCATGAAGTGTCTGGCATCACCTATGCCTTGGAAGTGAAATGCAAACTGAATGACTGTTACTGTTGGGTCTCTCCTCCTGTTGTAACTGATTGAAATGTGCATCACTATACCAGGTTTTCCCTATTCTTATTCTAGTTGCAATGTAGGGGAAAAGTTATTGCGCAACTATGCTTACCATGGTCATATTGCACGAACTTGCGGATAGTGGGGATTTTCTCATTGCTAGTCTGGTGGCAAATGTAGATCATTGTTATATATTTATAAAAATTAAAAACAAGAAGAAAATCAAACAGAAATAAATAATCAAATCACATCAAATCAAATCAACCTAGATCAATGATCCATAATTTGATTTGGATTGATTTCTCAAGCCAGTAATAATATCCAATAGAACAAATAATGTTGTACATTTCGTAGAATTATAGTAAACAGAAAACAACATCAAAGTAAGTGGCAAAGGGGAAATAGTGAAGAATTTCTAGTATGCAGGTGGGGGGGGGGGGTATCAAAAGTATTGTATTGTATTGTACCCCTTCCCCCAACAATAATTATAACATCACTTTGTAAAGGGCATGTGGTAGTCATTTAAACCTTGTTATGATGTGACGGGGTAAACTGTCACGTTTAACTAATGTAAACGTTGGTGTAATATGTTTCACATTTCTTATATATTATGACTCAGAACTCAGTGAATACGCAAAAACGGTTGCATAGATTATTTGCACGCAGTTGCCATAATTTTCACATTTATTCATGTTTTAAATGCTGCAGTTTACCAATATCTAAACGAGCTTTTAGAATAGTACAGTAATACAGTTATGTAGTTACTATACTGAAAGATAAATAGTAGGCTTGCGGATGCACCATGTGAGAGAGAGGGAGGATTGAGGAGTCCTAAAAAGGACTCTCTGTAATCTTTCTTGAGGGTGTGTAGTACTGAAAGAGAGTTGCGTAAAATTTTGTCTGATGACACCCCTCCCACCTTTTTTTCCTCTTTATCAGATGGATGGCTCTCTGGCAGAGCTTATGCAGGAGATGGGGTACAGCTGCTGTGCCACGGTGGAGGAATGCCACAAGACCCTTGTCCAGTTTGGCATCAATGGCTTGACCGCAAGCAATGTGGCCAAGGTCATCGGTATGATGGCCAGGACCCACACAGGCCTTATGGATAACCTTCCACTTCAGGTAAGAGAGAAGATAAGATATTTGAGCATATTTTCAAAAGAAACAATCTTGTAGAATACTTCAGTGGTACATGTATTTTCTTGTTTAAAAAAAATTGATGTGGATTGTCATTTAGAAAACAAATTCAGTGATATATTAGTGATCCTATTGTAGACTGTAAATTTTGTAAAGCTCTGTGCATAAAACACAGCCTCATTTATGTTTGTTTGCATAATTTGTCTATTTTTTTGTAACATTCAAACTTGAACATATACATTTTTGCGGTAGTTTAAAAAATGTTGGACTTGATATAGCAATGAATTATAGACAGCAGGCCAAGTTGACAATATATACAGTTGTATCTATTGATCAGAAAGGAACTAAATGCTCTTTTCTTCTGCACAGTCGGTGTCTGGGGCTAGCGTGTGGAGCGATGGCAAGGACAAGCAGGACCAGGCCGGGCAGCTGTCCACCTGGGATGTGGACACCTTCATCAAGGTGGTGAGGGAGCTTGCCCCACATATCAACTTCAAGGAGGTGGTGTTTGAACTTGACCATCAAGGGTTCTACATCGGCGAGAGCCAGGGGCTGAGGCTGGTCAAGACGGCGTTGATCAGGGGTCTGCAGCAGGATGTCTTCCCTGTGGAAGCCCTCTACAGAGTCTGGAAGAACTTTGAAGGACAGGTGAGTTGCGACCGCCCAAAGGAAATACAAAAGGTCGTCTTTGTAAACAGGTTCCTTTAGTACATGTTTCAATGGGAAACCATTTTCAAGGGAAACAAAAATTGTGCTTGTTGTAGACAGGTGGTCACTAAAGCAGGTTTGACTGTACTAAGGAAAAAAGGGGTTATAATTTTTAAATGTGCATACATTTTGAAAAAATGATGTAATTACTGATTGGGATGGAGAGAAGTTTGAAGGTAAATTTGTTCATGTCAAGGCTCATTTTAGTCCCAAAAGAGAAATAAATTGAAGCAGAAATCCGTAGCAGCTAGTTTCTACATGAAGATCACATGTAAGTGAATGTAGAGGCAGTTAAATTGAAAGAAATGCTAGACTACCACACTCTCTGTATGTAGCACAATGTTTCCTCAGTGTTGTATTTTGTTTTCAGATTGAACTTTCTAAAATATTTCTGTCTCATAAACATTGGAAGGGTTGGTCGACTTGCAATCGCCAGTTTAAGGTTACATCAGTGCGCATGTGCAGACAGGCTGACCTCAGGTCATTGGCTTTGAAACAAAGCCAATGACCTGAGGTCAGTGGTATTTATGCGTAAATTAAGATTGCGCCCATGCAAATGATGATGTGCGCACACAACGCAGCGCACAGGCAGTGATGTCATCATAATTTGCATGGGCGCAATCTTAATTTACGCTTAAATCCATGACCTCTAGGTCATTGGCTTTGTTTACTCGCCAATTGAAATGGCGCCCCTAACCGTAAACTGGTGTATTTATTAGTTTGCGTTTTAAAGCTATGTGGAAAGTTTATGTGATTGTGAATTTTAGAGATAAAAAGCTTAAATGGGTAAATTGTATGTTTATTTATTCAGGAATGCTTCTAGTGATTAATGAAAGATATGATCCATGTTTATTCTCTCCAGCTATCCTGGATCCAACAAGCCCTGGCCCAGCCAGACATCTTCTGTTTTGCTGACTACCCATGTCACCCTGTGGTCATTGACATCCTAAAGGCACCGCCAGAAGAGGAGAACAGAAAGATTGCTACATGGTATGTCATAAACCTTAAGCTTAGATGAATAGTTTACTTATAGATTCAAATTGATGGAAAAAATCTTTCCTGGGGACCTAATGACGATTTTTTTTCTTCTTCAATTAACCTGTTATTAATGAATGATCTACAATACTTGGATTCCAGTCTGCATGCATTATTTGTTGCTATTTCAAGCAAGTCTTGGGCAAGCTTTCAGGAATTGAAGAATAACCTTTCTTAAAAAGTATGCATAAACCTGTCTATTGGGCAGGATTGAATCTTGTTGTGGTTTCCTGGTAGCTAGATAGCTGCTGGCCCTCACATCATTTTCATGGTTTTGTTGATCCTTTGATAAAACTGTTGTCATGGAGAATTCTTCAGGCTCGATCAGATATGACACGGCAAAATTGCAGCAGTTTTTAGGATGATGTAAAGTCTACTATGCTTGACATTTCTGTATCTTATAACACTAGAGCTCAGTGGATATGTGCAAGTCCGTTCATTTGCTTTTGATTATAACCTGTGGTTTTGGTAATTTGACTGTCTTCAAAGAGGCCATTTGTATCGTGCATGGCTGATTATATAGTTGTTATAAATGTGCATCATAGGGTTGTTTGGACAAACAAATGATTAAAAACTTGCATGAAAAACTTGATGAAAGTTTGATCGTCCCAGATAAAAGCGATTATTCCAAACACTCGGCCAATTTAAAACTATTTGCATATTTACCCAGGAATTTATCTGACAGATTCCGTTTATGTATGGTTTTAGCATGTGTAATTTTATTTGTTATTTAGTTAGTTTTGTATCATTGGGAGAACTCCATTTTTAAGTAGTTGCTGTATTTTTTAAATACTTGCATATTGAATTTCTTTCCCAGCACCAGATTTTGTCCATGTTGAAAAATGTTTGATACGACCAAGTTATTTGATTATTCTTCTGTTTATGTTCACAGGAAATCCCTTGAGCTTGTTGAGGTGCTGCTGAAGTTGTCAGAGACTGGGAAGTATGAACAGGTCAAGAACCTATTTAGCTTCCCCATCAAGCATTGCCCTGACATGCTTCTTCTAGCCTTGCTTCAAGTACAGGTAAGGGGTGGACAGTCATACGTTATACATGTGATTGTACTTGTTTCGGTATAAATTAACATATTGTGTGATCTCTGTTTGCATGTATTAGTGCGGTATGGTATGTAATTCTGTAGGATTTTTTTGCCAAAATTGATTTTTGTTGTCGTTGCTGTTTTGGCTTCAAAAGGTCCCAATTGGCCCAAAATGATGGGGTTCAAATTTTCAGACCCCTCCTTCACTTCCTGGGGGGTCCATATTGGGCGCCAAAATGGCTTATATAAAGCACAATAGGTAAATTTGATGTCTACAGGAAAATTTGAACCCCATCAATTTCTGAAAGCGTGGACCCCAATGAATCCAAGAATGAAAAAAAAGTCCTACGGGAGCTGTTTCAGTGACATACCGTACCACACTATATGTCGGAATGCAATTGGTCAGAAGATGTATAGAAAATCCTCCTGATGATTGTGATGATGACACTTTCCTTTTGTTGTAGATAATTTGATAATAAGGAAAGAAGCATTGCTTTAGAAACATTAGTTTGATTAGTTCAGCAATCATATTACAATGGAAGAGAATAATATTGGTCTTCAAGGTTGGTAGGCCATGACAATGATAGTGTAAAATCAAGAAGAGTTTGTAACTTATCAGAGAAGGTTTAGTTCTTGGAAGTGGTGAAGAAAAAAACTTGTGAGCGTTATCATTGTTATGATGCAATTGTAGCAGAACATCGGGCTAAAAATGTTCCTTGAAAAGCATGGATCTTGAAATGCCTTAATATTCTAAATATGGCATGTAACAGCCACATGCCATATGCTCTTGTAGTCCCATATACATCTTTCTGTGTACAGTGCTTGTAACTATACCAAGACTGGGCCAAATTTCTTATCATTTTGATAATTCAAGAACCTTGCAGTACACATCAATACCATATTGTAGATGATCAAACTTTTCTGATCGATTCGACACTGTTTCTTTCAAATGCAAGTGCATGACCAGAACTCGACTTTATCTTTAAGTTTGTCCACAATGCTGTTCTATTTATGAAAGTAACACAGGGTACTAATATGATTCTCTTTTATTTCCAGCCCACAATGACCCCACTTCGTTTAGAGCTGATAGCCGTCCTGATGCCAATATTCCTGGGGAACCACCCTAACTCTGGCATTGTTCTCCATTATGCATGGCATGGCCAGGTAGGTTATGACAATCATCTACTTGGGAGTGATGGAAAATGACACTCCAATTATATTTGCTTCATCAATCTTTTGAATGGTTATCAAAATGCTATATTTGTAAGCACAATTCACGTGGGATTTTCCGTTCATGTTGTTTACTTGGTAGTCAATAGAAACCCTGAATTCAGCTCCTTTCTTTCTCCCCCTCCCCCTCCCCCTTCCCTTTTTCATTCTCTTTTTCTCTCTGTCTGTCTGTATTTATATATGTCTGCCTCTCTCTATGTCTGCTGTCTGTCTCTCTTTGTCTTCTTCCATATTTCTTTACCCTTGACACCTTTCGCCTCTCTCTCTCTCTCTCTCTCTCTCTCTCTCTGTCCTCGTACTTGTTTTCATTGTTTTTTTCTATGCGTCTCCCTCTTTCATACACTCATAAATTTATCCCTCTGTTTCCTTTAATCAGGGCCAGTCCCCGACCATCCGTCAGATCGTGATGCATTCCATGGCTGACTGGTACATGCGAGGGGACAGCGACCAGACCAGGCTCTCGCGAATCCTTGACGTAGCCCAGGACCTCAAAGCCCTGTCCCTGCTCCTTAACGCCACACCATTCCTCTTTGTTATCGACCTAGCCTGCCTTGCTTCCCGGAGAGAGTACCTCAAGCTCGACAAGTGGATGACGGATAAAATCAGAGAACATGGAGTAAGATACAGTTTAACATTAGTGTTGTCTCCAGCTCTTGGTGATACCTTGAGTGATCCTTCTTCATGTTGTTAATTATGTTTACTAACTCTTTCCAGGGTCAACCAGAGCTGCCAACCAGTATGATATTTTTGTATTTCGTATGATCAAGTAAATTCGAAAGTATGTTTTTCCTCAATAAAATACAATTACCCATCCCCCCCCCCAAAAAAGGCATGTTCGCAGAGAGGAAGTACTTCTTGATCAAAAATAGGATCTTTTTTTTTGGGGGGGGGGGGAAGAATAGGATTTTTTAAAGTTGGGGTTGGCAGCCCTGGTCAACCTTGACTAAGTTGAAAAATAGAGCTTCAAACAAAAACATTAAAATATTATTAGTTCTTTTTACTCTCCCTGATTTGTAACAGAACATATTCAACTATTTTTCTCGTCCAGCAGGAGTCCTTTGTCCAGACCTGTGTGAAGTTCCTGAAGAGGCGTGCCCCTCAGGTGATGGGAGGGATAGCCCCGGAGCCCAGAGAGCTACCAGGAGGTGGGAAGACAGGGGTCTTACCACCAGAAACCATAGGAACCATGCTAGCCTGTCTACAGGCTTGTGTTAGGTGAGCTTGAACCTTGAACTTTGAACTTTGAACCTTGATGTGATTAGTGAAATCTTTCATCAACTCCTTGAAGCTATCACAGGATTGTGAAATGCTGTGTGTTGTTGAGGGGTGCCACGTAGAAGCAAATAATTGTTTTTACTTATGATAACAATTCAGTATCGTTTCATTGTGTTTGCCTATTTCTACCTCGGAATACATCTCAGAAAAATTAATCTTTTTCACCCAATATGTTCTTGTGTACCAAGATGTTACATATTTGCCATGGTGAATCATTTTAGAAACTCTTATCCTCTGTGATAAAAAATATAGTTTAATTCGTTCTGATATGCTATCACACTATTGTAATGATGTTTAATAAAGCACCTACGGTTTTTTTTTCCTTTTTCCACTGAGGCCACCAAGTAAATTCTGAAGAATGAATTTAAATGTGATGATATTATTGAAAAGAAATGAGTTGAAAGTAAGCTTAGGAACTTTTTTTACTTGGGGAAGTGAAACAGATATTGTATTTCTCCACTCTTTCTGTTAATCTGATTTACATAAAGGTCACACAAACTGAGATTCCCCATGTCATTGTTATATTTCATCATGTTTGTATTGCAACTTCCTTATTCTTACGATTAGCAGCTATTTGCGAAGTCTTTTATGTAGTCATTTCAAGAAAAAGCGAAAAATGCTTAGTTTTTGTTCCCAACCTTCAGTCATTAATTAACAATCGGGGATAGGTAATCAGACATCAGTTAGCATATATATATACAGAACTTCTCCTTCTGATGAAGTCCACCTTGTCCACCTTGTTGTTGGTGCATCACTGGACTTTGGAGTTCTAAGAGCAGAGCTGTGGAAGATCTAATCTACATGTAGCTAAAAACTGCTGGCTCAATATTCCATTTCTGTGGAAGATAATGCTGGTGGAATCTCTTTTTTTTTAAAGAACAGATTTAATATATAGATGCTGTGGACTGATATTTGTACCTTGCGGAAGGTTTAAATATTCATTCAAATGCTACCACTACCACCACCACTACTACCACCTCCACTGCTACTGCTGCTGCTGCTACTACTACTACTACTAGTACTAGTACTGCTACTACTACTACTACTACTACTACTACTACTACTACGACTACGACTACTACTACGACTACTACTACTACAACTACTACTACGACTACTGCTACTACTACTATAGCTACTACTACTTCCACCACTGTTACTACTACTACTACTACCACTTCTGCCACACTATTACTGCCATTACCCCCATCACCACCAGTACCACTGCTACCACCACCATCACCATCTCCATCACTACTACTATCACTACCACTTCTACTATCACTACCACTACTACTGCCACTCCTATTTGTTGTGGGATCTAGTTTGACTTATTGCATTTTATTTGTCCACTGATCAGTTCTGTGTCACCGGAGCTTGCTGAAACCATCATGAACATGGTAGCTAACTGTGGAAACCTGCTCAAGTCTCGCCCCCCACCGGGTGTGATGAACAACCAGGGGATGCCCCCAATCTCACCTGGACCAGTCACTCCGGTAAGATTCTTTCATATCTTTTTTCTGTAAACCAATAAAGCTCAAGGTCTCTATTCACTCAAATGAGTTAAAAGCAGTACCAGGTTTAAGCCCTGTTTGAAAAAGCAACAAGTTGAACCTCTGTAAGTTCCTGTCTTCAACTTTAAATCTTGACCAACATCAGCCCTAAAGTTACATAGAAAATGGGCATGAGAGTGTACTTTGTTAATGTCATTATGATTGGAATGCCATTGATCTCCTCAAAAGAAGTAAAATAGAGAAATATATACATTCAAAATATTTTCAATTAGTGTGAATGACCGGTAATGATACATGATGTGTAATTTGTTACTGAAAGTGATGGATCAGAAAAGCCAAGTCTCTAACTGCATTGTAGACTATAACGTGTGTGGACCATTATAGTATCTTAAACATCATAGTCTGTCTCTTCATTCCACTTGCTTTATGTTATCGCAGATTGACTCGCTACCAGGCATGCCTCCTCTAGGCTCCACGATGGGCACCTCCATTGGATCCAATATGGGTTCAACCATGGGATCTAATATGGGTTCAGCCATTGGGTCTAATATGAATTCAGCCATCGGGTCCAACATGGGATCAGCCATCGGGTCCAATATGAATTCAGCCATTGGATCCAACATGGGCTCAGCCATCGGGTCCAATATGAATTCAGCCATTGGCTCCAACATAGGCTCTGGCATGGGGTCCAATATGAATTCAGCCATTGGGTCCAACATAGGCTCTGGCATGGGGTCCAATATGGGTTCAGCCATAGGGTCCAACATAGGCTCTGGCATGGGGTCCAACATGGGTTCAGCTATCGGGTCCAACATGGGCTCAGCCATCGGGTCCAACATGAATTCTGCCATCGGGTCCAACATGGGCTCAGCCATTGGGTCTACAATGGGCTCAACGATGGGATCATCAGCATCCTCTATGACCACACCCAACCTACACCCCTTCAGCTCCAACCCCCTGGGATCCAGCTTCGGGCAACCGCCCCAGTCACCCCAGAAAACGTTCCCCATGCTGTCTGGGCCCGGTCCCAACCTGGGCGGACTCATCAATCCAACACAGTCGAGCAGTCATCGTAAGAACTTCTCATTATCTTCTTTCTTTGTTGTTTGTGTGATCCACTAAAAAGAGAAATCGCATTAATCCTTTGAAGCCTTTGTAGCTCTCAAAGGCCACACACCTGTCAACTAGATTACTACTATATGTTGGGAGAAATCACTTTATGATTATATATGAAAATGTAATAGTTTCGTCTGTATTCTACAAATTCAGTAGTATCTGAAGCTGGGTCTAGATCCAAAGGAAAACTATGTTAGGACTTTCATGAACCTCAGACATACTTCCTTGTTAAACTCGATCTTGAATAGAACTTAAGCCCAGCGTTGGGTTTAAATCTTTGAATCTCGGTGACTGGGATTCTGAATAGTCAATTTGGTCAGCAACCTCAATGGGAGAAAAGATATGATTGGCTGTGATTGATATTCATTTAGGCTCGTTGGGCATCTTCTCTGAAAAGTAATCTTTAAAATACCCTGCAGTGTCAATATCCATATGTACTTGACTATTTATTAACTCAATCAAGAATAGGAAGAGTTTAAATCACAGCTTTTCTTGTACAAATTCCCAATATATATTTTCATGTGCATATCATTTACTTGGAATAGTGTATATAACTGCATTGCCAATTTGAAGATCAAATGCTGATTGATTTTAATCCCTAGAAATCCCTGTTTTAGGATTAATGTGCTGTCACATTTGTTTTCCTCTTTTCTAACATGATTAGCAACTGGCAAAAGTAAGTCCTAACAAAGAATGTGTGCTTGTATCTTGTGGGGGATTTGCAGTTTGGAAAGTGTGTCTTTACATCTTTATTCTTTTCTCCCTCTCTCTCTCACTCTCTCTCTCTCTCTGTGTCTCTCTCTCTCCTTGTCTTTCTTTCTCTCCACACCAGAATCTTCATTGCACACTAACAGTCAGTCATCTATGAGCCAGCCTCCTAAAAGCGGTGCAGGTTCTATAAGACCAGGTATATACATATATATATATATATAGCAATATTCCATGTAGTAATACAGTGAAACCTGTATAGAAAGACTGTTCAAAGGAGACAAGAAAAGTTGTCGTGTTCTCTGATACATGTCTCAATTTTACAGTTCCACATTGTAGCACTCAAACTGACAAATTGTTGTCACTTAAATTAATTGTGTTCAAATTGTGGTACTTTTCACTCTGACCAATTTATGAAAAACAAAAAACCCTAGAAAGTTGTGATGTGTGACAGTTAAGTTTTTTAATGTTTATTTTTAATGAATAAAGATAACAATCAATAAACACATCACAGAGGAAAAGCAAAGCACAGTCCTCTCAATCTGAATTAACTTAAAGGAGCTTCACAAAGAAAATTTACTAACAACTCATAATTATAATTATAACAAATTACATATTTTGGATGGAAAGATTTTCTCTTGAAAAACACGAATAATTTGCTGAGAAATCATATAGATATCATGGAAAGGCGTAAAATGCAATTTTTCAAGACCCTTCTTAGACCCCTGAACATAAGCCAAACACACAAGCGTAGCGAGCTCTGAATAGTGACGTCACACACTGGACAAACAGCTCAGTGCCGTGTAGCAGTCCATAGCTAGCCAGCGGTGTCCCGTATGTGACGTCACAAATATTGACGCTCTACAAAGGACCGCTGAAGGCAGAAAATCTGCATCTCAAAACTAACATTTTTGAGAGTTGATTACTGCGGGCCCCAAACATATTTTGAAGAGAAGAGTTGTTGTATTTGATCGGCAAGGCTTCCCCTTCGCAATGATATGAGTTTTGCATCAATTCAAAACACTTATGATTCTTCGTGTGGCTACTTTGAAGGTAGCATATGACAAAATAATGTCCTTTTGCTGTGATTGTATGTGATGTGTCACAGCTTTCACTCCTTATGTTTGTAGCATTTATTCTCATTCAGCTCATTTATATAAACTACTATGGTTTTTCAGGCCTGATGAAAACCCGATTTAAATCGGTTTCCCGATTATTTCCCGAATTTTTTCTCTATTCTTCCATGTTTTGCCCTATTTTTCCCAATTTTGTCCCAATTTTCTAACTCGAAAGGGGGGAATGTTGGATGCCATTTTTTCCCCACGAATCCTCTTCTTTTATTTTTACTCAAGGGGGGCGTGGTTAAGGGGAAAACAAAAATCCTATTTTTTTTTTTGTGCTCACTATTACCCCTGCATGTTTGAGAAGAGTGGAGAGAGCTTTGTGATGTGGATTCACAACACCCTTTCACCACCAGCTGATATATGATTACATCTGTGTGTAGGGGGGGGGGGGGCAGGGGGAGGTTGTCATGTTTGGGAAGAGTGGAGAGAGCTGTGTGATGTGGGTTCACAACACCCTTTTACCACCAGCTGGAATATATTTACACCTTTGTGTAGGGGGGGGGGGGTTGGCATGTTTGAGAAGAGTGCAGAGAGCTGTGTGATGTGGGTTCACAACACCCTTTTACCACCAGCTGGAATATATTTACATCTTTGTGTAGGGGGGGGGGAGGCAGGGGGAGGTTGTCATGTTTGAGAAGAATGCAGAGAGCTGTGTGATGTTGGTTCACAACACCCTTTTACCACCAGCTGATATATGATTACACATCTGTGTAGGGGGGGGGGGGGAGGCAGAGGGAGGTTGTCATGTTTAAAAAGAGTGCAGAGAGCTGTTTGATGTGGGTTCACAACACCCTTTTACAACCAGCTGATATAAGGGGGGGGGGGGCAGGGGAAGGTTGTCATGTTTGAGAAGAGTGCAGAGAGCTGTGTGATGTGGGTTCACAACACCCTTTTACCACCAGCTGGAATATATTTACACCTTTGTGTAGGGGGGGGGGGGGGGGGGAGGCAGGGGGAGGTTGTCACATTTGAGAAGAGTGCAGAGAGCTGTGTGATTTGGGTTCACAACACGCTTTAAGCACCAGCTGAAATATGATTACAGCTGTGTGTAGGGGGGGGGGGGGAGGCGGGGGGAGGCAGGGAAGGCAGGGGGAGGTTGTCATGTTCAGGCCTGATGAAAACCCTATTTAAATCTGTTTTCCGATTTTTTTTAAATATTTTTTTTTCTTATTTAAAAAAAAAATATATAAATATATTTTTTCCCTGCTAATCCTCTTTTTATTTTTACTTAAGGGGGGGGCGTGGTTGAGGGGAAAACAAGTGCTAAATATCACCCCTGGTTTTTATATATTGCACATAAAGATATGTTAACGGATTATTAAACTGTTTCCAGTACAATATTAATCTATACCAGTGATAAAAGGGCTGTCATGGAGCTAATCAAGAACAAGGCCACACATTACAAAGAGTTATGATTGATCTTTAGTTTGATCGTAAGTATATGGCTCGTAGTGTATTGATCAATCTAAAGGCTTTATAATACATGGCCCTGAATTGAGTGATTTTGTAAAGCCTTTGTGTTGCACAAAAAAAATCTTCCCATTGATATGCTATTTTCGTAATGTAACCAAATTCAAGGCATACGTCTTTGTGAAGTGCCTCAATTCATATCATTCCATTCACATGTTTTAAAACAAATAATTGTATCTCAATAGTCAGAACGTGAATTGCATACCGTATTTGTTGCTAGGTAGGACAAATATTATGGCTTGCCCTACCTAACAACACATATGCAGTTTGTATTCTGACTGTTGAAATAAATAATAACAGGTGAATGGAATAATTTGTATTGAGGTACTTCCCAAAGATGTATGCATTTAATTTGGTTACAATACAAAATATGGCCTATTGGGGCCTGTTCTCTTGTACACAAATTCCTGTGTGGCAAATGAGCTGCTTTCAGTTTTTAAGTCACGGCATTGCCTTTGTATATATTTAGGCCCAAATAGGTCATATTGCGTAATTATGTAACCAAATTAAATGCATACATCTTTGGGAAGTACCTCAATACAAATTATTCCCAAAGATGTATGCATTAAATTTGGTTACAATACGAAATATGGCCTATTGGGGCCTGTTCTCTTGTACACAAATTCCTGTGTGCAAACGAGCTGCTTTCAGTTTTTAAGTCATGGCATTGCCTTTGTATATATTTAGGTGATATATCCAATATATGGCCAGAGTTGAACCAGTCTTTCTCTCCAGAGATTGATGAAGAGGCCAACAGCTACTTCCAGCAGATCTACAACCAACCGCCCAACCCCATCATGTCTGTGGATGATGTTCTTCAGATGCTTAAACAGTTCAAGGATTCACAAGTCACAAGGGAAAGGGTAAGTGAAAGGATGTTGTGTTTTTATTTTGTTTTTCTTCCATAAAAGAATAGATAGAAGATGGACAAAGGCAGATGAAAGCAGTTTGAGACAAGGAAGGGTGTATCGGTGAAAATTGTACCTGGAACCTGCAAGCAGTTTAGCCCTTACTAATTGATTAGAAAGAAAGAAATTTAATTGGTACTAATTACTGTAGGGCAATGTGACTTTTAATACAGTTACCATTCTTGTAACAAACCCACAAGAGTGGCCATGATCAAAGACATTTTTAAAGTTGTTTTATTACCAGGCTTTACTTAATGCAAAATTTCAGGAGGTGCTTGATTATGATTCTCTTGCAAAATATGTTTGAAGAACTTTTGATTTCTGTTGTATAATGTCATCAATTTCATGTTCTCGTCACCACCACCACCCTGTCCCTCGCTTACATTCCAGGAGGTGTTCATGTGCATGCTGAGGAATCTGTTTGAAGAGTACAAGTTCTTTCCTCAGTATCCAGAGAGAGAACTCTTGATCACTGCTTGTCTGTTTGGAGGGGTCATTGAGCAAGGACTAGTCACGTGAGTAATGCTTTGAAGTCTGCAACATGTTTATGCCTCCGCAAGGAAGTAAACGGAGGAATTATTTTTTCGGGTTGTCGGTCCGTCTGTACGTCCCGTTCTTGCGTTATCTAAAAAACCGATGGACGGATTACCATTAAACTCAAGACATGTATGGATCTTGAAGAGCCAATGAACTGATAATATTTTAGGGTCATGAGGTCAAAAATCAATGGGTCATACATGTATATGAAAAGTTCTGAGGACCTGTTAATGGATTACAATTAAAGTTGAATTTGAAAACTTGCCTTTGTTTTGGTTTGTGAAATCGCTCTATGGCGGAGGCATCATCTGCGCGCATTGGAAGTTCCATCTAGTTTTTTTTCTGAAGTGAATTTGTATAAGCATCACAAGGACCATTGTGTATAGTCAAGTTTCAAGTTTATTTATTTCCACTTTATTGAAGATAACATAATTGAACATAATGAACATGGTAATAATTATAACTAAACATACAATATAGAAAAAACATGGTAATAATTATAACAAAGGATAATTATAACAAAGGATACAATCATAAGTATGATAAATACATTGAAAAATCTAAATAAAGTGGAGGATCTACTAAAAAGCAAAGCTTGTATTATGTAGGTTCCAGTTAATAGGTTTGTATATAAATTAGGGTATTTGAATATATAGACTTATTCCTTTCTCATCTTGCAGATTTATGGCTCTGGGAATGGCTCTACGCTATGTTCTAGAAGCCCTGAGAAAGCCCCACAACAGCAAGATGTACATGTTTGGCATAGCAGCTCTAGACAAGTTCAAGCTACGTCTCAAAGACTTTGCCCAGTACTGTACCCATGTTGCTTCCATTCCTCACTTCAAACAGTTCCCAGAGCATCTCATTGAGGTAAGCATTTTATTTTTTATTTTCAAGTAATACTGAAATAGTTTTTTTGTTGATTGTATATAAAACAAGATCTGAAGATAAGGAAATGCGCATGAGGAAATCTCAAAACAATTCCCAGAGCGTCTTGTTGAGATTGTTTTATTGAGTTCTTTTATTTTCAATTAATGCTGAAATAGTTTTTTTTTTTAATTGTATATAAAACAATACCTGAAGATGATGAATCAAATGCGCCTTTGCGGAAAATTAATCAATTTAACCTGATCTATACAAAATTCATCCCAATAATTTTTTGCTTTTCATTCATTTTGGGAAAGCAAGGTGATTGCTTTTCTCTTAAACTGTCAACATAGATATCAAAGCCTGATATTACATGAGACAAAACTTATCAGATAAGCTTGAATGAAACTCCAAGGAGTTAAAGAATATATGACCTTGAAAAAAGCTACTTAGTATTCAAAGTGTGTTGTCATATTATGGACAGTTAAGACCCATAGAGAATACTCTTTGATTATATATCAAGAGAGAGAGAGAGAGAGAAAGATTGAGAGAGATTGAGAGAGAGAGAGAGAGAGAGAGAGAGAGAGAGAGAAATCGAGAGAGAGAGAGAGAGAGGGAGCTTTTAAAATATATCTACTATGGAGAGCAAGAGGGATGTCCTGGCTCTCAGCAGTCCACATCATCTTGCCTGATAAGTTTGGGATTGTAAACCATTAAACCCATTTTTCCCCCTTTGATTGTTCTTTGTAGTACGTGACTTACGGTCAGCAATCTATGGAACCTCCAGTCACAAGCAGACCACAACCAACACCCACAACCACACCGGCAACAGTAACAACGACAGCATCATCCATACTGTCAACAACAAAGCCCACACCAGCAACTACCACCGTGTCAGCTATCAAGCCAATCGCCAAAGCAGCTCCTAAGGTAAGATAAGTTCTCGTTCCTTGTTATTTTAAGGTGTCAGACACAGTTCACAAAAATAAACACCAGTGCCCTGTCTGATAAAGGGTTGCGATCGAGTCAAATCACTCGCAACTTGAAATTAAGCGCGACAGTTTCGAAACGATTATGTTTCAGTTGCGATTGATTTAAATCAATTGCAACTCTTTATCATACAGGTGGTATTGGGAAACAAAGTTAATTGTCATAACAAATCCAAATTTGGACAAGTCATTGGTAAAAGTTCGCACAAAGCTGGCTGCGTTTGTGTGAAGTAAAAAGAGATATCTGCTCAAGCACCAGTGATAAGTGTTAATTCTGGATAATTTCAGTTAAGACTATTAGAGAATTTACTGTTAAGAGGGTGTTGCACAGTGACGCCTTCAAAGAAAACCATAAATATCTTTGTGGTTTGAGAATTCGTTCAGGATTTTTGCATGTTAAAGGGTATGTACAGTAGAAGGAATATGATACGTAACATTTCATACAAAAATCACATATTTTTTTCATCGACCTTCACCAATGTTAACGAGTCACCTTAATACTGGTAACCTACCCTTGAATAACCAAAAAAAAACAACCTATTATTACTATTAACATCTTTCTGTCTGATTTCAGCCTTCCATTGCTAATACCACCAACATCGACACCCTCCTAGTGGCCACACCCTCGGAGGAGATTAAAGAACCCTCAGAACAGGTCCAGGACAAGATATTCTTCATCTTCAACAACCTCTCTCAGGTTAACCTGGTCCAAAAGGTGAGTCTATCTATCTATACCCACCGTGATGGAGGTCAATCATGATACTTTGGTTCAAACCAGGGCTTCTTCTGCTGGTTGGTTTTGATACCAAAACAAAAATGAAGGATAATCAACTTCAACTCCAAATTCATTTGGAACTTTAAGGGCATGTCCACTCCAAAAATAAATTACTTTAAAAAAAAAAAGTGAACTCTCTTCCCTTCAAATTAGGAACGTAGGTTAACTGCAAAGAGTATTCTTTATTTGCATAATGTAATTTATGTTGAGACACAGAGATGGTCAAACATTTTGAGGTCTCTGAATATCCTTTTCCTGCCTATAAGACGCACCCCTGACTTTCAAATTTTGTATACACAGAGATTCATGGTCAGTGGAACCATCAGTGATATAGAAAATACTCCAGAGCAAAAGCTCAAGAACATTTCAAAGAACGAAAGAAAGGTTTTTTTTGTGACACTAAAGGCAGGGATGACAACGATGGTTTGTTTCCATGTCAAGCATTCAGTGAGATTGGTTTGTTTGAGCACAATTTGTAGCTGATGCCAAGTCTGTTCTTCTTTTATTTTCATGGGAGTGTTGTGGTCGAGTGGTTTAAGGCGCTTGACTGGAGATGCGAAGGTCGTGGGTTCGAATCCCGACACGGCACTAATATCCTTTGGCAAGATGTTAACCTACACTTGCTACTCTCCACTCAGGTATTAAAATGGGTACCCGGTAGGATGCGACCGTCATTGTTGGTCAAACAGTTTCTGGGCGTCAAGTCATGCATGGCTGGAATGCTTCCCAGGGAGTGGAGATTGTGCACGCAGTGTGTGCGGGCAAGCACTGAATCCAATGACCGGGGTAATAGTATATCTGTAAAGTGCTTAGAGATGTCTGAGATGTATTAAGCGCTATATAAAAGCTGAATATAATTATTATTTATTATTATTATTATTAATGTTATTTTTGCAGTGTGAAGAAATGAAGGAGCTGTGCTCAGAGGAACACCTGGATTGGATATCCCGCTACCTGGTCCTCAAGAGGGCTAGCATAGAGACCAACTTCCATACACTCTACTCCAACTTTGTAGATCAGATCAAACTCAATAAGCTAGCAGACATGGTGCTCAAAGAAACCTACAGGAACATTGGGGTAAGGATCATGTTTAGATCTGTCGCAAGAATGCATCTTGTTTTTCCTGATCTGTTGTTGAAATGTGAATCGGGTTCCTGTAGTAGTTAATGTAAACGGTTTGCTTTAACTATGACTTTAACCAGCATTTTAACAAATATTTTTATGCCTCCGTTACGAAGTAGCCGGAGGCATTATGTTTTCGGGTTGTCCGTCCGTCCGTACGTACGTCCGTACGTACGTACGTCCGTCCGTCCGTACGTCCCGTTCTCGTGATCGCGTTATCTGAAGAACCGATTGATGGATTGCTGCCAAACTTTGGTCATGTATGTATCTTGCAGAGCCGATGAACTGATTAGATTTTGGGGTCACGAGGTTAAAGGTCAAAGGTCACAGGGCTCATTATGTATGCAAAACAGCTCGTGATCGCGTTATCTGAAGAACCGATTGATGGATTCCTGCCAAACTTAGGTCATGTATGTATCTTGCAGAGACGATGAACTGATTAGATTTTGGGGTCACGAGGTCAAAGGTCAAAGGTCACAGGGCTCATTATGTATGCTGAAACAGCTCGTGATCGCGTTATCTCAAGAACCGATTGATGGATTCCTGCCAAACTTAGGTCATGTATGTTATTTGCAGAGCCGATGAACTGATTAAATTTTGGGGTCATGAGGTCTAGGTCAAAGGTCATGCGGCTCATTATGCATGCAAAAATAGCTTGTGATCGCATTATAATTAGAACAGATTGTTGGATTCCTCCCAAACTTAGATCATGTATGTATCTTGCAGAGCCAATGAACTGAGTAGATTCTTGGGTCATGAGGTCAAAGGTCAAAGGTCATGGGCTCATTATGTATGCAAAAATAGCTTGTGAACGCATTCTCATTAGAACTGACAGATGGATTACTATTTAACTCGGAACATCTTGCAGAGCCAATGAACTGAGTAGATGTTAGGGTCATGTGGTCAAAGATCAAAGGGTCATATATGTATATGAGAAATTGCTTGTAATCACGATATTCTGAGAACCTGTTAATGGATTACAATTGAACTTGAATTTGAACAATTTCTTCTGTTTTGGTTTGTAAAATTGCTCTATGACGGAGGCATCATTTCGACTGCGCGCAGTCGAAGTTCCATCTAGTTATTAATGATTCTAAACAAAATCCCATTTGCTGTATCTTAAAACATTTGAGGTGCCATTTTGGATTATAATGACAATGGAAGAAAAAATGATGTACCTACATCACAATCCAAAATTGCAGCTCGTTTGTTTTGCCTCTTCTCTTAGACTAATATAAATCAAAGTCTTAAAAAGGCTCTTAATATAAAAAAAAACATGGTATACAACAACTCCAAATGACAAAATAATCCCAGCTACATGTTTTTTAGTATTTGATAGCCCAAAACTTGAACATTTTCTGATTTTTTTTTTCTTCCGATCATTTTTCATTGATCGGCGATCAGAATTTATCATCCAATTCACCTGATCGACCAGCGATTGGCCTCTGATCGGATTATCGGTTACACCGTTAAATTTATCCATCACAGATTCTTTCGCACAGTGAATGCAACTTCAAACTCCTATTGTTCATCTGTTACAGGTGCTGCTAGCATCCAGCAAGAGTGATTCCAACTTTTCAGATAGGACACTCCTAAAGAACCTTGGACATTGGTTAGGCAAACTCACATTAGCAAAGAACCATCCCATCTTACAAGTGGTAAGTACAGTCATAGTGTATATCCTTAGATCTTCAAACTATACTTTGATTTTTAATGTTCTCTTACCGACGTATTGTATCTGTTATTTTACTATCTTTATGATATGACAATATACCATAGCTTGTTAGTTTATGATATATTGACTATATACCATAGATCATCATCATCATCATCATCATCATTTATTGAAGTCAGCATTTTCCCTCATGACTTTCATGCCATGATGACACCCTCTCCCATCACGTCATGTCTCAGGCATCCTCATTTAGACCAACCTACTGCTTTCTTTCCTCACCATATGTATTGAGTATTCTATTATTTTCCACATGCTTGTTCTCTTAATTTGTGATAAATGGCGCACATTTTGGAGCAGTGCAAAGTTACTTATTTTGAGCCTAATTCAAGTATAAGTTTTAATCATTGTGGTAGTTTTCATAGATAGTGTATTCTTTCCTGGAATAGTTTTAAATTTGTATTCCATGCCTTCTTTAAACACAATGTCTCTTGGTTCCTTGTTGACTGCCTCTCATAGTGTACTCTTCCAACTTTTTGCTGTTTTGTATCAACAATAATCTTAATCCATTTCTTCTACTTCCACAGGATCTTGATATGAAAGCCCTTATCCTTGAGGCCTACCACAAGGGCCAGGCTGAACTGCTGTACGTGGTGCCCTTTGTAGCCAAGGTGATCGAATCCTGCACGAAGAGCCGCATCTTCAAGCCTCCCAACCCCTGGACCATGGCTATCTTGAACGTCCTGGGCGAGCTTCACCAGGAGCCCAACCTCAAACTCAATCTCAAATTGAAGTAGAGGTTCTCTGCAAGGCATTCAATGTCACTATGGACGTAAGTGGTACCTTCCTGTTCATCTTTAAGACTTGTGCAGATACGACACGATAAACTGCTGCTGCTTTTTGTCGTGTAAATTAGTGGCGACTGCGCGCAACAAACGTCCTGCATGTATTCACTTGGTTCTGTGTTGGAAAATACAGCAATGTGACACATTTCACACTTATGTCGTCGTATAAAAACGTTGTGGTTTACTGTGTCACATCTGAATGAAGCCTTAGTTATTAAGGAGATTAATCGTATATTAGAAACAAACTAAAGAGTGGATGGGTATGAGATGTCAAACTCAAGGTTGATATTCTCATTCTCTTATATAACTGTACCATATTCTAAGGTATGCCGCAATAACAATCCACTTCATCAATCAAAGAGCGAGAAATAAGCTATTATTCTGTGAAAAAGTAAACAGGGTGGCTTTAGATACTCATTGATATTGGGTGTTCCAATCTGAATTGGACTCAGGAAATCAGTCAGAAGATAGATAATATTATATGTCAGAAAGTCTGACCGTAACAAAATCTTTGTATTCATATTTCCATCACTACACACGTTTTTTTCTTCACTTTTACTTATGTACTATGAATTGCAACTGTTGGTTTGAAGTGAGATACTGCTCATATGAACCTTGCACATTGGTTGACGTCGACACACTCCTTTCAGCTTTAGTCCCACTTAAGCATTTTTCTGCAAGTGCTTCGTCTATTTTCCCCAGTGTTCTCACATCCAGGGTCATCCTTTCCCGCCCGTACGCATTCACCTTCATCCATAGTGTCCGATTGAAATGTTCATAGAGGAGCGTGTCACCGTGGTTCCACTTGTAAAGTTGGGTGAAGGTCCTCTCTGTTGGTTGGTTCGTTCCTGTCGTTTCCAACTTCTGTAAAGATCAGTCACTCATCCAGGAAGGCTGCTTGAAAGGGAATCCACTGTGTTATCATCAAGTTCTTTTAAAGCCCCACTGTACTACTTGTAGCTACTTGCTCCCTCTATATAGCAAACAATACCTAATCGGTGCCTGTTGGTTTCCCATGATGCCCTTTTTCTTATGTAAATTGAGAGCTGATTTGATGAGATAACCGCTTGCCAGTGACCTTGCAGGGAGGTCTAATCCCTCCTGGCCAAACTAGTGCAGATGGACTTTAAGCCTTCAAGCTCATTGGGAGCCTCCTATGAACCTTACAATGAGCTTCATAAGCAGTCATCTAATCCATCTTTTTCATACTTCCAAACCACAGGACCTGAAGCCTGGCATGTACCTCAAGGATCTAGAGATGGTCGGTCTCATCCCCCACAAATTGACAACTTCCAAGAAGTTCATGGAGGGCGGGGCCTTCGGTATCTCCGTTGGAATGGGACAGGACAACCCATCTTCATCGGTGGGTGGCTTAGCGGCTGGCTTAGCAAGTGGCTTAGCGGTACCCCTCCCTACCGTTCCCAACAGTTCACTGGTCGGCGTCGGCGAGCAAGGTAAGTGACTTCAGACAATAATATACTTGTAGTAGGTTTAATATTGATAATAATAATACTATGTCCATTTATATACCGCAGCTACTATACAAATACACTCTACTGCGCTTAAAGGTAAAGACCAGTATTGGAAACGCCCCAATTTCAAAAAATGAAATGGAAGCTCTCATTGCCAATCATGTGAAAGAATATGTTTTGACTAATACATGATGATAAAAAATTTGCCGGCAAACCGCCTACTAATTCATATATTTGGTAAATTTATTTCTCTCATGGTCTGTGAGAGATATAGGGTAGTCCCATATACATCTTTCTGTGTATAGTGCTTGTAACTTTACGAAGAATGGGCCAAATTTCTTATCATTTTGATGATTCCAGAACCTTGCAGATGCTAGATGCTAAATGATCAACCTTTTCTGATCGATTCCACAACGTTTCTTTCACAATGCAATCGCATGACCATAACTGGTCTTTACCTTTAATACAAAGTATCATATTATTATATGAGCTGCCATGATGATGCGCTATTACATTCAAGGAATTTGTTCCTACTGGATACCCATTTACTTCTCCTAGGTGGAGTGGCAAAGGACATTAGTGCCGCTAGTTTATTGTCTTGTGTAATTGAAGCAATTTTACATGGTTCTCAACATACAGGTATTGCTTCGTCAGTGCCGACACCCCCCACTCCGTCTTTGCCTGCCTCACAGGCACCCGTTCCTCAGTTCAGCTTCCAAGATCTCAACACCTCAGCCCTGACAGGGATTGCTCCTCTCACTACAGTCAACGCACAGGTCAGTAAAACATGGATCGTCTTTTAGAAACTGCCTCATTTCTGATTTTTACTGTACTTCAGAAACTTTGCAGATTTGGCAAGAGCTCTAGTTTTTAGAACATTTCACACTAAATTTTGTTGGGAGATCTGTTACTGATACAAAAATGAAAATAGAATGCAAGTCTGGATTTTCCATATTGCCAAAGTTTTCCCCTGAAATCAGTCAGTGCTACATTTCTTGAAGCTTGTAGTATTACAGTTTAGGCATTTTTGCACTATTTTCATATCAATCCTCCAATTACATATATGTGCTGGGTCAAGGCATCTCTCAATTGATGATTGTTAGGTTGGTGACAAAAGGATACATAATACTTATAATAATTAATCATATGCAAAATATATTGGAATACTTGTAAGTAATACTCGTGATGCAAGTAGAGGGCAACTAGATAAAAGAGTGGAGATTTATTATCATGAATTACAGAAAGTGTGTCAGACAGTGACAGTGAACAAAAAACTTAATGCAGATAGCGAAGTTAAACATTTCATATTTTTACCTCTGTCCATTACAGTTGGCCATCTTCCAGGCCCACCCTCAGCTGCGTAACTGTGTGCGTCCAGCCGTGGAGAGAGCCGTTCAGGAGCTGGTGCACCCTGTGGTTGACCGCTCCATCAAGATTGCCCTCAGCACCTGTGAACAGATTGTCAAGAAGGTCAGGTTACGTCTTGGTTGATATTTGATATCTAATGGCTGTGTTCTAAAAACTGACCGGTCCGAGCCGATCGCAAGTCCTTCAATTGAATGCGTATTTGTAGCGTTAGGTGATGCAAAAGATTACATTTTTTAGATTGATGCGAGATATTGGGATTTGCTTATAAATAGCATTGTCTTTACAATGAAAGATGACTGTGAAACAAAATAGCTTGGAAGCTCTCATGTAGTCATTACTTATATGCCATTTTTAAATACTTGTTTATATTAATAAACTGTTTATATTAATAAATTGACCTGTGTCATCTCCAAAAATAAAGAATGATTCAAAGAAATGATGCATTCATGACATGTCGAGGTGAAACGGACGGGTGGAGATAGGGTTCAAACAGCTCTTAATGGTGTTGTTATAAAGAGGATGCTATTTTTATGGTAGAGGATGACAGTGATCACGTGCTTTAATGTAATAATGGCTGGTGCCGTGGTTGATGGTGGAGGATTATGGTCGTGATTTGTAATGAATATTTATTTTCTTTACCCAGGACTTTGCTCTTGATCCTGAGGAGAATCGTATGCGCCTTGCCGCCCATCACATGGTGCGTAACCTGACAGCTGGTATGGCTATGATCACATGCCACGAACCACTCATCTTCAGTATCATCAACAACTTCAAACTCTCCTGCATAGCAGCCCTCAAGGTAACTTAACACATAATACTTGGCAAACATAGGGGGGGGGGGGGGGGGAGGCACAAGCATTTTAGAAAGTCTTTGCATTCTTATGGCATGAATGTTCAAATTGACCAGCCTGGTGTCATTATGAATCCTAAATAATACAACTCTGAAGGAAAATAAAATGTAATTATTAATGCTGCATGCTGGCACCCAAATGTATTTCTTGAAACATTGTTTGTTTACATACATATCATTCTGCATTACTTGTAAATTGTGTGAATTTTGACAGTACTGAAACCTCTAAAGGTGGATATGAATAGGGTACTATACCACAGCAACTAAAAATAATTCAAATTTCAATGGGCAGGTTAGAAACTCAGTTGTGGGGATACTGTGCATATATACCACATATTATTGTCATTGACGATGGTATTGACACTCTGTTTCAACTTACATTCCGTCTATTTTTCCTCAGGGTGGTACTCAACAGCAGAAGGAGCTGATAGAACAGGCCGCATCTGTGGTTGCCAACGACAATGTGGAACTGGCTTGTTGCTTCATCCAGAAGTGTGCTGTAGAGAAGGCCATCCCCGAGATGGACCGGAGACTCGCCACCGAGATTGAGCTCCGGAAGCACGCAAGGAACGAGAACCGTCGCTACTGTGATCCGGTCGTCCTCACATACCAGGCAGAGAGGATGCCGGAACAGATTAGATTAAAGGTGAGGAATACAGATGATACAAAGTAATAATAACATTGACTTCTCATTTTAGGCGACTGGCTTCAGTCTTTTAAGTTCTTCAATCCGTTAAAGAGGTATAATCATGCCTTTTTATGACATGCATGCTAGCATTTGCTATAAACTATTATCGATTTGGATAATCCAAACTCTTTGTAAGACTGGCCAGTTTTTAAGTTTCATATATACTTTACACACCTATGATTAAATGAAAGAGTTCAGAATACTTCTGTGTAGACCTGTTTATAATCTACATAAGATATGAGTGATCTAGTTTTACTAGAGTGAAGATGTCAATGCCTGAGAAACACAAGTTTGTGGGCCTCATACAAATACAGCCCTTCTGATTGGCTGACACCATCTGTTTGAATTGCAGTGAACTTATGTTCGGAAGTGTGTTACCCTTTTATCCACAATTGCCAGATTATACAAAATTGATTGATATGAACCACTTTCTCAGTCGTAACCTTTTAACCTTTCTCAGTCGTAGCCTATTGATTCAAATGACACTTTTTATAACACATATCTATGTTTGTTATTTTCATTTAATATGTTAGCTACTTACTTAATTTTGTTCTTCCTTATTTATTCACATGAAACTTTTTATATCATATATCTTTATGCTTGTTATTTTTATTTGATGCGCTAGCTTTTTATTAAATTTTGTATAATATACATGTATGTCATCTTTAAGTAGTTTTTCCTATGTATTTATACTAAATCTGGAGTCTATATGATCTGTTTTTAACACGGACTTGCTGAAAAGCAGTCTTTTTAGGCTTATGTGAGTTTTACAGTGAATAAATAAATTCATAATATAATTCATAATGATTCTTTGTTCCATCAGGTTGGAGGAGTGCCTCAGGGTCAGATAGCTGTCTATGAGGAGTTTGCTCGCAGCATTCCAGGCTTCCTACCCACACCAGAAGCAAACCAACCACCGGGTTTTTTAGCTAAACTTACCCAGGTATGTGAACTAACTGACAAAACCTCACATGTAACTACAGTCAAACCTGTCTACAGCAACCGCCCAAGGGAAACAAAAAATTGTGCTTGTTGTAGACAGGTGGTCTTTGTAGACAGGTTCCTTTAGTACATGTTTCAATGAGAAACCATTTTCAAGGGAAACAAAAAATGTGCTTGTTCTAGACAGGTGGTCACTAAAGCAGGTTTGACTGTATATATATTTTTTTATATCAAGCCCAATTTTACAAGGTTTTATCAACCTGTTTCAGAAGGTCACATGATATTGTAGTTCGTAAGTTTTTTCATAGTTTAAACAAAAATATTGCTTTCATGGAATCCAAATAAGGGTAGTTGTTTGGATGTCTTTTCTATTTGACATTGAATTTACCTATGAAAAAATAGTTTATTGCAAATATGTTTTATGCTTTTCTATGAAAGTGAGATATTTTTAGTTGGAAGGCTACATCTGAGACAAGACAACTAAAAACTGTTTGATGATATGACATTGTTCTGTAGTCTTACAATGGTATGACTGATATTAAACCCATTGGCACTTCTCGACAGTCATGTAGACATCACTTATATGATAGTTTGCAAAAAAAACCTGAACCATTTGAAATCATAAGTTTAATAGTCTTCCAATGGCGTTAATAATAATGAAACCCACTTGCAGTTATCAACATAAACATTATCAATTATTTTTCAAATGCTATGATTTTATACATGTACATTAGTCTTAAACAACACTCAATCATATGAAACCATAAGTTAATTAGTCTGGCAATGGCATTATCAATATTGAAATATTGCAGTTATCAACAGAGTCATGTATACATTGCCTGTCAAATTATATGATCCCATACATATATTTTTCCGTCTCATAAAATGTATTTTTGAAATATTATTGTATACTTTATTCTCTTTTCCATTACAGTCTTACGCTGTCGACGAGATCACCCAGATCTACGACAAGTGTATTACTGAGATCGACCAACACTTACAGTTCATCAGTCAGGTTATGCCTCAGTCCCAGCATATCCAGATCTTACATGCCCTCCTGGAGTCTGTCATGGTAGCCAGGAACTCCAGGGAGATCGTCACAGCACTTGCTTGCCTGCAGAAGGTGAGAGACATTCTGTGTAAAAATGAATGGAATGTCATACGCAGGACAAGGCACACCGACAAATTACTTGATTCCTTTTGGGGAGGTTGTGCTCTGTGCTCGAATGGGGGGGGGGGGGGGGGGGGGTCTTAGAAAATGTGTTGGTGATTCATCTTGGATAATGTATCACTTAAAGAGAAGGTTGAGTTCTTGGAAGAGGTGAAAAAATAATTTGTGAGTGTTATCATTGTTATGATGCAAGTGTGGAAGAACATCAGATAAAAAATGTTCCCTGAAAAATGCTTTCATATTCTAAATATGGCATGTAACAACATAAATATCTGGAGAAATTTTTATGCAGCATGTTCGTGTAGCCCCATATACACCTTTCTGTGTACAGTGCTACCAAGGCTGGACCAAATTTCTTATTATTTTGATGATTCCAGAACCTTGCAGTACACACCAATACTTATATGCTAGATAATCAACCTTTTCTGTTCGATTTACACTGTTTCTTTCACAATGCAATTGCATTACCAGAACTCAACTTTATCTTTAAGCAGGTTTCATTGGAGTACAAGTGTTATATAGTATTGAAAAGCATGACACCTGTATTTTGAGAATATATACAAAATCAGTGATTGAACCTAATTCAAAGCTTTAGAACAACTACCCTTCGCCATCAAGACTGCTTCATCTATGGAACAGAAACAAATCTTTCCAGCCCCGTATTATGTTAAATAACATTGACAAAATTTGTCATCGGTGACAAATGACAATTTTGTTATAAGCTACTGAAATCCTTGCTTTTGATTGGTTATCAGCAGATTTGTCATTTGTCATTGAAAAGAGGCTTTGTGAAACAGGCCCCTGGTCTTTCTAAGAAGTGCAAAGTTTGAAGTGCTTTGTCACTGCAAGGAAAGGGCATTATTCAAAATACTCTGGATTTGGTTGGATTTATTTTGAACCAACTTGTCATTCAATCCAAGTCTTTGTTTTCTGTTGATCTCTCCAGGCTGTTGAAGGTCTTCTGGAAGGCTACACCGTCAGTTCCCTTGACCCCAATGCAGCCTTGCGCTATAGGGATGCCCACATCCTAGTTCTCAAGTCACTCCAAGATCAGCGAGCCTATGGTCCACAATGGACAAACAAGCAGGTCACCAGGTATGTAGGCAGCTTTAATTTGATTTAATTTTCAATTAAGTTTCATTTTAAAATATGTATTACCTGAATGTACATATAAGCTACATAGGAATTGTGTATCATTATTGTTGTTTGTAATTTATTATGTTCATGTATCAGGCATAAAATGTTCATTTCTATTCCGCTCTATCTATATTTCCTTCTTTTCTACGCGCATAGGGACTTTCTTTGTGTTAATGATATGTGCTATACAAATAACGTTCATTATTATCATTATTTCTTTACATCATCAAAATTGTTGTTCATAAAAAAAAATTAAAAAATTGATAAAGTATATTGTTGTGAAAATGTAGTTGAAGAACTGTCAAAAACTTTGGAATGCTTAAAAAAAAAATGTAGATCTGTCCAATGCGCATCTTCTGCCAGGCACAATGGATCAAAAGGGCCTGTTGCATAAAACTTACCATTGATGGTAACTTTGCCATCAATGGCAACTACCATGGTAACAGGCCTCAACAGCCAATCAAAATCAAGGTTTCCATGGTAGTTACCATTGATGGCAAAGTTCTATATGATCAAACCTTCCCATGCAGTAACCAAGGGATGATATTCAAGTTTATGGAATGGAATGCAACCCCTTTATGTATGCTGTTTGAAAAAATAATTAATACATCAGATTGATGGATGAGCTTTCAATATTTTCATAAGGAAGATACACAGTATGAAATAAATGAAGAAGGAGAATTAGAGATTGAGACATGAGGTGCAATAGCTCAGTTGTAGAGCAATGTCTTGTAACCCGGAGGTCCAGGGCTCGAAACCAAGTCGATGCACTAGTGCCCATTGGTAAGGCATTAATCCTCATTACCAAGTTCCTTGTAGAGGACGTACAGCCGTCGCTCCTTCTGTTGCTTGCTATCAGCATACACATGCTTTCTTAGCAGTCAGGTAAATTGAAAAGGAGGAAGTAGTATGTAGTGGTGGTTAATTTTACCTGACTGCTAAGAAAGCATAACTGCTTGTTAGTAAGCAATCAGAGGACTGACGGCTTTAGGTCCTCTCTGAGAGACTAGCGCTTCGCCTTGGTTTCGAACCCAGGTCGCCAGATTACAAGACCTCTGCTCTACCGACTGAGCTATCATGGAACAGGCATTGATAAGAGAAGACAGGATGTAAATTATTTCCTCTGTGAAGTAGCCCATGTTTGTCATTTTCCATGCTTTCTATATCTTCTCATCCTTCCTCTTTAATACAGAGTCGTCTGTGAGACGAGCAGCGAGAGGAAATACAACCTTGATGCCATTGAACAGCTGTTACGAACACACCTTGTCAACCTTCAAACCATTGACATGCATATTGCCACAGTAAGTTACTTTACATCCTCGTTCTGCCCCCCCCCCCCCATTTCTCCTCTCATTATGTTTAGTTGTCACTGTAACTTTTTAATTTTAACATGTTTTCTTGTAAAAGTTGTTCTGTATATTAATGGTCACTCTGTAAATATTTCAGAAAATTTTATTCCCAATACTTCCTTTACTTTCTTGACATTGAAGCATAAATACACTAGTTGTGTCATGGACCAATTTGTCCATCGTGACTGCACATGCTCGGATATAACATGAATCGTATGCATATGCTATGTGAACTTTTAGCTGCACAAGTGATCCCACTCGCTTGATAATCTTTCAGAATTTTTTTGATTACACTGACGGAACTTATGGGAATACAAACTCCTCCGTGGAGCATTTCTTTTCCAGCCAGTTGCGCCACTGTACAGATTTGCAATGCTCATTCAATCAAATGATGTTCCCATCTTCAGGCCCGAACTTGTGATATTTTCAATTTAAAGATAAAGATCAGTTCTGGTCATGCGATTGCATTGTGAAAGAAACGTTGTGGAATCAATCAGAAAAGGTTGATCATCTAGCATATAAGTATTGGTGTGTACTGCAAGGTTCTTGAATCATCAAAATGTTAAGGAATTTGGCCCAGTCTTGGTAAAGTTACAAGCACCGTACACAAAAAGATGTATATGAGACTACGCACACGTGCGCGACACGTGCGTTTTATCCATCACATAACAATAGATAAACTAATTTACCAAATATATCAATTAGTAGGCGGTTTCCCGGCAAAATTTGTATCATGTATTAGTCAAAACATATTCTTTCACATGATTGGTAATAAGAGCTTTCATTTCATTTTTTTGAATTGGGGCGTTTCCAATACTGGTCTTTACCTTTTGCACGTATATCCTTTATTCCTACAGTCCATGGAGAACGGCCTCAACTATGCAGCCGTGGGGTTCGCCATGAGCGTCGTCAAGCGATTCCTCATTGATGAGAAGCAGAGCAATGTCTTGAATGAAGCTGATCTCTACAACACACTCCATGTGCTGGCTAGGATCGCCACACAGAGCCCGAATCCACCAGAGGGGTAGGAAAGTAGAAGGAGAGGAGCAAGAGAAAGGGAAAGAGTAGGAAAGAGAGAGAGAAAGAGAAAGAGAAAATGAAAAGGAGAGATAAAGGTATGTGCTGGCTAGGATTGCCACACAGAGCCCGAATCTACTCGAGGGGTAGGAAAGTAGTAGAGGAGCAAGAGAATGAGTTAGAGAAAAAAAGTAGGAAAAAGAGATATAAAGAGACAATGGGGATATTTAGAAAGAGGAGTAGATTTAAAGGAAACGAGAGAGAGGAGAGGAGGGAGAGAGAGAGAGAGAGAAAAGGAAAAGGAGACATAAAGAGATGGGGTAAGGTATGTGTTAGAACACAATGTCTTATACCAAATTATAACACAGCTATTAAAGCTACCAGCAGAATAGACACAGGTTTAATTGTATTGTAATTGTAATTGTTCCTGTCAGTATTCTTGAGGTAAGAGTGTAAGTCGAAATGTAGGAACAGCCTATATGGAATCAAGGTTTGAGGGTATATCTTGGACAGACAGGATTAGTTAAAAAAAAAAAAAAAAAAAAAAAAAATAGAAGTAGAGGCAGTAGAATCAGAGAGGGATAGAGACTTCTTGTTAGGTATTTAATCATTTATCTCTATCGTATTTGCTCTTTGATATTTCATTTATGAGAGGAAATGAGGGAAAGGATTAATGGTACATTCCCATTAACTCAAACATCTTTATATCTGTGTGTGTCTTCAACCCAGTTTGCCCCAGTTGATTGAGCTTGTCAGGCAGAATCATGACCCGGCCTTTCTAGACAAGGCACCCGGTGGTCCCACCTCTATGATGCACTCGGGCATCTCCCAGGCTCGTGAGTTTGATGACCCGCCAGGCCTGAGGGAGAAGACAGAGTACCTCCTGAGGGAGTGGGTCAACATGTACTACTCGCCGGCTGGAGGCAAGGACAGCACCAAGGCCTTCTCAGCATTTGTCAATCAGGTGAGTTGATGTATTGGGTACACTGTCCGTGGATGGCAAATTCATTGTAGTTTTTTTTACACTTGGATAAGCTTTGATTCATAAGCACCCGCACTTATGTACTGAAGCTATTTCCTCACAAGAAGGCTTCAGACAGATACACAAAATGGAGGGGGAAAAAATTGTTTTTGATGCACAGTAAATATGATTAGGAATTTCTATGAGATCACACATATGAAATATCAACACTCAAGACACCTCACTGTTGCAGCTGCTGCATGTAAAAGTTTACTATCAGTCTTGAATGGTTCAGGCAGTAAAAGCGAGTGCAGTTTAGATGTCAAAGTTCATTAAGTCTGAGGGTAGAAAGTTGTATTTAGTATGATTGAGTTTAACCAGTAACATCACTTGATCTCTTTCCTAGACTTTCCTCATTCAGTTTTGCAATTATGCCTTCATGAAACATAATTTGATTGTGTTTATGTGTAGAGCTGTCAATGACTTTTAAGATTGATATATGACCTTCTTTTACTCTTATGCCATACAGATGCACCAACAAGGCATCCTGAAGACGGACGACCTCATCACTAGATTCTTCCGCCTCTCTATTGAGCTTTGCGTGGACGTGTGCTACCGAGCCTTGGCAGAGCAGGTACACAGCCAGGCACTGACGCGAGCAAAGTGTTTCCAGACCCTGGATGCCTTCGTAAGGCTCATTGCCCTGCTGGTCAAGCACTCCGGAGATGCTACCAACCCAGTCACCAAGATCAACCTACTCAACAAGGTGAGTGTGATAGAGGTCAGAGGTCGTAGTGGTTAAAGCCCCACCTCCCTAGTTTGGCCAGGAGGGATTAGACCTCCCTGCATGGTCACTGACAGGTGGTTATCTCATCAAATCAGCTCTCAATTAACATAAGAAAAAGGGGACCATGGGGGACCAATGGTCACCGATTAGGCATTGTTTGCTGTATAGAGGATGCAAGTAGCTATAAGTAGTGCAGTGGGGCTTTAAATAAAACTGTCAGGGGCTGATGGTATAGTTGATTTATGCTATTTATGCTCCTGTCTTCAATAAATACAAAAACAACCTTTTTCCAAGAAATGAAAAAAACTGAGCTATATGTTTGCTTGAAAATCATACAATATTCCACTTTTTGAAGTTGATGTACCTTCTACAAGTTCCTAAGGACTATCGATTACACCTGCATGCGGTAGCTCTGGGAGAAACCATGTATAGTGATCAATCATTCGTTGATGAGAAATTTCAAGGGATCTCATTGCTCTTTAATTCCCCTCCTGGTGTGACAAGTTCAATTTCTATCAAATCCTTCAAGGAATCAGTAAGCTTAGCTTCGGTTGATACATGACATTCTTAGGAAGTCATGATCATATTACAGAGCACTTGTAACATTTTTTATTCCCAAGGGGTCTATAGAATACAAGCCATGCTTTTTTAATAGACTCCTCCACTATGTTTCACCACTTGCCAACCTTAAATGATTTATTATTGATCTACATTTGCGACACTCAACCCATGTGATGTAAATGGGTACCTGGCAGGAATTAATTCTTTGATATGCTAGAGCTCCGCAATAGCAGCACAGCTAAAGCTGAGTAAAAAATCTCCCAAGTTTGGAAGCGCATAGTGATTCTAATAAGCGCTATAAAAAAATGAGTATTATTATTATTATTTATTTGAATAATTGTATAATCATTTGTCGTATCTTTGGTTGATATTATGTTATTGAATTAGTATATATTGCATATTCATTTGATTGTGGAAAAATAAAGAAACCTTGAAACCTTGTTGATGTCTTGCTTAGGTATTGGGGATTGTAGCAGGAGTACTGCTTCAGGATCATGAGGTACGCCAGACAGAGTTTCATCAGCTAGCCTACCATCGTATCTTCAGTATGCTTCTCCTGGAACTCAATGCTCCAGAGCAGATCCTAGAGGCAATCAACTTTCAAGTCATGTCAGCTTTTTGGTAAGTCTCTCAGCTATGCATTCTGGGGGGTGTTTCACAAAGATCCTAGATTGAACTTATCTCTAAGTTGGACTTTTATGGAGAGCCATTTGTAACCTTAGGATAAAATATATTCAAAAGCAAAAACTTCATAAATTTCACATCAAGAATATGAAATCTCCTTGATAATAGAAAATATGAATGATTTGAATCAACATTTTATGCCTTTTAAAATAAATTTTACAAAATATTTTCATAGATGCTAACGGCTTTCCATAATTTTTAGTCCATTTTAGAGATAAGTTCAACTTAGGATCTTTGTGAAACACCCCCCAGGACAAATAAATGAAGATTTACTATTTTAATCTTTAAAATATTGTTTGTGGGGGTTGACAGACAAACGCTGTGAAAGAAACTCCCCCTTGTTTTCATGGGCTTCTACATAAAATCTTCTATAATGCACAGTAGCCGTATATGTTCATTTATGGTCCTAAAGACTGCTGTGTCCAAGTCAGATTTATTTCCCACAATCAGTTTTGTTGATCAATTGTGCATTTAGCATGTGGTACCGCTACATTTGTGTCCTTATGCATAGTAAAGACAAGTCTTCCTTGAATAACAATAGGGCTGACTGAGAATTTTCACTTTAGAATGAACCCTTTTTTATAAACCACCATCCTGGATGCATTAGGTTATTTTGCATGACATTCATCTAAAAGACATGAGAGACATTTGGGGGATGGTAAAAATGATAGCATGCCATTCTTGTAGAGCGCATATTACTTAATATATCGTCCCTACGCGCTACCAAAGGACCTTGGATATTATAACCCCGGGTTTAGCTCCAGCAACCGTTAGCACTCAGTGCACACAAGGAATGAATCCTACTGGGCACCCACTTACTACAACTGGGTCGAGTGATGCAAATGTAGATTAATGTCTTGCCAAATGACATAAGTGCAGCGGCGGGATTTGAACCCGGTACCTTGTGGTTCACAGTCTAGAGCTCTATCCACTAGACCATAACACCCCTATGTAATACTTCCATTCTCCATTTCTCTCAGCAATGCTCTTCATGTACTGAGACCGTCCAAGGCTCCAGGCTTTGTGTATGCCTGGCTGGAACTGATCTCACATCGTATCTTCATTGCTAGGATGCTTGGCATGCTTCCACAGCAGAAGGTAAGACTGGAGGTAAGATTTGTAGCAGAGATGCCAACAAGTACGATTTAATCATATTTTTGTATGATTTTAGAAGTAAATACGATTTTTCTCAATAAAATCTGATTTTCCAAAAACAAAAACAATTTTTTTTTTTTTTTAATTTTATGTATGTGTGTGCCATTTTCAATTGCAAAATGCCCATTCTGTCCTGTTAAGTATCCTACAAGCATCTCACAATGGCAATTTGTGGATGTTCATTGGTTAATCCAATACACTAGTCATGACGAAATCATGCTTATTCCACCAATGATCCATAAATAAAAGTGTCTCGAGACCTTATTACCAAACAATCGAGAAGACCTTCAGCATCCATGTGACTCTTTGAAAATGTACTCTTGTTTTGTATTCAATCATTTTCCTTGTTTTTGCTAAGTAAATAATAATAATAATAATAACTAGAAGGTTGAACCAAGACTTTGCTATAAATGATGCCATTCATTGAATTTTTTATTGATTCCTTTTCTAGGGATGGCCAATGTATGCAGGCCTACTGACAGGTCTCTTCAAGTTCATGACACCATTCATGCGCAACGCAGAACTTCCAAAGCACCTCGCTCTGCTGTACAAGGTAAGAAGGGGGCAAGAACTCCTGCAGGATTTAAATTGAGTATGAAAATTTGGATACTATCTATTTGCTCTAGAGGTGAAAGTCAAAGTACTCAGGAGTCGAGTAGTTGGTGAAAGCATTCAACAGATTTATATGCAAGGCCTTTCTGTGTTCTTTTCTATAAATAGCTGAAAACTACTCTTCTTAGGAGATGGAATGAACCTTAGATTCCTCTATTTTCTGGTGTAAAAGCATACTCACCCACTCACTATTCCTACTTTTGCTTTGAGGTATTCACTCATTTCATATGGAATTTTGGCAGGCATATAACTTTTGTTGTTCAATCGCTCCATCAGTATGATACTATGATTCTCATACTGTTTTGCTAAATCCTAATTTATATACAGGGAGATTTTGAAACGGAGAATGAAGGTACTTCATGTATATTGTACATGTAATTAACTTGGAAACATGCACTATGTCTCACTCAAGCGATCTTGTTTTGGAGGTGTCAAAGTAGACTTACAAATGTTTTCTCTTTCCTCCCCCCCCCCCCCCCCCTCTTTTTTTTTAAATCTTGAAAATACAGGGTACTCTGAGAGTGCTGCTGGTGCTTCTTCATGACTTCCCAGAGTTCCTGTGTGACTACCACTATGGCTTCTGCGATGTGATCCCACCAAACTGCATCCAGATGCGCAACCTGATCCTGTCTGCCTTCCCTCGGAACATGAGGCTACCTGACCCGTTCACGCCGAACCTCAAGGTATAGCAGTTATCCGTAAATAGTTTCATTAATATCTTCTCTGGCGACAGTATATAGAGGAAGTGACGTGTTTGTTTAGTTTGCTGTGAGCCAGGAGGCTGTTATCTTGTAGAATGAACAGTGTTAATGTCTACCTGGCTCCAAACATTTGCTGCTGTAACTCCTACAGAGCCCCCATCCCCCCCCCCCCCAACTTCCCCCACCCTCAAAAAATAAAGTTCTGACAATTGATGGGTCGGGGGGGGGGGTCTAATGTATACAATCTTATTTGTAGATCTATATGCAGCCAGTGAAATAGCTTTTATTGCATTTCCTCCATCCTACTCGAATCCTCCTGTCATGAATCTGCCAATGGTTCATTGTATAAATGTTCAGAAACCAAAGGAAGATTCTTTTATTTACGACCCCCAAAAGATCCAAACAAGAGCAGCAAGTCGTGTATTAATAACCTGCATCTGATGAGTGAAGGAAATTTTTAAACATTTTATTATTTGGATCTTCTGCAGGTTGACATGTTAGCAGACATTGCCCACCATCCTCGCATCCTGACCAACTACGTCACTGTCATCCAGCCTGCATCGTTTAAGAAGGTCAGTTTTTTTCCACAGTTTGGTTGTCATTTGCCTTTCAATGGAATTACATATATCCGATTTCCTGCATATTTCAAACAGCAGCATTGAATAATGGATCTGAAAACTTAAGCTCCCAAAGTTGCCAGCAGCATAAGACTTCACTCAATACACAGAAATGAAACACCTCGACGGCCGCTTTTATTTGTAACTGCCAGTATTTAGCACCAGAATTAGGAATTATGATTATTGGGAGAGATGTTTGGAATTTGCTACTCTTAAAATGGGGTTATGGGAAGAGACTTTGCTTCTCTTTGAGAGGGTCATGTCCTTTATGTGCTCTTATGGGACATTGAATTTTTGAAAAATTCCTTTACCGATGTCATTACAATGGACAAAACATCAGTTACATTGCAAGCTCTTAGTCGATTGGTTTAAGCACTTGACTTGAAATTCAAAGGTCGTGGTTCGATCCCCGACACGGCACTAATGTCCTTTGGCAAGGCATTAACCTTCATTTGCCACACTCAACCCGGGTGAGGTAAATGGGTACCTGGCAGGAATTAATTCCTTGAAATGCTGGAGCGCTGTAATGGCAGCTAGGCTAAAAAGCTGGGGTAATAATAAATGCGCCTCGGAATAAAAAGGCGCTATAGAAAGGCTTATTATTATTATTATTATTATTATTACATTGCCGGCTCTTGATATTTAACATGAGGTTTGAATTCCTTCCTTCTTGTCCCACCTGTCCAGGATCTCGACTCGTACATCAAGACCCGTAGCCCGGTCACGTTCCTCTCTGAGCTGCGCAGTCACATGCAGGTGTCCCAGGAGCCTGGCCAACGCTACAACGTCTCCCTGATGAATGCCCTGGTGCTCTACGTGGGCATGCAGGCCATCAACTACATCCAGAGCAAGGGTAGCACACCCTCTATGAGTACCATCACGCACTCTTCCCATATGGACATCTATCAGAACCTGGTCGTGGATCTGGATACAGAAGGTCAGTTTCAGTTTCATTTTTATTTTTCATTTCCAACAGAACAGTAATTTTTAAAAAAGAAATCAGATACACAATTCAACATTCAATAATATAATACATTTTACATGGTTTAAGTTATGAAATAGAAAGTATACATAATTTTTTTTTTTTTTTAAAGTTTTTTAAAGATAAATCTTCGGAAATGAAGGGATCCACTGAAAAGCAGTGCTTGTAAAATGTGGATCCCTCAAAATATGTAATTTGTGTAACATGTAAATATATTGACTTGAAGAAGAAAAAAATATATACATAGATTACCAAAATGTGGCAGAAAAATAATACAAATATAAATCCGTAATTGAAAAAGTTGTTACGACACATATACAACATGGTCATTGGGGTGCAGGGTGTTTATCAGAGGGCGTATTGGGGGTAGTCTCCCCAATCCCCAGTTAGTGATTACATGTGTATCTGTGTATGTCATGCCTATAATGGAGGAAGTCCATGGCGTTTTGCAGTATTTTACCAACTATTATAGAATTGTATCATGGAATTATGAATATAAATTAACATAAATACATGTGTAAACCATTTTTATTTCATGTTTTGTTTTGTCTCAAGCTCTTGTAAGGGCTATCATCTTGATGCAGTCATCAGATATACTGTAATCTTAGATGTGGTCAGTACCGTATTGGACAAAACAGCTTGAACTCGCCCTCAAGCATTTGCCCCCTTGATGAGTCTTGCCTCTTGTGGAAATTATTTTGTTATAAAGAATTCTCTCTTTAATGTCACTAATTTCATATTCGATAGATCATTGCTCATCTTTCAATGCCATCGCCAAGTGCCATTCTTGAAAAGCTTGAAGATGTCCGCTCATAGAGGTTGCTAAACTAGATATAAGTGGAAGTTCATTGTCTGTTTCACCTCTGTTCTGGGCAAGTCTGTATGTTTCTGAGTTTAAAAGCTAGCTTCTGAATCTCATCTGTTCAAGTTCCAATAATGGATTGTCTGTTTCTCCCATCTTTTGTCTTTGACAGGTCGCTACTTGTTCTTGAATGCCATTGCCAATCAGCTGCGGTACCCTAACAGCCACACCCACTACTTCAGCTGTACACTCCTCTACCTCTTTGCAGAGGCTAACACAGAGGCTATACAGGAGCAGATCACTCGGTGAGTACAAACTTCAGATTCTGAATATCTAAAAACTTATAACTTAAAGCCCGTCTGTACTAGTTTGGAAAGGGGGGATTAGACGTCTCTGCATGTTCACCGACAGGTGGTTATCTCATCAAATCAGCTCTCAATTAACTTAAGAAAAAGGGGATCATGGGGGGCCAACAGGCACCGACTAGGCATTGTTTGCTATATAGAGGGCGCAAGTAGCTATAAGTAGTGCAGTGGGGCTTTAAACTGTATTTTGAAATTTTGTGCAATCTTGTCAATTCTGATAGAAAATTAGTCCATGAATGTTAAGAGAATGGCTACCAGGAAGAAATCATAATACAATATCCTATGTTGATTCTTCAGGGTTTTTGGTTAGTTTAATCAAGCTGGTGAATTTAATGAAGAAAATGCCATTCTGATGATGAAGATATATTGCAAATATTGCAAACCCTTGGGCATCGTTTCATGAAATCATCGTAAGTACAAGCTTGCCGACATCCCAATAAAACCTGTGTAACAAAGTTAACACGTGTTTCAAGGAGGTGTCGGTTAAATTGTCCTTATAAAGGTTTTGTGAAACGATGCCCTGATGGAAAATTTTTATCAAGTTTAGAAGATGTAGACGATAAAAATAAGACCTGTGAAAAGTTTATGGTTTTGACTTTGGGATGGCTGGAGTGAACGAGAGCAAGTCAATCAAGTAATTTTGTCTCTTTACATGTGAGAATTACATTCTCAAACAAGGAGATATTAATCCTTTGGCAAAGTTGTGATCCTAATCAGTGCCCTGCCTCTCTTCCTTCCTTCCCCTGCCTCTCTCTCTCTCTCTCTCTCTCTCTCTCTCACAGAGTGCTACTGGAGCGTCTGATCGTGAACAGACCCCACCCATGGGGACTTCTCATCACATTCATTGAGCTCATCCGCAATCACCACTTCAAGTTCTGGAGTCATGAGTTTGTGCACTGCGCTCCTGAAATCAAGAAGTAAGTTCAAGGAATGTAGTTCTTAGGACTGTTAAAAATCATGTCATTTTGGGGGTATATTTATTACTATTTGCTTGATAATATTTGTCTTTATCACTGTTTTTCAATTAAACACAAATTTTGTACATTCTGTTTTGTAGCAATGTGACAGCGTTGGTCCATTAGCTGTTATAGCGCCTAATAAGAATCAATTATTGTTATTATTATTATTAAGTAGTGACATAACAGACTTATTGATTTATCTACTCAAAGGAGATGGAGTTTACATTTGGCATGGTAATGTGGGATTTTGTTGAAACCCTTTTTGACCCATTGGCTACAGGAAACAGGTGGCTCCTGTAGTAAAGGCTATGGGAATCAGAGAATTCAGTAGTCAATGGGTTCAAAATGCATTCAAAGCACAAATAGTAACTAAATTGCCCAGTGTTGCAAGAAGATTCAGGCCTTTGTTCAAGAATCTGTAGGCATTTCTTTTTAGAAATGAAAACAAATTCTTTATATTTTGAAACCGGACAGCTGTTTTATTGGGGGACATTAAGCCTGTGAAATTGCAATTTGACTCTTTCTTTTGTTAAAGTATAAAGTTTTAGAAATTGTTATTGCATAACATCAGTTATAATGTTCATCCTGTTTTAATACCCTCTGTGCACAATAGCAATTTGACATGTTTTGTTCTATGGCATTTAAAGAGAATAATTGATAGTACAAAGGAACATAAAGCATGTATTTCCATTAATGTTCATCGATCCTTTACTTTTCTTCACAGGCTGTTTGAGTCTGTGGCTCGTAGCTGTATGCAGCAGAAAGGCACCGCCCAGCCAGGCATGGGGAGGGATAATGCAGAAGCACATGAAACTTAACCAGACCCTACCAAAAACACAAAGGAATATTGGACGATACCGTAGTAACTTCATCCTATCCTTAGCACGATGAGCAAGATGTTTCTCCCAAATCTTCCAGTGAAGTCCAACAAAGACAGAACCAAACCTCAAATACCTGTATTGATGAGAATCGTATCAAAATGTGTCAAAGGATACAAGGCCATTGAGAAACGGATATCTGTTGGTTTTTGTAACTATAGCTGAAGGACAAGTCTTTTTATTATGTTTAGATCCTGTTTTCAGAAGGATTTTGTATTATCTGGACATAACTATTAAAACAGTACAGGGTTTATCCCACCCGCGTGTGTATTACTTTTGAAACTCCAACGATTCTGTTTTACTTTCTTTGTTTACTTAGACCATGAAGCTGAAAAATCTTGTTATCAAAATTCATTTACATACAAGAAACCCTTCTGACTGAAGACAAGTATGATATGAACATGGCAAGATTTCATTTAAAACATGGACTTACACCAGTAATGTGACTGTTTACTTTACGTTGATGCTGCACAAGTTGTACCTATTTTCATGTACACAATCTTGTTTTTTGTCAAAAAATTATGTGATCATGCAAACCAAATATTCAGATTTTGTTATAATTTCTTCAAGTTTAATTGAAAAAGAGTGATAAAAAGCACTGTAATATCTCAATGAAAACTGTTTCAATGCGGTCCCCAATTTTAGTCATGTAAGACGAAAAGGGCTTAATGATGACTCTAAAAATATCTGGTTCTATTTTAAACAGTTCAAAAATGAACAAAGCACTATTCATTACAGCAATAGCTTAGTTGCAACACTGTACTCGCAGACTGAAAATAATTGTTAGTCCTCTCCCAACCCCATTTTCTTCGCTGTCAAACAAAGTGTGTCTTGTTGTGCCTTAGTTGTTACCAAATCCGAATCATATCATTCAAGTTGACTAAATTTAATTTAATACTCTAGGTGAGACTAGAGTGATAATATTACTAATAGCTTAATGATTTTTCCTTGGTACAACTATTCCTCTCAGTATTTTAATTGTTACTAAATTGTATTCATTGGCATTGTGTATGTTCATAACCAAGAAATAGTTGTAATGGGATCATAGTGCAGTGAGTGCTCAAGTTGATGGACTTTGCTGTGTGGAAGAGACATACACTATTTTTTGTTTGTTTTGGAATAGGTGTATAACTTTGGTGTATAAGGTGTATAATTGCCAATTTGAAGAAGGTTGGTTGCCAATTTGACGAAGATCAGTTACCATTCTTTTGCCCTTGGCCCTTATCTTCAGTATTTACATGGTGATTGTTTTTTTTAACACACATACATGTATGGTCTACTATTGTGATAGTTCAATCATTTTGTTGCGATTGAAATCAAAGCAATCATGGAATGCTTTCAGGTTGTACCTGTTTCACGTTACCACATCATAGCATTATTTATTGACTTGTTGCAGCCACATGTGTTGTGTCAACAGAGTTGTTGGCTTCAGCTGTGCTGGTCAACAATCAATATTGCTGGCAACAACACAAAACCCATTGAATGTAACACAATGGTCTACCAATTACCTGACAAAATAATTTGTGAATAGTATGTTACATATGGTAGAGGGATTGCTAGTATATATAAAATCAACCTCATTTGATAGGTAAACGGTTAAGAAGTAAGAAGAAAATAAAGGATCGCATTAAACCCTTGCATAGGGCTCACACAGGACCCTGGTCCAACTTTGGGGGGTTTTTTTCTCCAATAAATAGTTCATCGAAAGCAGAACAAATTATGATATAGCAAGCTTTGTCAAGCTTATTGAATGAACAAGTATAATATATGGCTAGCTTTGATTTATTTTGTAATTTTATTGTCATAAAAGTGGAGAATTGGTGTATGCATTAAGCCCACAAATTGAAAAGTACAAATTTGATATCTTTATTTTTTGTTCCATTTCAGCAATAGAAACTACATTGATCTATTTGGAGATTTTGGGATGAAGAATTCAAACGCTTGTACACCTTGCGCCAAAAAATAAACCACAAGCAAAAACTTGATTGAGTAAAAGTGAGAAAAAAGGATTTGGAGAAGGAAACCTATGCTTTATATATTCACACTTGTGCATTACTAAGATTGTATATAATAATATGTATGTAGCCGACATTCAGGAAAGCGAAAAATGGATCAGTTTGTTGAAAGATTACGGCAACTCATCCTGCCGAGTTGGTCTCGGTCACAGTGGTAGTGTATTGCGATGTACTTTCATCATAGATTTAGTCATTTCTAGTTGTAGTTTAATGGACTGCGTCATTTGAAACCAATTTGGCTGGATGAGAGGCCAAAGATTTGAACCATTGTATGTTGTAATTATTTGTAGTTAAAAGTGATGGGTATTGATGTGAATAAGCTGAAATGCAAGGAGGGGTGGTGATAAGTGTAATTAGGAAATGCTTGTACTGATGTCTTATATGTGTTTTCTGCAAATATTTGAATAAAAATAAAGGCATGTATATGAAACATGTAAAAGAAAGCTTTGTGTTGTCTTTTGCTTTATTTTCCTTCAAAATCTGTAAACTTGTGTACTTAATAATGGTCACCCCATGGTCCATTTCTTACATTAGTGACATTTCTAACACCACACACCCTGCGCCTATAAACACTAAATAGGGCTTAACCCTATCCCTAACCTTAATGTAAAACCCTGTCAAAATGCTAAACATAATCTCAATCCTAAGATTCGTAAGATAATTCTTGTGCTGAATCTTTCAGAACGATCACACACTTTCATACAATTTTGCCATCGAAAGCTGTTTAGTTTGGCCCATGCATGCTGTTAGAAATGAAAAAAAAATTAAGTTGTGTTATATTCTAATCTTCTCACAGGGACCTGTTTCACAAAGCCTTTTTTCAATGACAAATGACAAAATCAGTGACAAATCTGCTGATAACCAATCAGAAGCAAGGATTTCAGTAGCCTATAACTGAGACTGTCATTTGTCACTATGACAAATTTTGTGAAATGGGGCCGGGTCTGTCCTAGCTTTGTAGGCAGCTTAAAAAGGGAAGTAAGATGAAGTATGTTTTCTCAATCTGTTAATCATTTAGCAAACTTTTTGGGAGTCGAGCTTGTTTCCTTTCTATCGATCTTGTCTATATTAGGATCGTGAGAACATATAACGGTTCTGTCACATAGCCAAAATCTTTAATTGTATTATATTCTACTCCAACCTTTATTTATGAAAAAGAAAAATGAAAGTCCTAGACAATTTCAAGCAAAATGAAATTGTTTATGAGGTACTTTGTGCAAACGAGCCCTTTGCGATATTGCACCTTTTTTGTGTGCTTTTGTTCAAGTAGCGAATGCATGGAAATCATAATTGGTATTAAAATAATTGCAGCAAATTCCTGCGAATTTCAATTTGATATTACTGGGATTTGAACTGATTTTCATGTATCTTTCCATTTTGAAAATTACAAAATACAAACAAATGATTTTCCCAGATTTAGCCAAAGTTATTTATCAGTTGTAAGAGTTGCAATGAACATGCAGAAATGAGAGATAGTGAGAACACGTGGAGAATGATAGAAATTAAAGTATGAAAATTTATCAGTTTGATTGAGAATCTGAGAGTGAGAAGCATTAAAATGGTGTGAGGTACATGAGAAAAGCTCTGCAAGACTTCCATCCAAAACAACTATCATTACGTAATAAATTTCGGAAGCGCGGAATTTTGAGGAGCATGACGACAGACAACTGACTCAAAATGAGGGTAAGTTTCATGCTTTAGTTCGACAATACGGTGATCCATTGAGTTCACCCAAGGAGGATTCAAAATGATGGTAACTGCAAAGTGGTAGATTTAATTTTTAGTGTTAGATCGACTAAATAAACTGCTAAAACGCCATAGCTACTTGATGGTCCGTGTGGTTGTTGGACCATCGCCATCCGTTCATTAGTGTCCCCAGAGTTTCGGCGCACAGTCACAGGAGATTCTGGCTCGTGAGTCCTGACTGCTAGCTGCTCTAGCTTAGCTTAGTTTAATAGTTTACATGTAACACTAACACTCGGGCAGGCCTCGGCCTTTCCGCGATTGACATTTTATTTAGCATGTCGTGAAGATGAAATTAATCGTGGTGAAGCAAAGGGTTAGTGATATAGGGCCTAAATATCATGTAATTAATACAGACGACTTAATTAATTGGAGGAGGAGGAGGATCGAGGAGTAATTGTACTAGAGTCTACTGTCTTTATCCTTTTTAACTTTGGTAAATTAATTTGTGATTTGTGACTCTCCTTTGAGGAAATTTGGGAAATTTGATTTAAAGGTGTGGGCATCTAAGACTGAAAGCCTAATCTCTGACAGTGATTGTTTGATTAAATAATTCCTCCTACAAGACGTTTTACCAGTAATATTTCTGTCTAGACTCTTGAGTCTATTTTGTGTTATTTTGCATAATTTTTTTATTTGGATCAAGTGGGGGACCAAGATCTAGAATAGGTCTAGGTCTAGAGGTCTACAGATATTCAACATTTTTTGTATTTTCTTTTAGAATTTGTTAGCCCGTCACATGAGGTAATGGTCAAGGCAATTCAATTGGAATTTTAACAACATAACTGAGAAAGGATTTTTTTTCTGGAGCTTGGGTGATCTATCAATGGATGATATCGGTATGATTTTATTCGGTTCAATTGTAGATCTATGCATATTCATCTTGCCCAATCCTGGATAAGTGCATTGAGAATAGAATGAAAATGGCAGAAAATGCTATTTGGATTAGTTTATATTCTTGCTTTGTTTCTTTGTTCCCTCAGTGTGCATGCACCAATGAATTTTGTCTACTTTGAAGACTTAACACTTTGAACAATTTGATATTAGTTCAACTGGACCATGATCATGTACCTACAGAGTTCAGCTGATTAATATTTTGGAGCAAGCGCTGTGAGCACCTAGCTTGGCACACACCAGTGCTTTAGAAGACATTATTATTCTTATTATGTTATTACACCAACTGCTAATTTTGCTATTTAGGCACAGGTTTACCATAAATTAAAAATCAAATTGGTACTTGTTGTCTTCTAGGAAGTATGAATCCAAAGAAGAAACCCAGAACATCCCTGTACTCGGACCAACTGAACAAACACTGGTCCAACTGTAGTGCTGGCTTTGAGGGCCTGCCAAGTAGGAACAGAAGTAGTACCAAGGAATCTCAAAAGAGTAAGTTTTTCAGTGCTGGCCTGTTGGGGGAAGTACAGGTAGCAAGTGAGCCATCATATTATAGAATTTTTTCAGGGTCCTCTTTCACAGACCTTGTTATCAATAACATATGGCATATGAAACAATTGAGCTAATGGAAGCAGTACATTTGATTGTTTATGAGCAAGTTGCTGTTGCATTGTTATAGCAATCATTATGAACCCAGTCTACAGGAACTGTGTGGGTTATGAGCAAATTTGTTATTGCATTGTTATAGCAGTCATTATGAGCCCAGTCCACAGGAACTGTGTGGGTTATGAGCAAATTTGTTATTGCATTGTTATAGCAGTCATGAACACAGCCTACAGGAACTGTGTTGGTTCTATACATAGCCTATGGAAATGAATCAATCAAGTATTATACAACTTAATAACAAGTTCTATGAAACAAGACCCTGGTCAGAGCTCTTAAAGCCTATCTGCACTAGTTAGGCCATGATGGATTATACCTCCCTGCATGGTCACTGACGGGGTTATATCTCATAAAATCAGCTCTCAATTAAGATTTTTTTAAAAGGGGACCATGGGGACCAACAGTCACCGCTTAGGTATTATTTGCTATATAGAGGGCGCAACCGCGCAAGTAGCTATAAGTAGTGCAGTGGGGCTTTATTGGGGCTTTAAACTTGGGACATGTCTCTGGTGCTGATCAATTAAAAAAGTGGATGGTCCCATCAGTTAAGAAATGAGATAACACAAAGAAAGAATGTCATGCAAACAGCCGGACAGTGTATCATACATGTATACATTATTCATATTTGTTAATACATTTTAAAAGATAAGTCACAATTTGAGAAGTTTGACTTGACTCTACTCTCCACATTCTAATATTTATTTTGCATGCTCTCTTCGTCCTTTATCATACCATTTCATGCATTTCACTTTCTTCAGAAAAATTCAAATATGGAGGATGGGAAGATCAATGGGAAGAGGCGGAGGAGGAGAAAGAAGAGGTTGACATCATTTGGTCATCATCCAGTGAAGATGAGGGTAGAGGGGTCAAAGACATCAGAACCTTGGACACCTCATCCAACAAAAGTGGAGTGGTACTCCTACAAAATGCTCCATCGGGAAGAAAAAGAGAGCCACGCCAGGAGAAGAAGAGGTCCTCACTTCCTGGGCCTGGGAAGGCATCCGTGGCATTTAGGAGGATTAAATCACCAGGAAAAGAAGATACAAGCTTGGAGGATTTCATAGTAAGTGACTCTGGAAGTGATGGGGATGACGTTGAACGTCTTGGAAAGTTAAGGGTCCAATCACAGAAAGATGAGCCTTCTGAAAGAACTGACATTGGGACTGCGGGGGTGAAGAGTGCAGGTGTTCAGGAAGGACCGCAGAGAAAGGGAAGAAAGACAACTCCATCTGCAGGAGCCAGAAGTGATAAAACTGTAATGTCCAGTCACTTCGTTGATAGAGGAAAGAGGAGATATGCTCAGAGTAAACAGGTTTGTAAATTCATATTCATTCAAAGTTTCAAAATTATTTCATTAGGTTTTATTAAGAACAAAGCTTGATATTGGCTCTGCAGCTTACAAAATACAAAATACAGAAATTACTAACACCATCAACTGGGATGTCAGTTTTCTGGATAAGGCCTTATCCCATGTCCTGACACCTCCCAATCGTAGGCTTACAATTTTAGAGTACATATGGGACTTCAACATGTCTGGGGCTCTTTTCATGCTCATCATAGAAAATCAACTGGTATCCCTGTATCGGATTACCTTGTCCAATTTGTAACAAACTTAAAAGACGTGTTACAACCAGTATTAAATTTTTTGTATAACATCATCACTCATTGCGGAGAATGATTTTGTTGTTGTTATAATCTTTAACTAGGATATGAGCCTTATAAGTTTTGTAAGCTGAAGAGAAAAAAACTTTTGTAGAAAATGTAAGGTTTGATTTCTCAAGTTTCATTCAAACTGATGTGTGTGTGTGTAATTGTGTTTTTACAGACGTGTATCAATCAGATATGATTATTTACTTCTGGGGACCGACTTTTAACGTCACCATCTGAAAGACATGACTCAGTTTCGAACTTGCGTCCTCAGCTGAATCAGTTTGTAACTTCCATCAAAATTTGAAAGTAATATGTCTACAATACCTGACAGTCACCTAGTCTTTTAAATTATTTTGGTCTTATACTAGGACTCATTTGAGCCAGAAATCCTGGACTATGACTCCCCGACAGAAGAAGAGAGTCCTGCAGTCAGTGAGCCCATCTCAGACCCATCATCTGCAAGCCAGTCCTCCTGGTTGAGAGGCCAACTAAACACCTCCACCACGTCCCCTCGACCCAACCCCTCCAACCCCCTCGGTAGCCCCAGGACCGGTAGTGAGTGGGTCAAGAAGCTGAAGCTGCAGGCGTCCATTACCCCCGAGAGGAGACCAGGAGGGGCAGGAGGAGGAGAAGCCAAAGGCGGAGGAGGGTCAACGTCTGGTGCGGGCATCGTGGATTCAGCAAGAAAGAAGAAGAAATTTGTCAGGTAATAATAACGATAATAATTATAGGCATTTCTAAAGGGCTGTCAGTCTAGTAATTCTATTCCAATGCGCATTAAATTATTACCCTGCCTTTAGCCTAGCTAGGTACATCTTTTCTTGCATCTTTGAATATTAGGATGTTCCTAAATCCTTCCATATAAAACATGAATATTTTTACCAAGTATTCAATCTTCATTTTAGTGCAACATAGTGATGTATACATGATGGTCACTGGCATTGCTCATCACATTATTACCCTTTTTCCCTGGACTTCATAGTTGTTTTTTAGGTGCAATTGGTAGATTTTTTTTTATTCCATACATAATACAAATCAAAATGAAACATGTATTTTAAATATATCATTGGCATAATACAAAGTGATGATAAATATAGTATGAGTAGAAACCAAGATTGTGGATAAAAAAGACCAAGAAAAAAGACAGAACAGAGCAATTGGTAGATGCTGATTTGGATGTTTTAGGGTTGATAATTATTTACCAAGTTGTTAATGAGGAGAAAAAAAGTTTTGCCATTTTCTTGAATGAATATTCTCTTTGGAAACTTTCATTACAAAAAGTATAATCACCCTGCATTGTTTTATAACACATTCATTCCCATTGCAATGAAATCAATTAAGACTTGAGTTTGTGACTTCCATTTCTCCCCTTCAGCTCTGGCCTAGCTGAGCGTCTGCAGAGGTTGGTGAGCAGAGAGAAATCTTCTATTGCCATGTGGCATCACAATCGGGCCGATTCACAACACTTTCAAGGTTAACATTTCTCTTCATGTCAGCTGTGCTAAAAAATTCTCTATTTCTTGTCATTAGTATACAAATAATACACGGCAGTGAGGGCATTAGTATCGCCTCGGGCATGTTAGACTGTTCCAAAGGTACCTTGTGTGGGTAATTCTACTAATGCCCGAACAAAATGATGTGTATTATTCGATTTATAAGATAATGTTGTTATTTGTTTTATAAAATGAATTTACTAATGACCAGTCATTAGTAAAATTATGTGTTAGACAAAATAAATGCCTGGTCACGTGTACGCTCTCAACCAATCATTTGATTAGGATCCGCTTCATCATCTTATAATTTAGTTTAGTGTGGAACTCTATATCTTGTTAGCATGCTTTATATTCTGCTCTTGTCATACTTCGTGGTCCTCATGGAGTATCCAGTTTTAAAGACATAGTTTAGTATCAAACCAGGAACAGATATACTGCTGTATCCCCCCCCCCCCAAAAAAAAAAAAGAAGTTCATTGAAAGCATGTGAGACCCTCATAGACTCGTATTTGAAATTAATTTGAAAATGCTTGTGGAACTTTTTTTTGTAATGAATATCTAGACATGAATCAAACATGATAAACCAATCGTAAATATAGCGCTAATGGACCTAGGATCAATTTTTCTTTTTTCCCGTCTTTATATTTACACAGAAAGTACCAAGTCAGGACTGGTAGTCCAAGTCCTCTCTTGTGAGACACACAGGGGACTGTACCTGACACATTGTCTGACCCAGGTCAGCAGTGGGTCAACGGTCGATGCCGGGTCAAATGTCAAGGGTGGAGGAGATGAGGCAGGTCTGAGTCAGGGTGATGAGATGTATGTGTTCTTTACACGAAGCACAGGAGACAAGCTGGGGCTTGCCAAGGGTATGGTCATCAGCATCAATACTCCATGGTGAGTTGTCTGAGAATTTATTGCTTTTCTTCAAAAAGTATTGTGGCGTAACCGGGCTCTGCCGGGGTAGCGTTCTGCCTTGCAGTCTCTCAAAACCCGGTTCACGCTCTCGACAATCAATTATATCTCTCAGTGGGCTCTCACAAAAGTATATCGTGTAAGAAATAATGTGGACTAGCTCTCATTTTACTCACTCCTGCAATCACTGAATGTCTGACAGGACTAAAGAAACAACACTTGCACAGTATCTGCAGTTCAAGTAACTTTACTCGTTCCTGGTAACGGACCTGTCGCAACGACAGCCCGATGCTGACTGACTGACACGACAGCTCAACGCCGACTCACAGATCACAACTATACAGAACCTGTCTCAGCGACAGCTCAACGCGGACTGACTGACATCTCACGATGTACACATATATATTTCACAATTAACTATAACGCCCTCTATGTCTCACTAAATTACTGGGCTAGTTATGCTACAGTATCTTCTACAATTTGTTTTGTATGTTCCTGTCAGGATGTTCTGATTACTATTCACACCATATGTGCATGACCACCTGATGCACATCACATGTATGTGTTAGTGTCCTTCTGCTGGGCACATGATATCATTTTAATCCAGATCGTTGGAGGTTATGTTTGTCTTAGAGCCATTAAGTAGTATACAAAAAGTACACAGCAGTGAGGGCATTAGTTAGAATTACCCACACATGGTAGCTTTGGAACACTCTAACACGCCCGATCAAGGCGATAGCCGAGGGTGTTTTGACTGTTTCAAAGGTACTGAGTGTGGGTAATTTTACTAATTCCGGAACAAAATGACGTGTATTATTTGTTTTATAAGATAATGTTTTATTTGTTTTATAAATGATGTTTTATACCATGATTTTTCTAATGGCCTTTCATAAGTAAAATTACATATTAGGCAAAATAAATGCCTGGTCACGTGAATGCTCTCAACCAATCACTTTTATTAGGATCCGCTTCAGCATCTTATAGCAGTTATTATCCTCATTGATATAGGTGTATACTTGAAACATAAACTGTGCCTCGAAACTATCAACCATTCTGTTTCTTTTCTCTCTATAGGCAGAAACTGTCTATACCCGACGTCAGCAAACCTGTAGTCCTATGTACCTACTTATGTCGAACTTTGAACCTTGACCCCTATGATGTGGTTCAGGGTCAACCAGTTCTTCCTGAGTGTTCAACCGAGGGCAGCAAGTCACCAAAGGTGAGTGTTATGTTCATTTCTCATGTTTGATATCATTCAGGGAATAATTTTGTTTATATGGCATTTTTTGTGCCAATATCAACTTTGTTATAGAGTTCTTAGCAGATATTTTGGAGTTTGTTCAGGGCCTACTACTGTAGATATCATTAGTATTTCTGGTGTTTACTTGAATTTTAGTAGATGCCACTAGTAAGAACAGTGCAGTTTTACCCCCCATTATTCATTCTGAAATGTGGCTGTATTTATAGGAAAGAAAGTCTTAAGTACTGTCATCTCTTTTCTTAACTCTAACTTTGCAGTATTTGGGCTGCTTGCGACAGTTGGAAAACATTTTGTCAATTTTGTAAGGTCAATATAATATGCCCTTGTCTGAAATTTTGTATTATTGTCATTTACATGTGCAATTTCTTTATTTGACCATTGAATTATTTTCAGGTTCTCAATCCTGTGAGGCTTTTCCCTGCTGCATATAGGAGTCATTCTCCTGGTGCAGAGGTTGTCACTGCCCAAGAGAATAAGATCAAGAACATCTCAGCATCCATCATGCATGGTGTTACTGAGACTGGTGCATGCTCATCCGCCGGTGTGAGCTTTAGAGCTAGAGTTAGGGCTGTGCACAACAGTGTAATGAGGTACCCGAGTACACTCCCAGGCTCACAGGCGAATACTCGAGTATTCGGACGCCATGTTTTTTTATAATTTTTTTGAATTTTTTTGAATTTTTTTGAATTTTTTTGATTTTTTTTTAATTTTTGGATTTTTGGATTTTTTCCATTTTTTTCTTTTTTTGCCACTACCATACCACTCGGCAGTTTCTCAGGTCCCTCGCGCAGCTCGCTGAAGACGCATGCAACTTTACTTTGAGTTGCAGTTGAAGGCACCGATTTAATAAGAATAATAACAGTAAACAATGCTGTTTTAAAAACCAAAGATGGCAGAATAATCCATTTTCCTCCAAGTCCAAACAGAAATCTGGACATTTGGTCCCAGTTTCTGAAAGGTGAGTTTGACAGTGCTTGAGTTTGGAAACATTTTTACCGACGGTACCATGCCAGCGGATGCTGCTCTCCCTGGCACGGGTAAGCGTGGGCCTGGACCTTTTTTTTTTTTTTTTTTTTTTTTTTTTTTAATTTTTTTTTTTTTGCGGCCGAATATTCGGGTACAAGAAATCGTACCCGAGTAGTTGTCAACCGTGCGGGTACTCGAGCATTCGACTACCCGTCGCAGCCTTAGCTAGAGTACAGAGGATTGTGACAAGGAGACAGCAAACTGTGGTGCCACACCAGTCTGCAAAGTGAGGAGTTAGAAGATGATAAAGTAGAGTGCAGATGTCCATTTTAAATTGTCTAAAAGGCACTTGAGTCCTAAGAAATGAACTTTAAATTTAGTTTGAGGGTGCATCAACATAAGTAGATGAACCGATTTTGCATAATAATAATAGTGTACGATGTTCATTGTAGGGGATCTTTTTCGATTAAAGAATATGCATCACATCTGTTTGGAGTATAAAAAAAAAGGTGTATCATGATTTTACTGAATGCCCATCTGGATCCAAACACATCATATCCTAGTGATATGAGGATGTATGTAGCTAGTATGCTCTTTTGTAATTATACCGGCTCTTGCAGAGCTGCTATCTACCAGAATGCACTCGTGCATTTGAGGAATTTCTTTATTTCGACTGTTTTTCATTAACTATTATCCTGTTTCCTGAATACCTAGATATGTATATTTGTATGTCGAGTTTAAGTGCTCATTCCAAAAGCGAAAGATCCACTACATGGATCATATTATGATTGCATTTTTCAGAATGACCTCAGGTCGAAGTTCACTGCTGACCCAAGCAAGCCCCTCCCTCATCAAGTCACTCCTACTTCAAGACAGAGAGGGTGTGGTCTGTGAGGTCCAGCTGACCAATCAAATGGCAGAAAGCAGCACCTGGCAACATGTCCTCCAATCAGGAGAGGGCAGATCATACATATTCATGAAACTGAAGGTGACCCAGAGGCTGACCTTAAGTAGAGCCCCAGGGTTGTTGTCGATGATCCGATCACTGCAACATCGTCCCAATCAAATGGTGAGTAGTTCTTCTAAGAACCAGTCTTCTGGACTATGTTGTAAAAGCTTACATTCGATGCAAGTTCGAAATCAAATTTGACCTGAATCCATATATTTTATTATTACTCAATCAAAAGGCTTCATGCAAGAGACCCTGTATTGCCTATACTGGTTTTCTGTCCTTGTTTAATAGCTACTTGCTTCTCATTTTTTATGTGGAAGCCTCCTTGTAAATATTCGGAGCAGAAACATGGAAGCCCTAGATCGAGTAGGAAATGAACAAAAGCAATACATCTGAGATTTTAAATTATTGCAAAATGTTGCAGAAAGTAGACAGTGAAATGATGGATTGATACACACAGTAGATACGATGAAACCTGTAGAGATAGACAACCCAAATGAGACACAAAGAATACAGTGGTCCGCTGGTCGCTGTAGGCAGCTGGTCTTTATATACAGGTTTCTATTCGCAAATGTTTTATTTTCGGTAGAAACAAAAAATATGTAGTCTTTATAAGCAGGTGGTCAATGAATCATTTTGTTACTGTATCTACAGTACCTGAGTACCCATATACCCTGATCGATATAGACCTATATGTCAATGACCACTCCCCTATGGTTTGTTCTACAGAATGGTCAGACCATATGCTATGTGTTGACCGGTGAGGTTGGTGTGACCGCTGTGGAATCGTTAGACCAGTCAGAATCCATGAATGTGCCTCCACCCAGGCCCCCTCCTGTGATGGAGCTCAGTGATGTAGTCAAGGTAAGGTGTCACTCTTCAAACCTCATTCAAATCCATTGTGGGGTTTTTTGTGATGTAAGGGCAATACCCTTCACGTTTCTATATCTTATGACACAAAGCTCAGTGGATACGTGTATGGCCTTTGTTGTGTGCAGTTGCCATTCATCTACATGTTTAACAACAAAAAATGCTGCGGTTTACCACTTACTAAGTGAACAAGACTTTACTGGAAATATGAAGGAGAACGATCTTTGAAAATTGTTTGCTCTGTATCTTAAGGGTCCATGCTGGTTATGTGTATTCCAAATATCAGCTGTTGATGTTGCATGTATTGTATCTTAAAAGATGATATTGTATATTGCATATTTCATAACAGATATGAGAGTATCTTGCCTCGCCCAGGTGGATCCCGAAAACTGAGAGGCTTGGAGGGATGGTGATGATGATGATGATGATGATGATGATGATGATGATTATGATGATGATGATGATGATGATGATGATGATGATGAGACTCTGTTGGAAGTGAAAAATGAAATAGATCTATATATCAACGGAAAGCTTAAAGGTGATGCCGCAAAGTCTTGGGAAATTGTGAAAATTGGATGGATAGTAATTCTTTAAAATGTTGATATTGAATGCCCCTGTAGATGTATTATAAGCACTAGAAAATTTAGCCCCTAAAACATTTCTGCTTTCGAGAAATTGAATAATTAAAATTTACGACCATGAAAATCTCAGAATATGCAGTTTTGATATTAAATTTCCAAACGGGAATAGCAAATGCGTTGGTTGTAGTCAAGAAACATGGTTTTAAAGCTAGAGTAATATCAGTCTTGAGAGGGAGTTATACAACATAAAGAGTTTGTTATTTAAAATTTCATCCCTTTAGACTTGATTTCAACTGCGTCAACGATCAACCAGTACGTCAACCAGTATGCTTCCAATATGTTCATTTGAACCAAATTCATGACCCATACCAAAAATTTGTATTACCTTATAAGGCTGTAGATTGCAATAATATCAATGATATGATATGCTATGTTTGTGTGTGTCAGAGCAGTTAAAAGCTCTCTAAAAACTTGAAATCTAAAGCTTTGAAAAACAGTTGTCGACCTAAACACTAGCTATTGACTTGATGGCATCATGTTATGTGCAGTACGCATATTCACAATGACTGCATCAATTAAAGCATGGCTCATCACCCCAGCTATAAAGGCAATCCCATCGGGTCTACATGCTATGCCGTCACTGTAACTATGGCACATAAGGTTTTAATTTGCTTTTGTGCAATACTGAAATGGAAAATATTTGTCATTCCTATCTATTTGTATTGCAAATTTGACCCCTGTTGACCCGTAATTTGATGGGTGCAGAAAATGAGGTTTCAATTTACTTTTGTGCAATACTGAAAGGGAAATATTTGTTATTCCTGTATATTTCTATTCTACGTTTATTCAGCTTCCCATTGATATACAGTTGTCTTTTCATAGGATAGGGTCTTTAAAATAACCTTTATGTTTATGTCTATTATGTGCATGAAAAGTGAATGAATTCATTTTTATACTTATCTGGGACCTAATGACAACTTATTCCATTAACCTGTTATTAATGAATTAACTACAATACTGGGAATCTAATCTGCATATGTTACTTGTTGCTATGTCTTGGGCAAGCTTTCAGGTTGTCCAGAACAACCTTTGTGTAAAATGTATTCATGAAATTTGAATAAGTTAGTAAATTCAACATACATGTACGTCAGTCAAGTATACAGTGAAAGCAAACATAACAAAACAAAATATTTATAATATGAATTATGTACATGTAGATAGAGAGTAGGGGTAAAAATACTGAAGGAAGTACAGGTCGAAAGAGGAGCAACGTTAAAGATTTAAAATCTTTGTTGTGCAAACCTCATTACAGTACTTCAAAAGAGGACTTGTGGTTAACAGTAGGTCTTTATTAAATGATTAAGTATTATATGATGAATAGTTTCCGAGGGTAGCAGGAAGAGAGCTCCATAGTTTGGGACCTGAGAAAAGTATAGACATTTAGGTAAGTGTAGTTCGTACAGAGGGCATAGAGTAATAGTTGGAGCGCCTTGAGCACCATGCATGGTGGATATGTGCGCTACATGTATATAAATATCCAATATTATTATTATTATAATTGTAATTTATGATAAAATACAGTCGAGATGTGAAATATAAAGAAAAGTAACTTGTCTCTTTCCTTGTAGTTTTTACCACTTAAGTAAATTCCCTGCAGTATGGGATAGGACAGTATGTTAAAGGTCAAATCTTTATCTAGGATCTGTGGAAACTTTGAGTGTTAAGTGGGAATAGAAACTAAGCATATATCTTTGAGGAAAATTTGAAGCAGTATCAATGCATGATTGCGTGGGGAGTGTTTATGTGCTTCGTGGATATGAAAGTACATGTAACTGTAAGTTTCACTGTGTTGTTGTCTATGTTGATTTATCTATTTTTAAAGTTCAGAAACTTTTGTCCTATTTTGGTTTCCTTAGTTGCTGCTTTTGTTCAGGATTTGAAAGTCACATACATGTATATATTGTTATGTACCTTTTGGGATATTTTACATGAAAAGTTCTGAGTAGCATTATTCATGAAAATACTGTTGTTGATGAACTTGATGGTTAATGACTATGATGGCTTTTTTACCTCCCTCCTATGAAATACAGTACCGGCCCCGTCTTACAAAGAGTTGATATCAATCGCAACTATGTACAGGTGTACATAAGAGATAGGAGACTGCAGACTTGCGATTGATTGGAGGACTTACGATTGATTTGGATCAATCGTAACTCTTTGTAAGACGGGGCCCAGGTGTGTGCTTGTAGATATGCAACCAGTAGACCTGCAGCTTTCAGTCCTATCCGAGGGACTTGGTTTGAACATGGAACTTCACATTTTAAAGCCACTGTCTTACCACTGAGCCATCGTGCCTCCTCAATGGCCATGTGGGACATGTGTATCACATGCTAACATGCTAAAATGATGCTTAAATGTGTTTTGTTTTTATATGTACATATATGTGGCAAATTTCTGCCATGTCCGCTGCAGAACACAAGCCTCTGAACATGCTGAATATTCCCAAATGCATCTAAATAATAATCATTCAAGGTTCAAGATAGTGGAACGATGAACTACATCTAGTTTTTTCATAATAATCAAATGAATTATCAGACTAATTTTAGTGTTGGGGGAGCAGATTAAATCTCTACACAAATGAGTGCAAAATAACTGGGCATATGTGGGGTGTGCAGTTTACCATAAAATCTCTTTATCTTGAAATCCTGAAACTCTGCCAAGGAATTTCAGATATTTCAGCAACCATATTTTGGGGGATTCCATGAATGTATTACTTGAAAGTATTTTCAAACAATTCTTTTCAGCATTGCGTTATGGATAGCAGTACTATGTTCTTTATTATCCGTCAATATAAGGTAAAAAGTCTCCTTCTATAAGTGCAGTTAATTTCACCAAATTCAGAAGAAATTAGGCATGTAATGTTTTCCTGTTTGCCTATATAAGGTGAGAAGGCCTGCCTCTCTTTGTATCTGGCTTTGCGGCTTTGACATGCATATTGAGCTAACCTTTATCTCAGCTCCATCGCTGACCCCAATTCAAGCTGGGGGAATCCCCTGGTATTACATCATGGTAGCAAGTAGCAACCATTTTTTAAATCTCCATTTTTAGTGAAATAAAGGAATGAAGAAGTTAATTAAGCACAAAGGGACTCCTGGAATGTGTATTACTTGAATGTATTTTCAAACAAGTCTTTCACCTTTGCATTAGGGGTACTAGTATGTTCATTATTATCCGTCAATATAAGGTTAAAAGACTCCTTCTATATCAAAATGCAGTTAATTCCACAAAATTTAGAAGAAAAAAGGCATCCCTATATAGAATATTTTCCTGTATGTCTACATGTATATAAGGTGTATCTGCAGATTAGGCTTTGCCTTGACATGCCTATCGAGCTAACCTGTATCTCATTCTCAGCTCTATCACTAACCCCAATTCAAGCTGGGGGAATCCCCTGGTATTACATCATGGGATATTCCAAATCTACATGCAGGGGAATCCCCCATTGCCTTGGCAGCTTGCCAGTATGTGGGTGTATGTCTAAATAGTGTGATGATCACAGTGCATTTCTGTATGCATAGATAGATAGAGTGTATCGGTCTATTATGTGTGTTCATGACTGTACACAGTACACACAATAGAAGGTTCGATCTGAAGTTGTGCTGCTTAATGTACATATTTATGATTATGGAAATATGTCAATTCAATTCAATATGTATATCATCTACAAGCAAAGCCAGGCTCAAATCCAGTATTCTATCAGAATATACTAAAATGTACAATTAGCAACACAGCTAGAAGGTCGATCTGAAGTTCTGTTGCTCAATGTACATTGTAGTATGTTCTGATAGAATGCTGGATTTGAGTCTGGCTTTGCTTGAAGATAATATACATATTGAATTGAATTGACATTTATTTCCATAATCATGACAATATAGAAAGATAAAAGATGGAATATCATTACAGATAACAATATCAAAATTACATATAAATTGACATATCAGCATTCAAAATGAAAGTTTAAACCATGGTACAAAGGGAAAATATATAATGTACATTATATTGCATTATCATCATTTCATTTGTATGTAAAGACATGTATGTACAATGTATAGTGCATGTTTATATTGTATGTACAGTAAATGTAAAGTTATACTATTTATGGATCTAGACCAGGGCCCTGCATCAAGTTGTGATTGATTCGAACCAATCGGAACTTGAAAATAATTAATTGAAAATAATTGATTGGAACTCCTATCTCTTAAAGGGACTTTGTAACATTGTTCAGATAAGATAAAATGGTGCTAAGATAGTGACTTCAATGCTAGATGTACAATTAAAGATAATCTAAAAGTTTGAGTGAAAAACAGACCAGTATTAATAATAAAATTTGGAATAACTGATCTGATCGAT